AAGGGTATTTTTTTTTTACATCTTTAATTTGTACCACAAAATCAGTATTCTAAGTAATTGCCACGAACAATACATTTATGCCTGTGTGTCTAAAAAAAAGATTAAATTTTTAACTCAAAAACTGAATCATTTTACATCTGTATAAAATTGTATCAGTATATGAAATTATAATTGTATTGCTTTTTTCAAGAGGTACTGTATGTGATTTATATTCTAAGATGTCTTCTTTACCGCATGTCCGTCCACAGTTAATGCCAGTAGTACAGTATTTTGGATTAACTTTTGTAGATTCAGCACCATGTTGTACTTCAAGTAATCTGCATTTTGCATAACATTTTCTCAGTGAAATATTTTACTAAAGGGCGAGTAAGAGACGAACAACTATTAGATATTTTTTGTGCATATATTATCCTTTTGGCTACTTCAGTATTGCTGTGGTAGTAAAAGTGTCCACATAATTATACGCAGCTATAGTATTTAATTCTAAACTTGTACAGTTATTCTCTAGCTTAGATTTCCTGTGAAATAGGAATTCTGTGAGATTCAGGTATGTTGTTAGCTGTAAGCTCCTTCCATCCCATTTTACAACCAGTTGCACATCAATTACTATCTTCCCACCATCACAACATTCATGTGTCTGGGATTTTCTTCTTGTGTACTTGAAAGGTACAGAATGGGTTTGAAAGTGTGAACATTTGGTAAAAGTCATTGATGGCAATGAGGAATATATACCTGGTAGTGTGGCTGCTGATGGCTAGCCATCAGCAGCCTTGCAAGTTGGATATCTTAGTGACATACAGGAAATACAAATCAAAGACTTGTTTAGCTTGAATGCTAACATGTATTCCTGTAAGGAGAAATTATCGTCTTTAAATTTCATATTTATATATTAGGCTCTGTGCTATGCAAGATAGCACAGAGTTTGTGCTGTCTAAATTATTTGTTTGTATACTGCTGTAGAATACTATTTGAAAAAAATATACGTAAATTTTTATTAGAACAGATTTTCAGTTTTTCCACAGTTAATTTAATATTCTTCCTGCTATGTCAAAAACATAAGTTGCACAGAAATTTAAAATTAAGTAAATTTAGTGTAGCATTTTGAGTTTTTACTTGTGCCTTTTGTTGTTCAGGCAGGGAATGGTATAGATTGACACGATCAGCTTACCCTCTACTGTATTTTGAAAATATATTTATGGAAAACCATAGAATAAAATGTAAAAATAAAAACACTTTTACTGTTTGTAGTGGACCCTCCAAATCAAAATCATATTATTCTGAATCTGATCTAGATTTTTGGGGATATTTATCACCATGGTGTCAGCTAATGTTATAGTATGTTTCTGCATATTTAGACAAAAAAATATATAAAAGAGTGTGTGTGGTTAAAGGTATGATGTTTGAGGCTAGGCTCACCCAACATTCCAAGATGTCACATATGGGGATGTGGGAGTGTTATAGGCTAGTCAGGGTCGGCTCCAGTGATACACTCGTAAGAAATTGCCCAAATTTACCTGAGGGCCACTATCAAGTAGCTTCAATGATTACAGGAAGCCGATTGCTTGTCAAAGGTCCCCCCATTTGTCTTGATAATTTTATCGAACTAGATTTTTAAAATGCGGCAGTGTTTTGTCATTTTTTGTCTTTAGCAGTAGGTGGTTCCATTGGTTTATAACCCAGTGGGTGAAAAAGCACCTGTTTTCCGTCCTACAGGAATATCTGAGGCTATCTTCCATAAACCTTCATTCTCTCTTCCATTGTCTCTCCTGAATTCCAGCGAGTAAACTCATATTGACTCGCGTACTTATACCCTTTCATGCATTGATCTTTCTCGCTGCTCGTCCTCCATTTATATATACTTGTCGTGGAGGATCCTTGATGACCTCCATAACGGTGACCATGTCCTCATCTTCATACACCTCTCTTTCTTTCCATCCTCCTTTCTCATTCCCTCTGTAGTGGTTTGATAAGGCGGACTGGAATCTTTTCACCCTCTATGCTCCTCTTTCCAACCTATATGATCTGCCCCTCTCTCGAGCCCTCCTCTTTCTGTTGTGGTGGATCTAGTGTTGGTCATGAATAAACTGTGTTGGCACATTTCAGTGTTTACTCAGGTTCTCACTTTTGTCTTACCTTCCTTACTTGTAAGAGGGTCTTATCCCTTGGTCTTTTGCACGCGCCTATAATGATTTCGTCTTTCTGAATTCCAGTCTGCCCTGTCCCTCTGTGGTTTTATGGGTTCAGATAGCATGCATTGTGAAATGCTTCACCATCTCCTTTAGAGTACCTTTCAGCATTTACTGAATAGATATAATCATATTTGGGTGACATCATCAGTCCCCAAAGACTGGCTCGAGGCAGTTGTTCTTCCTTTTTCGGAAACTCTGTATTCTTGGAACCTTCCCTAAGGATTTTTGTCCCATTGCCCAAACGAGTTTCGTCTGCAAGATTTTTGAATGTATGGTCAATATCTGTCTTATATGGTTCTTGGTACACTATTGCTACCTCTCAATTTGCCTTTCACAAGTGTTGCAGTACAACCAATGTTTTAGTAGACCTAGAGATTTACATTTATTCTGCCTTTACTGCAAAGGCCTCCATGGTTACAGTTCTTTTTGACTTGGAAAAGGCTTATGACACCACTTGGAGGTAGAATATTTTCTTGGCTTCATTCTTTTGGCCTTCGTGGCAATCTCCTGCTCTTCCTTCATAGCTTCCTCTATCGTCATTCCTTTAAAGTGAGACTTGGCGCCAACTTGTCTGCCTTTTCTCCAATTTGGTGTGCTTCCCAGGGCAGTGATCCGAGCACTATGTTTTTCGTAGTTACCCTTAAATGGTGTTGCCCTCTTACCTCTGACATTTTCACGGCACTTTATGTTGACAATCTCACTGTTGTCATGGGGATGACTCCCCTCTCCTCCAACTTGTGATTGATGCTATGTCGACCTAGGCCACCAATCATGGCTTCAAGTTCTCTACATCAAAGACTTGTGCTTAGATTTTTACTCGAAGACAGACAGGTTGTTCTTCATCTTTCATTGTTTCCCTGTGGTAGTCCTCATCTGGGGAGCCGGTCGGCTGAGTGGACAGCACGCTGGACTTGTGATCCTGTGGTCCTGGGTTCGATCCCAGGTGCCGGCGAGAAACAATGGGCAGTTTCTTTCACCCTATGCCCCTGTTACCTAGCAGTAAAATAGGTACCTTGGTGTTAGTCAGCTGTCACGGACTGCTTCCAGGGGGTGGAGGCCTGGTAGAGGACCGGGCCGCAGGGGACACTAAAAAGCCCCGAAATCATCTCAAGATAACCTCAAGAAGATATCTGTATAATTATTCTGCTAAACTTTTGGGGTTGATCTTTGATGCTCTTTGTCTAAGGCCCTTACATCGAGTCTTGTTCCATACTCCTCTATTTGCACGCCTGTTTCATGTTGTCTAAACGGAATTATGACTGCCCTGTCTGCTCCTTTGCCTTTCCTTCAACCCGTCATCATCTTGATGTTGTGCATCATGCTGGGTTGTGCCTCAACTCTGGTGTCTGTCGTTCGACTCCTACTATAGGCCTGGTCAACTGGCATTCTGTCTCTACGGGATCGCTACCGTCTTTGCTACCTTGCGAGGTCCCTATAACACCCTCACACTCACTTATGTCGTACTTTGAACTTTACCCCTCCTGTGATCCCTGTTCCCTTTCCCCACCCAACTCTCTCTGTACGGTTGTCTCGCTTGCAAGGTTCTCTTTCAGTTCATGTTACCAATGTTTCTCATGGTGTCGTTCCCTCCTTGCCCCCATGGAGGGTCTTCCTTCCTAAGTTTTGTAAAACCTTGACCCACATGACTAAAGATTTTATCCCTCCTAGAGTTCTGAAATGCTTTTTCCTTGCACACACTTTTCTTTACACTCCCACTCCATTTCCATCTTCACAGATGGGTCTAAGTCTGTAGACGGTGTAGGCTATTCCATAGTTCTTCCTGACCACACCTATATGTCGCCTGCCTCCAGAGACTAGCATCTTCACGGCAGAACTTTATGCCATATTGCATGCTCTTTGTCAAATGCTTCATGGCTCTGGAGTCCTTTAATCCAGTCCATCCTGTAGTAATCAAAATTCAACATTGGCTGTTTCTTATCTCCAGCAGGTTTAAGACAGAGGAGCTTTTGCTGGATTCTCAGCCATATTGGTGTTTCCTTAAATGAGCATGCGGACACTGCTGCCAAGGAGGCTATCTGCACTTGTCCCATGTCCCGTAAAGGCGTTACTTATTCTGACATCTACCCGATTATTCATTCCTGTATCCATGCCTGTTGGCAGGATTGATGGTCTTCTGTTACTGGTAATAAGCTGTGTGCTCTTAAGAGTAGTGTGTCCCCATGGCGCTCCTACTACTACCGTAAAAGGCGGTAGGAAATGGCTCTGGCGAGGTTATGTATTGGCCATACCCGGTTTAACTCGCGGCCTCTTAATGGAGCGCTGCCCTGCTCACAATTGTCCAAACTACATTGCCCCTCTTATGGTCATGCATATCCTTGTTGATTGTCCTGTGCATGTGCATCTTGTTTTCCAATTCTCCCTTGGTGAATCAGATTCCTTTGATATCGTTTGCCTTATGCACTTTTGTTCTAATATTGGCATCCTTAGAAATATTTAGTGCCTTTTGAATATCTTGCACATTTGATGGCGCTACATAGTCTACCCCGGCTTGGTGCTTTCTTTTGATAATTACTTATGTTTCCCACTTAATTAACATGTACCAACTGTCTACCACTCTGCAAAAAAATAACTTTCTAATACTTTTTTCAGCATCTTTTCTTCCTGCGCTTGAATCTATGACTGCTTATTCTTGAAATTGCAGGTTTCTTGAATTCATAAATGTTGTTGCTTCATTTGTATTTTGTAGGCAGTGATCATATTGCTTCTTTCTTTGGAGCAGTGTAAGGATCAATAATAGTAAAAGGTTATACATATTGGTAAAAAAAAAAGTGGAATTAACAAACTTTATACTCAAATTTGAAAACTTTTATTCGATAAAAAGTTTCATTTAAATATTATTTACAATTATAATAGAAACTAACTCATAAATAAATGAGTTATCTATTACAGCACACTATTTTTTTAAATAGCTTAACACGTAATCAGAAATTTTACCTATGCTTTCAGATTTTTCATTCATAGATTTATCAGGATTCTCTGTATCCAAGTTATTTTTTTTGCTGTAATGTTTCTTGCTGATGATCATTAGCATCATCACTGCCGGCAGATGGAGGAGTGTAAACAAAAACAACTTTCTAGAGCTCTTGCTATCAGCATCTTTGTAAAACCTCCAAGCTGTAAGAAACACATTATTTAGTTACAAAAATATTATACTGTATAGCTGCTAAATGAAATAAAGAATGCATTTTAATATCTAATAAGTTATGAATATAGCATATAATCCATGGATCACACAAGGAATGTGTGAGTGGGCAGGTGCTGTGCATGAGAGGAAACAGCCACTAAAGCTGGTAATAGCAGACTGTAAGGTCAAATCTTAATTTTTCACTCAAAATGTAAATAAACCATAAAATCTTTAACCCTTTTGCCACAATAAGCAGGAACATGAAAGTACAGTACTGTAATTTACTACAAGTCTAAAAAATTAGCAACATCCTGAAATATTCGCCCAGACACCTGTCTTTCAGAACATAAGGTTGAGCTTGGTAGCTTAAGCGGTCAGTCGGAGAGCAAAACTTAACCCAATGCAGATCTTTAAAAAAAAAAAAAAAAAAAAAAAAAATCCTGGATTTTTTTTTAAGATTATTGCTTTTGTATTATAAAGGTAAAATAAATATAAACTCACAGCCCAGTATTTTTATAAGTCAGACTGCATGCAATAGTGTTTAACAGCCTGATTGAAGAGACCCTCAACTGAAAGGCCTTGTCAGAGACCATGTTGTAAGGATATTGATCTTTGGAACCACATGAAGGAAAAAATGACTACGTGTATTAGCAAAATAGTTTAAGTTAAAAAAAAAAATCCTTAGTAAATGCTGTTCTTCTATTTATGATGATACTAAGTCATAAATGTTCCCGATATGTAGCATATAATAGATAAAATTTTTGTTTACTTATACAATATATAATTTTTTCATACTTGTATTTTGTTCATTCAGTTCTAATAATAAAAAAATATGAACTTCATATTAACTATAACCATTTAAACACAATGATCACCACGTCTTGAACAGAAACAAGATACTGTAATGTATTTATAATGGATTTTGACCTATCACAACGTGCTATCACCGTGTTGCTAAGCAGCCCAAGTTCTTGTTCTGAAGATCAAAAGTCTGAACAAATGTTACAGTACGTAAAATGATCTTTTTAAAGCATTTGGTAAAACTCGTGTTTAGCAGGGAAGGACTAACGTTTGTGGGGCAAGTGCTGGTTTTCTTTCCCAGCTAAAGGGTTGATGATGAAATTTTGAAAATAATGTCTTGATAATGGTCCAAGACAGACTAAAAAACACCTTTATAATGCATGGGTTGTGTTAATTTTTCCAGTCCCATTACTGATTATTACTTTTCCTTACTGATACTAATGCTATATAATCACCAAGCACGCTCTCACGTGTCCTAATGTTGAATGCATGCAATATTTAAATGGTCTCAAATTTTATGCTGCTTAGGCTATGTAAAGCAAACAATCGACTAATCTAATTTATAAAATATGCAATACATCTTAGATAATAACTGATATATAGAGGTGAATTACACTGAATCTTACCTAGGTAAGTAAGATAACCATTTAGTGGAAATGAGTCGACAGCAAATGTCCACGTTGTAACATCAATCACAGGCGCAAGAGTACAAATTCCAATCATGGCTACACTGTATTGAAGAGCAACCCTTCTGCATAAAGCTGAAACAGAGAAGTCTACTCAGTATCGATCAAGTTCCAACTTACGGACACAATAACTAACATTCACATTATCAAATGGGTTAAAATAAATAACACATCAGATGTGGTTATACTGTACAAGGGCGATTGACAAAGGTATCTCCAGCTCAGCATATCACACAATATGAACATAGTTGTTTAGTGAATACAGATCATGCAAACAAGAGTGGCAATGAGTAAATACTACAAAGCAGAGTTGAAAACATGCAAAATTATCATTATTACACAGAGGTATGCAGATTAAATAAATTCCAACAGAAAGTTGTGTGACAACACAGAAAGCTTTAAAACTCGTAATCTTTGGCACGTAAAAAGGAAGACGGGACACCACAAGCTTAGCTCTTGTCTTGTAATTACACTTAAATACGTAATTACAAAAATGCAATGTTACAGCCACCATATATTCAAGTTAAGAGAGGAAGAAGTTTTCACATAAAATAATTATATTTTATATATATTCTCAGTGATGTATCACTGAGAAAATCAGTAGGAGCCATGATGAAGATTTGAACCTATGCACTGCGTCTTCCCCAGGTACACGCCCCAGACAACTAGGCCATTTCATGGTCAAAACGATTGCAACCTGGGGTTCCACTGAACCCACGAAGGTTCCCAAGGCTTCCACTGAAGCCGAACCAGGGTTTAACACAATCCCCCCCCCCCATGCACTCTGGCTCTGTCGTCTTGGAATGTTCTTCCTCTGATGCTCCTCTTTCAATACACAGAGAAATCACACTATCGTGACGAGAACATGCCTAGATGACAGAGCCAGTGTGCAGGGGGATTGTAGAACTCTCGTGGGTTAAGTGGAACCCCAGGTTGCAATCCTTTTGAACATGTAGTGACCTAGTTGTCTGGGGCCTGTGCCTGGGAATACCCAGTGCATAATTTCGAATGCGCATCACGGCTCCTATGGATTTTCAATATTATTATTCATTGGGGACAGACAGCCAGTTTATACATACAGTATGTTAGGCTTATGTGTATATCGAAGTCTCTAGGGTTGAATTACCAACCCTTCCCAGGATGCAACCCCACAACAAGCTGACTAACTCCTAGGTACCTAGTTACTGCTAGGTGAACAGATGCATTAGATGACAGGAAACACACCCAATCATTTCTGTCTCACCCAGGATTCAAACCCGGAATTCTTGATTGAGTCGAGAACAAACCCGACTACTACTGGGACCCCTCAATAAAATGAAAGAGGGGTGTGTGAAGAACTCAACATGAGGTTTCAGGTCAATAAAATACTGTACAGTGGAAAATAAAAAGAGTGAAGACCAAGGGTGAGGGATGAAGATGTTACCAACAGGCATTTCTTGCAAAGTACTGGAGAAAGTAATCAGGAAAACAATGATGGAGCACAAAGAAAAGGCAAACTTTACATCAGAGGAGCGACACGGGTTTAGAGGGAAAAAATTGTATCTGACAAACTTGATAAAATTCCATGAGTCACTTAGAAAGAGCAAGAGAAAGAAGGCTGGGTAGACTGCATTTTTATAAACTGTTGAAAAACAGTTGAAACTGTTCTTCATAAATGACTAGTATATAAAATGGAGAGGCAAGCTGGGATTACTGGCAATCAGAAAGAGGTCAAACTGGAGGGATGTAGCAAACAGGATCTCCTAAGGATCAGTAACAGGTCTGGCAGTGATTCCAATCCATGTGAATGACCTACCAGAGGGGAAAGGGGTTCTTTTATATGTGCTAAAGTTTGCATATGATGAAAAATTAATGAGGAAAGAACAAACTGAGGAGTACTGACTGAAGACCTTAAACTCCACCAGTGGCTCTGTTCTAGGACCAATGTTATTTATAATTTATATAAATGACCTTGTAGAGAGAGAGAGAGAGCAAGCTCGTACATGTCGATGTTTGCAGAGGATGCAAAGTTAATGGGGACTGGCAAGTGCTGCAAGAAGACTAACAAACTTTAGGAAGACTGCTGGAATTAAATTCAAATAAGTGTAAAGTAATGAAAATGGGTAAGAGAAATAGACGACCTGAAATTAACTACAGTACACCTTAAAGGGAAGCAATTAATTTCAAGAAACAGTGAGAAAAAGTTCTTGAGAGTAGACATCATCTTAACACTAACACCAGAAACTGATGCGAACAGGATAACATCAGCAGCCTATGAGAAGTTAGCAAACATACGAACTTCATTTAAGAACCAATACAAGGAGGTTATCTTGAGGTTATCTTGATGATTTCGGGGCTTTAGTGTCCCCGCGGCCCGGTCCTCGACCAGGCCTCCACCCCCCCAGGAAGCAGCCCGTGATAGCTGACTAACACCCAGGTACCTATTTTACTACTAGGTAACAGGGGCATAGGGTGAAAGAAACTCTGCCCATTGTTTCTCGCCGGCTCCTGGGATTGAACCCAGGACCACAGGATCACAAGTCGAGCGTGCTGTCCGCTCGGCTCCCTTTCCATCTTTCAAATCCATACACACTACCTATGTGAGACCATTACCAGAGTATGCAGCTTCAGCATGGAACTCACACCTTATGAAGCATAAATGGTACTTGAGAAAGTTCAGAGGTTTGCAACTAGATTAGTACCAGAATTGATTGACCTCAACTATGAGGACAAGTGGAGGGAACTTGCCCCTCAACTTAGAAAGAAGAAACGGAGGGGGATATGATAACTATGTACAAGAGGGGAATAGACAAAGTGGATAAAGAAAGCCTATTTAAATTAAAAAGGGGCAGGACAGGGAAAATCAGTGGAAGCTGGACACTCAATTCAGTCGAACAGATGTAAGAATATTCTCATTCCCTGTATGGGTGGTCAACGAGTTGAATGCACTGAAGGAAGAGGTTGTTGATCCAATTCCATCCACAACTTTAAAAGGTAGGATGCAAGGCACGAAGAGTTAAGACGTCATTCTCTCTAGTCACTATGGGTAAGCACTTGATGAAAAGGAATGATGCATACAGTTCTTAATGAACATATTTTTTTTGTCTATTTGTACCAGAAACCATGATTTTTTTTAAATACCATACAGAAACAGGTGATTGATGAGAAACTCATACTGTACATGTACTCTATACTCAATTTGAATTAGGAAGTACTATATGTAAGCAACTATCAAAAGAAATTAATAAGCCAGATGATTATACAACAATGTCCATGTTACAGAACGCTGAAGAGCTAGATATTTCATGGTGCTAATAAAAAAACAAAGATATAAATTGAATGGTGTCAAGGGAGGCAGATTCACAGAGGATATTATTAAGGAACAAATGATTAAAAAGAACAATGGGAAAGGAAAAATGTCTGACCAACCTGAAAATTTGATGCCGCGGTGAATGATCATTGGTAAAAAATGCAGCGACTAATAATAAGTTAAGTTATATTAAGTGCCCACGAGTTAATCTTATGGGGCCAATACATAACCTAGCCAAAGGAGTTTTTTCACTTCATGCTTTTGTGACAGGAGGAAAGTCATGGGGTAAAGGTAACATTTGGTTTAACATCAATTTATTATAATAGTTATCAATCTATACAATGATTATGGATTGCCTTATGAATGCATGTAAGGTGACAGCTTCATTCCCGTATCAACCGACCCTGGCTTTGCGTCCTGGAGAGGCCACACCAGACCGGCAACTAGAGCACAACTCCATAGTCTCCCGAGACTGATGGATGCCTACTATGAATGCTAGGGTAGAAATTAGGGTAGGGAATTCACTTTTGGGAGATGGGACAAGTTTGATTAGCTCAATTCCTAACCAGAAGTGCATGTTAAGTAATTGGAGGCAACAGTAATATGGCTCAATTTGACAATTTGATATTAATTGATTAATTAAGGTCTTTTAATTTCAAACTTGTATTTATTTCACATCGTTCAGTCTACTAAATATTTGCAATCTCATGTTGGAGTTAGCCAACACAGAACGAGCTACCCAATGAATCATTTAGTATATTGTACCAGAGTTTTTATTTTATTTTGGCTTGAAGAATTTATCTTATTATGTTTCCTGTCTTGCCAAATTTCATGGTCTTGTATGAACCTCTTATACTATGCACAAAGTTAGGTACAATGAGATCAACTGAACTGTTGTTTCTGGTTGCCTTGGTGATCAAGTCAGCTTAAGGATAAATTGATAAATGTATGTAAAACAGGTAGAAGCAGGACTGAAGAAGCATGTTACCAGCACAAGAGTACATTTCATGTAAATAGACAATATTGGATGCCAGAGAAGGTATCTTCTAAACTCCAGATCATCTGGTTGTGAAACAGTTGAGCTCGCTGTGGTGTGCTGGGTACTTTGTATAACATGCTACACTTATTATAACTTTAACTGCAATATACTGTCTATATCCTACCAGGATTAGTTACTGACATCATGCGATAACCAGCACGAGAGTAATCAGGTCGTAGATTCCATGATAGAGCATTGAAGTGTGGAAACTGCCAGGCAAACAGGATACTTGCCATAATCCATCCACCAGCCTCCAAACCTCCAGTGCAACTTGCCCAACCAATCAGCGGTGGAATAGCACCAACTGTAATAATACGATATTATTATTAATAATGCTTTATGCTATATATATATATTTATATTTGCTTTCTGGTAACTTCAAACAACGTTCAATATTTGACAACAAAACTACATCAGATACTGTAGTCTCTCTCAAAACTAAAATGGTTGAGATTTAAATCTTTTCATCATATGAATAATTTGTCACTAATTACTCCAAATCTCTCACACATGCTCTACTTCTGCCATAAAATCTGTTCACAACATTTAATAACATTACACCAACTCCATACATGCTCAATACCGGCACTCTCTAGTACCCACTCTTATTCACTTTATCGTATTCTTTCTCAAAAAAGTCGATAACTGCCATGTACAGATCTGTTCAACTGTTAATCTCTTTCATATGCTCTCTTTACTAGCTGTATCAATGCAAATATTTGATCAATGCAACCTTTTCCACTATGAAATCCACATCGTTTATAACTAATAAATTCCTCATTTGTCTTTTGTATGCTTCTGCAATTTACAGGAATTGACAAAATTGACAAAGAAGAATTCTTGAAACCTGCAACTTCAAAAGTAAAATGTCAGATTTAAAATAATGAAACAAAACTGCCAAAAAATTAGAAAGTTCACTTTTGCAAACAGTGATAAACAGCTGAAACATGTTAGGTGAAGTGGTGGATGCTTTAACCGTCAATACTTTCAAAGCATCATATAACAGAGTACTGGGAAGACAGGACACCACAAACATAGCTCTCATCCTGTAACTACACTTAAGGAATCACTTTGCCCGCTACATCTTTTTCCCCTCCTCTCTTCTCTCTCTCCTTATTTTGTAACTTCCAAATTAAGTTTAATAGACTAATGCCTCTGTAGTTCTTACAGTCACTACATTCACAGCTTTTCTTCAATCACCTGCCACAGTTCCATTTGTCTATGCTTTCAGGTAAATTGTCCCCATTGATTCCATTCTCTTCTCTGCCTGAAATATTTAATAGTCATTAATTTATATTTACCACAAACTGGAATATTTATCATGATGATCCACTCTTCGGAGTAAGTGACAACAATTACTACAATATTGTATTACTCTCACTTTATAGGGTGTTTGTTGTAATGATACTTGTGAGGAAATGTTAGAAACTCACTATTAAAAGAAATTCAAAATATATTATCTGGGCAAGGGCACTTATGATAGACTAATATATTTAATCTTGAATTCAAAACCTATGCTTACAACCATAAATACCTGCCTAGAGCCCAAAGCCCCAACAAGGAATAGACAGCAGGTCTCTATGTCTGCAGCAACACCTAGAGCTAGTAACACCACTTAAGCCAATCAGAAACAGCATAAAGGAAACACTGGACAAGACTTGCCCAGAGATACTAGAGATAATCTTGCTAGAGATAATCTCTATTAAATTGCAGTCTGTACAGAGTAGAGGTCCACCCAAGAAATGGGGAGGCAGATGGCTGCATAATGATTGCCTCCTGAGGCAATCATTATAGGCTTTAAGCCCAAATATGTACATCATTGATAAGTCTATATCTTGCACATACTTCTCACAGTGGTGGATGTAACATAAGCAGACTACCAAGACAGAGAATCAAAGAGGTAAGGCACTTGCTGTCTATATCCACCTGCAAGTCCTAGGATGGATCTAGATTGAATCCTAATAGTACCTACTATGTACCAACAATTCTTTTATGTCCAAATCTCAGATGTTCTGTAATTTAATTTTAATATGGAGCTGGTTAATTCCAAGGTTGAAATATAGCTGGGGTATATATAATCTTGTTCTACAACTGGAGGGCAGAAGAGGAAACTCCCTGAAATTATGTCTCAGAATTTATGGAGCACCCTTGGTGACACACAGTTATCAGAAAAATGTAGGAACAGTACTGTACTGTACTATGGTTCTTGAACCTGGGAAGAAACAAACATGTTGTATGATTAAAGCAATCAGCAGACCAAATCCAGGAGAAACCACAAAGTACAATACAGTATATTGTTATTAAGGCCGCAATTAGACAAGTGTCTAACAGCCTGAAAATCAGACTCTCCCAAGGCCCTACCTCTACCAACAGTAGGTGAGGCCCCAACTCTACCAGACCTCCTTTGATCAGCAAGGCACAGACACCCTTGAGACACAGTAACTCATTGAGAGGCCGACAGGAAAGGCTGCAGTCGACGAAACCTGGGAGACAGCCTTCTCAGGAAAGCGAAGAGAGAAACAGAAAGAGAACAAAAGGGTAAGGGACCAAGCTAAATCTAAAGAGTGGGCCAACACAGCCTGTCGACATGTAAGGTAAGCCGAGTAATAAATTGTCACCACCTCCTGAAGGAGGAGAGCAAGTATCTTGGGCAGGGCTACCAAGGCCTCCACACCTGGAATGGAACCAAGCAAAGCCACATCCTCACAGAGATGCTCAAAGAGCCCCCCACACAAAAACCCAAACAAGCAAAACTGCCAGCAAGTACATACGCATTTGGTGTCCTCTGCAGTAAGAGCCCTGGAGAACACAGGCAGCTGCCAATTGCCCACGTTCTTGGGAAGCACTGGAGCAAACAGGCAGTCCCTGAGTGAAGCATAAGAAGCACCTCTTAGGAACACCTAAAAGGTGGAACTCGCCTCCTGCCAGTCAAGTGTGCAAGTCTGATAAAACAGCTGCCAAGCCCCCAATGAAAAGAGATGGGTTGTTTCCCCCCCCCCCTGCAGCAAAAGACCCTCTGCAGAGGGAACCGAGTCAAGGAAGGATAAAAGGCACTCATGGACACCCCTTGGGCTTCCCCTCTCCCTGCCCCTGAAGCCTGCCATGAAAGCCCCGGTGCAGAGCCGAAATCCATGCCCAATGTCTGAGACAGAAAGGCATCCTCCCAGGAGAAGGTTCAGCCAGCTACATGTCAGAGAAGGCAGCTGTGAAGGTGAAATCCCTGAACCCCCATCAGGATTAGAAGGCTCAATTGACTCTGCAATCGAAGTGGATGGGGCCACCTCTGGAGAAGGCCAAGCTACACCCCAAGCTAAATGCTGACCTGACTCTGAAACCCTGAGATGTTCAGAGCTGGAATCGGGGAAGGGAAAAAGACCAGAAATATGGCGAACCGCAGATGCAGAAGGAAGAGGCGGCATAGATTTAATCCAGGTGGGGCCACTGACACCACCACCAATTCCAGGTTCCTAGACACCATAGGGGCCAACTCCAGAGCATCCAAATGAGCACAATGCCATGCATATATAACTCAAGCAAACCTCACCTATAAAGTGGCAGCCATCTGATTAGCTTCCAAACTAGGAACCGAGTCAGTCAATGTAGAGATCAAGTGAGAGCAAACCTCACAAGACTCAAGGTCATAGGTGTCAGTGACCCCAGCAGGTAGCATGGGAGGCAGAAAGAATGATCATTGTATGGTAACAAGGACAACAAGCACCCTTCTAGTTGGCATATAGCGAGCATGCGCTCAGTGGGCCGTTCATAAAAAACCATGCCAGAGACCTGCAGTGGGGAATTAATAGGACCTGAAGGCAGCTAGCCAAACAGAACCCCCAGGCACTGGGGTCACCCACTGAAAGAGCAGAACTCAAATACAGCCAACACTCCAAGGCTACGAATGGGAAGAATGATGTGCCGTATAAATAAGCATGCATGCCCCAGAGCATCCCACACAACCAACAGAATGCCTGCAGCCAAGGACCCAAGTAAGAGATGTCAAGACTCATGAACAGCTCAAGGCAAGGCTCTTAAGGTGGCCTGGCTTCTCAGGTGTGAACTTATGAACACACCAGAAAAGTAACTCAATTATTGCAAGGGCAGCCATAGCAAGCACTCAAGGAAAAAACCTGAGCACATATAGCTCGAAGTGCAATAGAAACCAAGCGCACACACCAAGGAGACCAGCACTTTGCTTGAAGTGGAGGGGCTTGCATAACTGGCAGACTGGAGCACTACAGGTAGAATTAATCACTATTACATCAGTGACAGAACTGAGCAGGGAGGTCGGCTGTAGGCTGGGGCCAGGCTGCCTGATGGTACGAACAAGTTTCAAGCTAGTTTTAAATGAATCTCTATTGTTGCACCTTGATTGTTTGCAGAATTGTTTGGCAGTTTTAATGCTTCATTTTCTGTGAACCCTCCAGTTATCTGTAAAGCTTCCTTGATTTTTTTGGATGCTCTCCCAATGTGGTAGTGAACTGTCATTTGATCTCTCTGCCTCTGTAAGGGGGCAACTTCTGAGCACCTCTGCATGATCCTATAAGGGCATCATTTGATATACTCAGTTCTTACAACATTAATATTGTGTGTCCTACGTGGCTATGCTGTGATCTTGACAAGACAAAGAGGATCACTATACCTGTGTGAGTGGGGGCCTAAGGCAGCTAAGAAAAATAAAATTTCAATGCACATCACTGGCAAAGCATATGGTGGGGGGAGAGAGAAGGATCTCTGTCATCACCAGATGATGTACACAAAAATCCTGACATGGTTAGTTTTCTGTATATACAAGATGATAAAGTTTAATTTTGTCTTAATTTTTATGTTCTTTTATATAAAACTAATATATAATACTTTACAATCCTGTAAAACAATTACATCTTTTGCATTTTTGTTTCAATTTAGCAGCCAAAGCGTTAATATTACTACGGTACTCACCTACAGCGCCCACCCAAGTATTAAGACTGCTCACTCTCTTCATGGGGGTGTAAACACACGTGTAGAGCACCAGATTCAAAGCACCAAGGCTGGCAGCAACCCCATTTGCTCCAAAGTACAATAAGCCAATGCCTGCTGTGCTACACACAACAGCAAAACAAATGGCATGTAAAGGGGTCACCAAACCTAAAACAACAAGCACAGAGATATAATGAAAATCAAGTGATAAATGAAGAAAGTTGAATATGTTAGATTTATAATACTCATTATTACACTATTTCTCCATTTCTTATCTTGCTTTTTAGAATCAGATTTTATGAGTTGAGCCCCTTTAGTTGCCCTTAGCCAGGGCCTAGGTCCACTCAGGGCACTGCTAAAATGCTATGAAAAGGAACTTTGCAAATTCAGTTGTCTTGTCTCGTGGTTGGGGCAAAGACGGTGGAGAGTACAGAACAGTATTTCAATTGTCTATTGATCACTCACTCACTATAAGACAAAATGACAACCCAATTGCTCAACCCCATCATTAATTGTGATTCTAAATCCAAATGTAGCAAAATCTATTCCCGGGCATTAATATTATACGAGTCCTTGTGTTTAGCAGTGTTGGTGGTGGCAGGTCTACAACTTTGCTGATGTCACAGAATTTTTATCTAGCTTTAAAGGTGCTCTACTATGTCCCTCCTCCATAGCAAGTGTGATGGGCCTTCTCTTCACATTATGAGCATCAACCAGTGTTACTATGTCCCTTGGCCGTGTAAAGCTAGCCAGATTCTGGGCCTGGCCTCTGGTAGCAGAGCTAAGCCTGGGAAGCTACAAGGTGTTCACCAGAATATGGCATTTCATTACATTCAATGGCTGATTTTTTCTGGGGCATCCCCAACTCCATTTTACATTAACCCCTAGTGACTCCCTGAAGCTATCTTGCTTAGATTGCTCCATATAAAAACTAACATCAGTTGCAGAAGTTCTGTTTGGCTTGCCTGAGATCAGAGGCAAATCCAGGCCCATCACAAAGGTACAGGGAGCGAGTGACAATTTGCAACCCTCACCAGTAAAGCTTTACAGGCAACTAGAGGATCTACAAAAAATGAAGGCCAAACAACTACAAACGATTCACATGGAGCAAGGGATTCACTCAAGCTAGCTCGAAGCTCGTAAGTACCGATTACCACCAGCCAGCCCCAGCCTGCAGCTGGCTTCCCTGACCAGTCAGTTCTATTGCTGATGTTTTGGTGGCTTAGTCTATCAGTCGTGGGCGAGTCCATAGTTTCAAGCTCAAGCTAAGTGCCAACCATCCTCGGATTTTGTTTGTCCTGCAGAAGCCATTTGTCTGCTGCTGATTTCCCTTAGTTTAGTGCAAGTTTCATATGTAATTACCTAAGTGTAGTTACAGGATGAGAGCTACGCTCGTGGTGTCCCGTCTACCCAGCACTCTTTGTCACATAATGCTTTGAAATTACTGACGGTTTTGGCCTCCACCACCTTCTTACCTAACTTGTTCCAACCGTCTACCACTCTGTTTACAAAAGTGAATTTACTTATATTTCTCCGGCAGCTTAGTTTCATTAGTTTAAATCTATGACCTCTTGTTCTTGAAGTTCCGGGTCTCAAGAATTCTTCCTTATCAATTTTATCGATTCCTGTTACTATTTTGAACGTAGTGATCATATCGCCTCTGTTTCTTCTATCTTCTAGTTTTTGCATATTAAATGCCTCTAACCTCTCCTCATAGCTCTTGTCCTTCAGTTCTGGGAGCCACTTAGAGGCATGTCGTTGCACCTTTTCCAGTTTGTTGATGTGCTTCTTAAGATATGGGCACCATACAACCGCTGCATATTCCAGCTTTGGTCTAACAAAAGTCGTGAACAATTTCTTTAGTATTTCTCCATCCATGTATTTAAAAGCAATTCTGAAGTTAGATAGGGAAGCATAGGCTTCTCGCACAATGTTCTTAATGTGGTTCTCAAGTGACAATTTTCTATCTAGAACCACCCCTAGATCCCTTTCTTTGTCAGAATTCTTTAAAGATTTCTCACATAATTTATAGGTTGTGTGGGGGTCTATGTTCTCCAATTCTACATTCCATAACATAGCATTTATTCACATTATATTCCATTTGCCAAGTGTTGCTCCATATACTTATTTTGTCCAGGTCTTCTTGAAGAGCATGACAATCATCTAGGTTTCTTATCTTCCCTATTATCTTAGCATCATCAGCAAACATGTTCATATAATTCTGTATTCCCACTGGTAGATCGTTTATGTAGACAATGAACATTACCGGTGCAAGAACTGAACCCTGTGGTACTCCACACGTGACATTCCTCCGATCCGATACCTTGCCTCTGATTACGGCCCTCATTTTTCTGTCAGTTAAGAAATTTTTCATCCATGTTAGAAGCTTACCTGTCACCCCTCCAATATGTTCCAGTTTCCAGAACAACCTCTTATGGGGAACTTTGTCAAACCTTTTTTAGGTCCAGATAGATGCAGTCAACCCAACCATCTCTTTCCTGTAAAATCTCTGTGGCTTGATCATAAAAACTGAGTAAGTTCGTTACACAGAATATTCCAGATCGAAAACCATACTGTCTATCTGATATTATATCATTTTTCTCCAGGTATTCTAACCATTTAGTTTTAATTATTTTTTCCAATATTTTGACTATGACACTTGTCAATGATACAGGTCTATAATTAAGGGGGGTCTTCCCTGCTTCCACTTTTGTAGATTGGAACTATGTTAGCCTTTTTCCACACATCAGCTACAACTCCTGTAAACAGGTATGCCTGAAAAATCAGTTGAAGTGGAATGCTTAGCTCAGGTGCACATTCTCTCAGAACCCATGGTGAAACTCCATCTGGACCAACTGCTTTGTTCTTACTTAGCACCTTGAGCATTTTTTCCACTTCGTCTCTAGACACCTCTATGTGCTCTATTTTGTTCTCTGGAATTCTTATTGTGTCTGGTTCCCTGAAGATTTAATTTTGTACAAAAACACTTTGGAACTTTTTGTTTAATGGTTCACACATTTCCTTTTAATTTTCCGTGAATCTATTTCCCATTTTCAACCTCTGAATATTATCCTTTACCTGCAATTTGTTGTTTATGAATTTATAAAATAGACCTGGTTCCATTTTACATTTGTCTGCAATCCCTTTTTCAAAATTTCTTTCTGCCTCTCTCCTCACTGCCATGTAGTTGTTTCTTGCATCTTTGTATCGCTGGTATGTTTGGGGGTTTGGCCTTTTCCTGTATTGATTCCATTTTTGTGTCTTTTGGTCTCTGGCCCTCTTGCAATTTCTGTTGAACCAATCCTGTTTCCTAGTTCTGCATCTCTGTTTTGGTATAAAAATTTTTATGCCTTTATCATATATTTCACAAAACTTGACATACATCTCATTCACTTCCTTGCCTAGCAACAAGTCTGTCCAATTATACTCGCCAAATAATGTTCTAAGGTCGCCATAATGTCCTCTCCTGAAGTCAGGTTTTTCAACTGCTTCAACCTCCTTATTTTCTTCCAGATTATAACGCATTGCATAATTTATTCCCAAAAAGACATGGTCACTTTTACCCAAGGGAGGAAAGTACTGAATGTCAAATATTTTTTCCTCCTTCCTGGTAAATATCAAATCTAGCATGGAAATATCAAATCTTCCCTCATCCTCATAGCTTGTTAAACATGTTGATACAAGAATGTTTCCAGGATGAGGTCTACAAATCTACAGGTCCAAAAATCTTCTGTTTTAGCTTCATATGCTTCCCAGTCTATGGATTTCAAGTTGAAGTTGCCAACTATCAACAGTCGTGATCTATCGTTATCCGCTCTCGCTATAATCTCTCTCATTATTGTTATAAGACCTTCTCGTTTACTATCTAGCTCCTCCTTTGACCATATGCTGCTTGGCGGTGGACTATATGCATTTATGATCATTAGTTTATCATCCTCATGGCAGATCTCTAGTGCTATTATGTCAACTTCTTGTGGATTGGCAGTCATTATTTCGTTCACCTTTAGGTGTTCTTTCACAAGCACAGCAACGCCACCGCCTTTCCTAATTTTTCTGTCCCGTCTCCAAATTGTGTTTCATATCTGGCTTGTTGTAAGGGCATGGCTTCTTGTGTTTCAGACTACATGCACTTAGGGTTTTCTTCCCTGGGTGTCTGCTAATGCTGCCCTTGCACAGTTAGTTATCTTCTTAGCTAGAAAAATTTCTTTATGATTACTTGTGGTCATGCTGATATACAATATGTACTGTAGTAGTAAAACCCATCCTCATTTTACTAAGTACATATTCGAGCTAAAGACAAAAGTACAAAATTGTATACATATTTACCTATTCACCTCATGAATTTTGATAACACAAATTTGATATAAATATCCAATGTTTTATTACTCTGTGCATAAAAATGTACTTTTTATGCATCTACCTCTCAATATTTTAGCTCTTTAATGTAACAACCCAAAAATTACCTCACCTAACTTCATATTCTTAAAGAGTAGAAAACACCTTGAAACATTTGTCAACTCTTCTTAAAGTATAGTTTTATATATTCATGATGATATACAAAACTGTAGTTACCTAACAATACAAATACAATATCACACACAAAACATGCAAAGAAAACATGATAAGTAGTGTTAGACTGTAATTCTGAATCTTACCCATGTAAATATCTTGACTAGACCAAGTCACATTCAAATAAATTAGAGACAAATAGACTAAAAAAAAAACACTTACCTCTAACCAAAACTCTGTTTTTGGTACGATCCATCTGAGAATCAAAGGGAACCTCGAAGAATTGATTAACTGAATTAGCAGCACTAGATGTGAGTCCAGTACCCAAGGAGCAGAGAATTAGTGTGGCAAGGTTCAGAGGGGCTGGAGCCATGGCATATCCCGCTACTGCTGTTACCACCACTAAACCTTTGGAGAACAATAACACAAGTCATTTTTTTTTAACGAAGAGTTCTTACATTCTTGTACAGCCACAAGCATGCATAGCGTTTCGGGCAAGTCCTTAATTCAAATTTTCCCCGGAATACGACCCACCAAATAGTTTAACCACCAGATACCCATTCACTGTTGGGTGAACAGAGGCTCCAGTTAAGGACTGGAGCCAAGTAAATCCTCCCTGGCCAAGATACGAGCCCAGGCCAAAGCGCTCGCAAAACGCCAGGCGAGTATGTTACCACTTCGCCACTGGGACTGACTTTTATAGCTTATTATAATAGTACTGTACCGTACAATATTCTCTTAATATACTGAACACATACAGTATAATTGTGATTATCTAATTATAGCTACCTTTTTAAGTACTGTATCCAGGAGTTAGGCAACTGTTGTGGGTTGCATCCTGAGGAAGGAGAGTATTTGACCTAGGTAACCTCAATAAGTTTAGCAATGCATCTGGGGTGACCTAGGATGTTGGTAAGATTCCACTACCCTGCTCCAAAGATTTTCTCATAAATACACCTAAATATCACATCAATTACTGTGATTTCATTGTTCATAAGCCTAAGTACAGGCTTCCTATCCCTGACCATGGGAATTATGATCATTATTATTATTCTATGTTAATTATGTAATGAATTTTTGTCTTGCAGCTTGTCCTATTCACTTACCAGTTAGTCTACTCTTGGATAGACCTGCATAATAAGAGCCTAATTTTTTCAAGTCAAGTTGCTGAGGTTTCCAGTCCAGGGCTTCTGCAGGAAGAGCTCCCACTAGTTGTGTCCTTTCTCGTGTGCGGTCAGGTGTTTCTTCCAAATATTCCACATCTTCATATGGCTGAGGGGTGAATCGGCAATTATCAATACACTCCAGAACACAACATACACAAATTTCATGTATGAGAAGCAAAATTATTCATAAAATCATGCTCCTCAATTTGCTTGATTACTACTTTGCAAATATACAGCAACATATTGTATATTATAAAATTGTATAGGTGCTAAGCCTGCATACAACTATCACTGTTGCTATAGATCCTCAAGAATGTTCTTGGATGTGGAATAAGCATGAAACATCATTTGGTATTTTGCATGAAAATACTGTTAACAAAAATGGCCCAGAAATTCCATATTAGTGTGTTAATAAAATCACAGTAGCTAGGATTATGAAATTCCAGGAATTTCATGCATCACTCAGCCAATGAGTGATGCATGAATATCTGCATCAAGCACAGAGCTGGGATTTGATTCACACCATCCACTTACAAAACATCAGAGTTCGTGGCAGATCAGATACTGCATCAAGAAAATGTGATCAATCCTGTGAATTTTGATCCATGAAGTAAAATGTTCTCAACTTGTATGGATTAAAGGTGGAATAGAATATGTTGATAAATTTAATGTCCCTACAGCCTCAGTGTGATTTGTAATTTTTTTTTTTTATACAAGACTAAAGTAAGAATCTACCATGTAGTTCATATACAAATCTCCAACCACAAATGAACTTCACTATGACGCATCAAATGCATGCCTGTGATTACACTCAGAGGGAGCTACCCATTATCCAGGATGGATTCATCATATATTTGTTAAACCATCTTCTGCAACCATAAATGAAGAATCAATAAACAGACTGTGCCTGTATTCCTGCTGATAGACATATTGACAGTTCAAGGATGTAGATACAAATTTCAAGCCAACCTAGGAAGCTGCGTAGCGAATCCCAACAGATCATACAGCTGGAGGATGTTTAGTGTTTGGTTTTGTAATGTTGTGAAATTTCCAATTTGTGATCTGATATTTTGATTATTATTTATGGTATGTACATTTTGTGATGGTGTTGTAACTGCCTTATGGCTACCTCGAGAGGTGGAATTTGTAAGGAGGCAAAATAACAATTAAATATTTGATTGTGTCAATTAAAAAATATATATTTTCATTTAAATGTCATTTTTTTGTGATCGAATATATATTATTAGTGGATATTACATATAGACATTAGTGTATTTATTTTACACCCTTCATTAATTACAAGTGTAATATGTGTTATTTCTTCTGGTCATGATGGACTATTAATACTGACAGTGATTGACTAATGGACCAGAGTGCAGCTTCAACACTTTTGCTCATGTCAAAAGTTAAATCAAGACTTCCTTCAAATTTGAATAACTAAAAGTGATTGAAATACCACATGATTTAAATGAGGTCACAACTAATAAGTCATTAGTGATGAAGGGAAGACTGACTAGCAGTTATAACAGTATCAGAGATCCTAAGGATCTATGACTCATAACCCTAAAAATAATGGAATAACATTACCTGTATATTTGTAGCAGACTGAATGGATGTTCGAGAATCCTTCAAGAGCTGCTCCACCTGAAGATGAACTTCTACTGCTCCATGATCATTGGTCGAGTAACCTTTAAGGGCAGAATCACTTCTCACGTCCACCACTGCACCAGCATGGGCATGGTGAAGCAGTGGTGCTTCCTTACTTACAAGAGCTTTCAATTTGGAAGATTTTTCAATAAGCAGTACCTGCAAAGAAATATTAATACTAATTTCTACAGTTCATTATATATGCCCACTAATTATCGACAACTTTTTTTTTTTATAGCAAGGCCTCCATCGCTTACTACGTTTTACTCCCTGCACTAACTATTGGTAGTAAGGTAAGTGCATTATACTGTGTTCCCTCTTTCAGAATGTTTTATTTGCTTTAGTTGGGTAAATCAAGTTGGATAAATTCATTTGGGTAAAGTATAAATAAATCCTTGTTTATTTATACAGATCCTTCTTAATTTTTAATTAAGGATTAAACCAGTGAAGTACAGTATGTTGAATACCTATTATTATTATGGAATGGCTTCTTTCTTCTGAGGATCATCTTGCATTATGCACTGTTGCAGATGTCATCAGAGATGCTCCTTTTGAACCCAACAACATTGCTATCCTGTTTGAATGCTTGGTTTTTGCAGATCCTCATTTGCAGCTTGGCTAAATTAAGTCAAGCACAAGTACATAACTGGGCCAATGAGATGTAGTTAACTACATATAAGGCATTCTTTTCTGTGATGCCTTGCAAGGAAATTCCATCTCATGGGTTATAGAGATCAAATTAACACTTAGGCGTCGTGATGACGTGATGACGTTCACGCAGTCATCAAAACAATACATGCAGTTTGGGGCATCATATTAATGCCATCATCAATTAATTTTTTATTATTCTTATTAGTAAGTATAAACATTGTGAGTGAAAGTTTAACATTGGGTTGTGAGCTCACGGGCAATGCCCAGTCTACCTTGCAGTGTGATGCGGGTGGTCCACCGGGTCAGGCAAAGTGTTAAAGACACTTGATATTATTGGATACCTACCTAAGGCATCCCAGGTGTGGCACCATTGACAATCTTATGGTAAATTTCCAAATACTGTACTACAGGTCCCAGCCGAGGCATATACTGGATCTCAGGTCTTTTCGGCCCATGGTGTCCAGTGTTATCATGCAGTGAATATGAATGCTGAGCCTGCAGCCTGGGATCTATATTCTAGCATAAGTAAGCCATTCTGCAAGTGGTTTCAGGTAAAATGACTGCTATGTGAGGCTATACTTTCAGGAATAGCACCATAAATACAGCACAGAAATTATGTATGAGGACTGCTTCAGTAGCATGAGGGATACCTCAATATGCATGAGGACTGCCTCAGTAAGTATTTATAAGAAAATAGTGGTGGTAACAGGTGGTGGCAAAATGAGAAAAATAACAATGTAAATACAATATCTTTGAAACTTGTCATGTTAAATAATTAGCTTAAACTGTAACTAGAAGGTTGTACATACAATATTTACAGTAGCCCCCTCACACTTTTTGCAGTTTCCTATGTGCACATTTATAAACATTTCTTTAGTAACTTATTTTGGTAACCTACTGTATATTTCCTATACTGTACTGCACTCCTGACAATGAGATACCATGCAAATCACATGTAAATGTAGCGATACAATTACAATGAAGACTAATTTACTGACCTTAACACTTTTACCATGATCAGCGCCACCAGCACTTCTCGCAGGCACATCTTTTATCGCCTCTAATAACTTTTTATTGCCATGATCATCATCTACATCTTGTAAATGACCCTCCTTGAGAAATATAACAGAGGACTTGCATCTCTTGTGTAAACGTCTGTGATGTGTGTATCTTAGTTCTTGCAAACATGGCTTGGATGAAACGTGAACAGGCCATTTAGTACAACTAATACATGCAATTTCACTTGCTAGTCCAAGGGAACTCAACCCTCGTGCCCAAACTATGCTACCCATTTTTTAATGCCATGTTCAGTCAGACCTGTAAAATAATCAATATATAAGTACAAATTTATTAATAATGTAAAGTATATATATTGTATATGAACATGCATCATTTACATATTAAATTTATAACATTTCAAAATCTGAAATGAGTATACAAAATAGAAATTTGCCTTTTTCTTTATACCTGTACTGTATTAAGATAAACTCACAGCAAGCAAACCTTTACTAGGGTAAAGTCATTGGTCTTTAAACTCTTAAAAGTTACTTACATTCTCATTTGATTTAACACTAATTTATTTTTTTCAAATGTTATGGTGTAAATGTAAAAATTCTTCCCAGATGATTCACTGTAGTGACCATACTGTTCATGGTTTTTTGCATGTCGTCTGTTGTATTGAAGATATATATGTACTGAAATAACCTTCAGAACAACAGAAGTAGCCTAAATTACAAAGGTATGTGTACTCAAACAATACGGCAGATAATCATACCAGAAGCCCCTGGTATCGCCAGGGAAGGCGAGCACCAGGCCCACACAGAGAACCAACACAAACACTATCTATTGACACTCAGGAATACCAGATGATAGTGGCATTAGGCATCCTGTGAACTCTGGGTAGCAGAAAAAAGTCAAAGCCTAACAAAAAACCATGAAGGCCTCTCCAAAACTCTAAACCCAATTGAACACTGAACAAAATATAGCAATGTCTTCTGGTAATCTTCGGTTGAGCATAGCTAGACACCCACCATGACCCGAAGGCACACCAGGAGTCCACCAAGGGTTATCCTGAGGTTATCTTGAAATGATTTCAGGGCTTAACGTCTCCACGGCCTGGTCCTTAATCAGGCCTCCTTTTTGTTACACATCCCAAGGAAGCAGCCCAAAAGAAACTATACCCATTTATTTTCGCCTCTGTCGGGAATCAAACCTGGAACCTTAGGAATACGAATCCCGAGCAATGTTCACTCAGCCGTTGGGCCCCTTACTAAATTTCCCGGGTCCACTAACTTCCTGCACCTCTCGGCCAATCTGGCACTGGACATCTTTCCAACCAGAGACAACTGGGAAATGTGGGGAAAAAAATCTATCAACTTCCCTGTGACCCTAGGTAATAGGGGTACCGGGCCTCACAGAGAGAGGGATGGTGAAAAATGCCATACAGCAGTAAAAGAAATAAAAACCAAAGGGCAATAATTGCATTTTGCCTGCTGGCAGTCACCAGGCAGAGCAGATGTAAAGATTTTGTTGAATATGGTGTCATGGTTGAACCACAGAATTCAATTACAGTATATTATTTATAGGCATTAGTTGCATTGTTTTGATGAAAATAATATAGAGGTCATTTCATACAAAAGACAGTTGCACGCAGAGTATTTGTTATTGAAACCTATTTAACCTAACCTAGCAGTCCCTGTGTCCTCCATTATGGAATCCGAGGCCTTGCCCTGAACTATATCCGATCCTATCTTAGTGACAGACACCAATATGTAGCCAGCAATGATATAACCTCTCTCATTCTACCATTAACCGTAGGAGTGCCACAGGGCAGCATCCTAGGACCTCTCCTATTTCTTATATACATCAATGATCTGCCTAATGTCTCCAACATTCTTGAACCTATATTATTTGCGATACTACCTGACGATATAAATATATAAATAAATAAATAATAAATAAGGACTTGGCTGAAATGCTATGCGTGCTAGTGGCTGTACAAGAATGTAAGAACTCTTGTATATATTAATAAATTATAAAAAAAATCTAATCGAGCCTCAGCTAACAATACATGCTATACATCTTGCACAATTAATAAACGAACTAGAAACGAAACGCCGGTGTAGGACTGCACAACACCCCCATCACATCACAGGTATACAAGGTTACCACGCAATTGTCCAAAACTTGTAATTAATACAAAACAATGAAGGTATTTACATTTTTGTAATACTGACTCAGGAGTGGACTTTAGTATAGTAAACAATGAGGCTGAGGCGGTCTACACACAGGGAACGAGTGAGGTATGAGGAATGAGGCAGCCGTCCCTGCAGCCGACCTGTGTTTACATTACAATTTCCAAATAAAAAACTTACCCAATATTTTGCTATTATATAAAAAATATTGTGCTGCAATTTTCGGTTAGGTATATTTTGAATTTTCCTGTAATTACTTGTCTATTAAAGAAAAGAGCTAAAAATTAATTAATTAACAAAAGTCTCCCAATGGTCTTCAGCTTTACCGATAATATAATCTATCTTTTCTGAATGTTTCTATGTACTTCATATTATTTTTAATTTTATAAGTTATTTTTTTCAAGATGCTTCTATATATTTCTTAATTTGCAATGGCATATTTTCAAAACAAAATCATTCAATCCTAATGAATACTTGACATGCTACAAATATAAAAATATATATAAATAGACAAATAGAATAGATTTCTGGTATATTTATAAAATATTTTACATATATATATAAACATGATAGAGCTTTAATCATTAGTTTAATTATATACTGTATACATATACATTTACGCATTCAGATATCTAATGCATTATTGTACTGTCCTTGCTATTATAGAAGATTAGCATGAAGGTTGTATATATAAAAAGTGTTGAAGAGAAAAAATAACAGTGTTGGAGAAACAATGTTGGAGAAACAGTGTTGGAGAAGCAGTGTTGGAGAAGCGGTGTTGGAGAGCCCGAGACAGTGGCGGCTCCGTGCAGCAGCCGACCAAACTTACTCCATCATGTCCGACGCCGAGGACGACTTCATGTGTGATGATGAGGAAGAGTACGACTTGGTGAGTGCAATATGTCAGCCATGATGGATGTGTCGAGTGCTGGGGAGTAGTTGATGTGGTGGTGGAGGGGCGCCAGGGGCAGGGCGAGTCACTGCTCCCCCTCGCTGGGCTGGCCTCAGGGGGGCGGCAAAGATTTCAAATCGATTTTTAACTCTTTGCCATCACACCGGTGAGAAAGCGTAGCTTATAACCTTTAAATCTACACTAAAACAACAATTCTTTGTTTATATAAAAAAGTAAAAATATGCTTAACAATATTAATTTTGCTTCTGATGAGGCTAGGTTTTGAGTGCTACAATTTGCTAGGACTATTTCCAGTGCTCGTCCAAGTATTCAAGCTCTTGTGGACGAGGTGACCTGTAGTGTAGTGTGGAGTGCCCACGACTGGTGCCACCAGAGTTGGGTTACCAGGCAGGCACAGACGTTTGGATACATTTCCTTATACCTCTGTAGCAACTATTATAGTTGCTCAAAGTTCTCAGAGGTTCTGTTGCAGGCAGCTAAATGTTCCCATTAATCCCACATAACTTTTCCCTAAGAAAAGTTATGTACGTTCCAAGAAATTTATGATAAACATTTAAAGGTTTTCCAATAATTTTGAATTAATAATCCCCTGTGTGTGCTAATTAGAATCAATACATGTTCCCAAGGAATTATTCAAACTATTAATAACGTCTTATAGAAGTAAGCTTTCGCATTAGTCAGTTTACAATGACCTAGAAACGGGTCAGGTGAGCGTGAATATGAGCTACCACATTCACAGCATGTAGTCATTCAAGTTCCAACTCTGACACAAGATACTTCAAGCCTCGCTATAAAGCAGACAGCCAATCCTGGCCTTATTCGAGCTCTCTGCTCTCACCCTCGTCTAAGCTCTCCACTTCCACATTCATTCAAGCTCTCTGCACAACTCTCTTTCGAGTTTTCAACCCCCAGCCATGCTCAAGGTCTCTCCTCTTGGCTCCAGGCCTTACACAAGTTCTGTCTCCGGCCGCCTTCTGCACTACGGCTTGCCCAATTGTCGGCAGCATGTAACAAGCATCGTCGTCTTAGCCAAGCATGACATGTCATACCATTTCTGACATCCAGCTGATGTAACCAAACTATTAAATAAACATACAAAAATATACTCTTTTTTTTTTTTAAATGTTGATTGAATGCTATGCCTATGTTCACCTAGCAGTAGATACCCAGGTGTTAAGCATATGTAGTTGGTTGCATTCTGGGGGAAGGTCAGTTGTTGGACTTTGATTATCCAAGTCAGCCTAACAGACTTCCTGTCTTAAAAACAAGAAACCATTTTGGATGTACTAGTTGTTTTGTTAATAAATTCAAATTTTGATCCTTAAAGTGTGTGACAGAGCCCACCTGTGGTAATGGTATTCTACATCTTGTGCTAACATTAGAAGAGGGGCATTGTTAATTATATACATTTAGGGGAGAAACTTGCCACCTTCATTTGACAACGATATTCTAAGATGAAATACAATTATAGAAACTTACTTAGAGGTCCAGGGTGATGGCTACCCCTGAGGAGACTGTTATGGAATTAGAGAGGAATTGCAAAATATCTGGAAGGAGTAAGATACAAAAAACTTTGTATCTTTCTTAATATTTTCAGCAAGTTTTCATCTGTAATTTCGTTTGACTGACTTGATTTCCTCGAAATATTAATCTAAACTGCTACTTCTAAAGGTTAAATGTAACAAATACATGGGGCAATGACTTCAAGCTCAACATTTCACAATGTAGGACAGAAAACAAGAGATGCTTTTTCACCTACAGGGTTATACAGTACTGTACATGTAAATCCATGGAACCACGGGGACATTTAACAATCTGCTGTCGTCCTGTCTCCATTGAGACTAGAGTCACCATCTAGAGAGATGGTGACACATAAATTTAGGTACCTTGAGGTGCTTCTGGGGCTTAGCGTCCCCGCGGGTACTGTAATGTAATTATCCTAAACCCATGAAAAATATAGCATTTTCAATTACTTGCTGTAGATGAAGTTACAGTACTATATCGTTTACCACCAGCAATGTAATCGTTGTCAAATTACAATTTGGCATTTCCTACCACTGTTTGAATCTATTTCTAGATGACATTACTAGACATGATAGCAAAGGAGTAGGGTGTAAAACACCTTTTTTAAGTTGTACAAAGAAAAGATTTAGTTGCATTATAGGTGTACTGTACATTGTAGGCAAATACAACAAATAATCTGGAGCTGTAAAATTGGTATACCACTTAAACACTTTTTATATATCATTTTATGTCACTTTTGATATCACTTTTGTGATGTCATTTTATAGGTACAGTACTTTACTGTAAACCTCTCCTTGTTATTCATAATAGTAACATCAGTAAAGGTATTACTGTATTGTGGTGTGTACGGTATATATTTTCACATCTGATTTGAAGACCAATAACTTGCTTTAGGGGCCAGATACTGACAACTTTATCATAAGTGCTATGTTTGGAATATAGGTGAATAGTGATAAACAGAGAAATTAGTTTGAAGAATGGTATGCATACTGTTTGTGCTGTGTATTGCTACCCAGTTTTAATTTCTTAATTCTTATGCAGGAGTACTCGGAAGACAGTAATAGTGAACCTGATGTTGATCTTGAGAATCAGTACTACAACAGCAAGGCCCTAAAAGAAGATGATCCAAGAGCAGCTCTTACCTCCTTCCAGCGTGTCTTGGATCTTGAAGCTGGCGATAAGGGCGAATGGGGTTTCAAGGCACTCAAACAGATGATTAAAATAAATTTTAGACTGGTATGAAATATCTCCAATATTGCTTGCTGTTTTTCTTATACTGTACTTGGTATTTTGATGATAAAATGTGTTTGTGGGTATAGTAGCTAAAATAATTTATTCACATTGCCTTCATTTAGTAAGAATGTACACGTTTTGCCATGGCCTACTTAAAAATGCTACATTTTATGAAAAATTAACCAAATTCATTTGGATTTTTCTTTCAGGGAAATTACGAGGAGATGATGACACGCTATAAGCACTTGCTGACTTATATTAAATCAGCAGTTACTCGGAATTATAGTGAAAAGTCCATCAACTCAATCCTGGATTACATATCTACATCCAAAAATGTTAGTACGCTACTTATATAAAAAAGCAAAATTTATAATATTGTACATAGCCATGTTCCTGGGGTTTCCTATGCATTGGAAACCCACTTATATGTAGACGATGAGTCATAATAACATAGCTGAAGATTAAACATCAACCCACAAATCTGAAAATGAAGAATGAATGACGTTTTGGTCAATCCTGGACTATTATCAAGTTGTGTAATGGGATTACATAGCTTGATAATGGTCCAGGATGGAGCAAAGCTTTGTTAATTCTTCATTTTGCAGTCTTCATGGCGAAGTGGTAATCCACTCGCCTGGCATTTCACGAGCGCTTTGGCCTGGGTTCGTATCCTGGGCCGGGGAGGATTTACTGGGTGCCAATCCTTAACTGTAGGCTCTGTTTACCCAATAGTAAAATAGGTACCTGGTTGATACCTGGACAGATTCCATCTGTCTTCCATAAATCTGCAAGCCTATGCAGATTTAAATGCTAACCATGTAAAACCAACTATTGTTCTAAAGTGGTAATTTGTGTTGGTTTGGCAAACAGTAAAATACGTTGTGTGAAACCTAGGTGCATCTGAATAATAATAGTATTTTAAGAAATATTTTATTCTAAGGAATTTTAATGTTAATGCATAAATATTTTGATAGGATAGTGCTTTCAAATTGTTAAATATTTAAAATGGCTTATGGGATCTTTTATTTCAGCACAGTATAATGTAGCAGTGCTCTGTACTACACTCAAATGATGTTACAGTATATACATTTGTTGTATTATAACACCAATCATTCCATATTATAATTTGATTTGCTAAATAATATACTGAAAATTGATCGTGTTAATATTTTTTGCAATCTTAGATGGAGTTACTGCAAGATTTCTATGAAACAACACTAGAAGCCTTAAAAGATGCCAAAAATGACCGACTATGGTTTAAAACAAATACAAAATTAGGCAAGCTGTATTTTGACCGAGAAGATTACACAAGACTCTCCAAGATATTGAAACAGCTGCATCAGTCGTGTCAAGTAAGTTATGATATGCTCTATGCTGTGTTTCAAGATATTTGCACACAAAAAAGAGGTACCTCGTGTCTCATAATAGATACAATGAGTATACTTTGGTCTTAGATTATATTCAGAGATACCTATCCTGTATCCAGTAAGTTTACAGATATTTCCTCAGAACTCCAGTGTAGCTGCAGCTTCAGTGCCTCACTCTCACTTTGTCAGTTTTCCCCCTCTGTTTGTTACTTGATAGCCTTTCAATAAATCGACATCTATAATTAGATTGTGTATATGAGCTTTGTCATTATTTATACAATGATTTGTGGCTGCAGGTCCAATACCCCTTTTTAATTTCCCCCTGTCTTATAAAGGTATTCCAGTAGCATTCATACTGTACATTACCTTAATGGTGCTCAATAGTACTTGGGAGCAGCCGAATTCATGCTAGTTACATGTCGTTTGAATGATACCCGGTACTGTATTAATTAGTAATTTATTATTTATAAACAGTAGAAATTAGTAGTTGAATATTTTGTGATACTTCCTGTATCCAAGACATGACGTTGCTTTAAAAAGAGTATTAACATAGCAAATCTAACATTATATGGTATTATGAACTTTATATAGCATTGCATGATACTATATATATATTTAGTTGGCCACACTTACAAGTTTTGTGGTAATTGAGAAATAAGGAGTCCTTGATGTTATGGTTAGAATTTGCTGTTGTATCTTCTCTTGACAGACTGATGAGGGAGAGGATGATTTGAAGAAGGGGACTCAGCTTTTGGAAATATATGCTCTGGAGATCCAGATGTATACTGCTCAAAAGAACAACAAAAAATTGAAGGTTTGTCAAATATATTAACTTTTTTTTTTTTCTACCAGATTAGAATTTGTCATGTGTAGAGAAAGTATAGGAACACAAAGTTAAGGGAGCCAAGCCATTGTTACTTATGAACATGTTTACAGACTTATATTTCTTTGATATTTAGCCTTTGAAACATAAACATTGTTATTATTAATAGTTGAATGATATTTTTACGCTTGTTAAACAAATATTACAGTAAAGTCGTTTGAGTAATATTGGAAAAAAATATACTAAATGTTTCCTAATAATAATATAAATCATGTTGTTTTTTATTGTCTAAAAATTTAATGCATAATAAAATGACTTTTTCATAATTTTTCTGGGGGGAGCCCCATCGGCTCCCCGGAGCTTACTAGGCTGATATGCTAATGTCAGACTTTGGCATCAGTCATGTGTATAGAGTTCTATGGGCCTACCAGTGACCATGTGCCAGAACCTGGCCCCCCTCAGAAGAGGCATGGGGAGCAATGGCCTATAGAAACCCCTGTGTGGTTGGACGCATTCTGTCGGCCATCCACCGGGTCAGGCACCCAGAAAGGTAAGCATTCCAAAACAAACCCCTATTCTGGTGAAAATATTGCTACCACAAGTCTAACAAGTGGATAGAACTCCCCTAAAAGAAACGATCATGACGTCACACGTCGCCGCGCCTCTGACTGTGCAGTTTCCCCCCACCCCCTTCCTGGGAGGGGGAAGGGGGAGCCCCAGACCCCTCACGCCGGCTATCTACCCTAAGTTCTCAGGCTGATGCTAGAGGCAGTGGTTCTGTGCTTGGCTCCAGCGTTTTTCAGCACTACTTAGTGTGTGGTGGGATGATATTCAGATGAGGTCATCTGAAGAGTGAGAAGGGTGTTTGGAGGTCTATCTTGAGATGATTTTTTGGCTTAGCGTCCTCGCTGCCCGGTCCTCGACCAGGCCTTTTTTTTTTTTTTTTTTACACATCCCCAGGAAGCAGCCCGTAGCAGCTGTCTAACTCCCAGATACCTATTTACTGCTAGGTGAACAGGGCATCATGGTGAAAGAAACTGCCCATTTATTTCCACCTTTACCGGGGATCGAACCCGGAACCTTAGGACTACCAATCCCGAGTGCTGTCCGCTCAGCTGTCAGGCCCCTGTCTAAGTCTAACAGGGGTCTTGATGGACGATTATTTGGTCTATGTCCCTGAGCCTCGACATGCCTGTGTTATCATGCATTGTGTCTTTTTGCTAGTTGTCTTGCCTTTGTCATAGTAACTATGTTCCACCCTCCTCTCTGATAACCCCCTGAGTTTCTTATCTATGGTTAGCTAGCTTCATGGAACCACAAGGGGCTCCCCTAGAAAACCAGCATTATTCTTCTGGATGCTTTCCCAGTGGGGTGGGGGAATGTCACTTGCTCTCTCTGCTTCTGGGGGGGAGGTTTTGGCTCTGGTCCCTAGTAAGTTAAACAGAATTCTATGACTGATGTAACCTAGTAGTTGGAAGCAATCTCAGCAAGATAGCTTCAGGGAGCCACCAGGGCTTATCTAGAAAGAGACATTTCAATATATTCAATGCTGGTATTCCTCCAAAAAGGTAAATACTGTAACTTTGTGTCTGGAGACCAGCGCCTTTACTATTGCTAAATGTCAGTTGCCATAATATGTTTTATTTACATCTGGCTTAATAGTATATGGAGGTGATATGGTGACCTATAATACTGCCCTTGATTGGCTGTAATCTAACATACCTAGTTTTTGTTGATGACCAGACCACACATCAGAAGATGGAGAAACGACAACATTTCTCCAAGTATAGTGTAGTACATCACACATGACTTGTTAATGGTCCAGGACGGACCGAGACGTTTCTCCATCTTCTGTTGTGTGGTTCAGTCATCATATCTAATGCCACATTATTGTGATTCATCATCTGCATAGTTTTTGTTCTAGTTGTAAATCATCCCTTTACAGGCCTTGTATGAGCAGTCACTTCATATTAAATCTGCAATACCTCATCCCCTGATCATGGGTGTTATTAGAGGTAAGTATACTATACAGTAATATGTACTGTACATATTTAATGTTGCATCAACTGAAAAGTTATTGATTTCCTCAGAGTAGAATGCTTTAGCATAATGAAACATAAATATGCTCAGCTATAGTTTTATTATCTTCTGGAATGTCATGGGCATTTTATTTACATATGTGTGTGTGTGTGTGTGTGTGTTGTATTTGTGTATTGATGGTGGTTGGTGGTGGTGTGTGTATTTATATGTATATGACCGAAAAAGTTAGATTTATAATTCTAACACAAATTTTCTCAATATTTCTTATGTTTCTTTTTACTGTCGATAGTAATTGAAAAATCAATTCTCCAAAATTCATTTTTAATTCTAGCCTGACGCGACGCTTGAACGCGTTTCGTAATAACTTATTACATTTTCAAAGACTTTAGTTTACACAAACAACTGTAACCTGAAAACACTAACAGAGTCTTACTTCTATTAACACTGAACAGCTTAATCGTCTTTCTTATACTCGCGTTTGGGTGAGGTGATATGGTGCAACAGTTTTGGATGAGGTGAACAAATACAAGACAGAATACAAAACAATGGGTATTAGTTGGATATGAGAGCATGAGAATGGAAGTAACTTCAGTGGCCTATTGGCCCAAACTTCCTCTTGATGCTTCTGTATTGGTTCGGAGTCTTGAAGTAGGTAGAATATAGTTGTGCATTAATTGGCTGTTTATTGCTGGTGTTGACTTTTTGATGTGTAGTGCCTCGCAGATGTCGAGCCTCCTGCTATCGCTGTACCTATCGATGATTTCTGTGTTGTTTATTAAGACTTCTCTGGTGATGGTCTGGTTGTGGGAGGAGATTGTGTGTTCCTTTATGGAGCCTTGTTGCTTATGCATTGTTAATTGTCTGGAAAGAGACATTGTTGTCTTGCCTATATACTGAGTTCTTTGGGGCTTACAGTCCCCAAGTGGGCATTTGAAGGCAAAGACGACGTTGGTCTCTTTCAAGGCATTCTGCTTTGTCTGGAGAGAAAGTGAGTCTGGAGAGAGACACAAAGTAGAATGCCTTGATAGTATGTAGGTTATGAGGTTGTGTGTTATTATTGAGTATAATAGTATGAGGTTATGTGCTGCTGGACTCAGTCATGTCTCAAGGACCATCCACCATCTGTGTACAAGGCTTCCCAATCTATACACATGAAGTTCTGCCTTAATCCATTATATTTGCTTTCAACCAATTGGGAACCCTAACACTTATCTTTTACATCTTTTCTCCATGTTAGGCTAAATTTGATTTTCATGTTGCTTTCCTTACTCGCTCTCTATATTGATTCTGTTCACAAATGTCTCATCCATGGTTTCTGCCCACCATCTGAGGAGCTGGAAGAACTCGACCACCTGTGACAACTAACCTCGTACCTTGCGTGCAACCATTATTGTAACCCATTTTGTGTAATGAAGTGTTAAATAAAATTAAAATATCAAAATATTTCTCCTACCATCCGCTACATATATAGGGGATGGTAGATGACAATATGAGTGTGTATGCAGATGGCCCACAAGGCTTCCCTCAGGACTTATTTATTTAAATATTTATTTATTTTTATTTATTTATTTTTGTATTAGTTTTATTGATATGGTCAAATAATTAATTTTCATATAGTTTTAGATTTAAAAAAAAGAAAAATTAAATTTTAAAAGTCATCTCTTGGGAACTACTACATGTACACACACACAGCCAAAGGTTTAAATACATTTAAAACAAAACTGATTATTCGCACCTTGACCTCCTTTGTGACTCCATCCATATATTATTACATTTAACAACCATGAAATTTGCATTTTGTGGGTTAAAGAGAATAAATACTAATTTTGACTTTTGTCTTGCATTTGGATAGATGTTAATGTAAAGAGCACATTTAATACTCTATTTAATATACTGTACTATACATACCTTTTTAACATTAGCTTTTTTTTCTGACTAATGACTCCTAAAATTTGCTTGAAATCTGGTTGGGTCCAGCTATATTACAGAAACACCAGCACATTTGAAAAGTTAATAATGGAGGATTATACACAAGCTAATGTCCTGAACTCAAACTCTGGTCTCATGGTCCCCCAACACTTTCCTGAAGGTTGATTGTCATAGAATGTGAGGCAACACTAGAAGGGCGAGAGGATTCATCCCTCGCACTCGCAATTCTCTCTCTCTTGTCTCACAGTGAAATGGCTCTTTGTATATCAAAGGTATGTTTATCCTCTGTAAACATCTTTGATGGTCAATAATACCAAGGCAGCATGACCAATCAAATTTAAATGTTTAATACATTAGTATCTTTACTGAAAGAGATCAGCTCCAAGGCAGTCATTAAGTTACTTTTATAAATGATAGAGCTCAGGTAAAACAGTGGCTATAAATTGTAATTATTTACCAAAACATGTACTTGGGTTTGGAATGGTAACATTATCATTTCTTTGCTGTTAATATCTGGTTAAGAACTTAGCTTCATGAACATAAAATCAGAATTGTTTCTTGTTTATCTTATCTTTTAGAAATTTAAATATAACCATCACATGTTCCTCACATCTGTGCACTAGAATGGGTAAGATTTCAGTCTTACCGAGTGGTGGTCTCTCAGCACAACTTGGACCCTATGATAGCAAGTGTTGTGGAGTCTTGTGCATTAGTTTATCACCCACTTGTGCATTAGTTTATCCACTAAGCAACAGCCTAGTGGACCAAACCCTCACAAGTCAAGCACAACTTGACTTGTTATTGTGACTCATCATCGGGGAGTAGAACTCCCAGAACCCCATCAACCAGGTATCAACCAGGTAACCCTTACATCAGGACTGTGTCAGGTTTCTATGGATCATTGATTGCATTTGTAGTTCAAATGTATAGTGTGTGGTGACATACGACATCTGATTACTAGCAGATGGCAGTTCATACATCTCATCTGTATAATCATGGATGGATTCTGCTACCAGTACTTTAGTGTAAAGTGTGTCAGGTAGCGGGGAAAAGTCACTGCTGACCTGACCTTTCCAGTGGTTTTGATAACCCATTGCTCCTCCACTCTGTGACATCAAAAGAACCCATAGTTTGCCCAGTCATACATGAGTGATGGTAGAAACTGCATTCTGATTGGTGTCCTGTGCAGAAGCCTCTCCATGGTGAGAAAGGCCATCTCGCTCAGAGCTCCGTCACCTCATTCTCTGTGAGGCTACCAAGGAACAGTACAGTGACACCTTGACTTACTACTGCCCCTATTTACGAATTTTTTGAGTTACAAAGTTAATTTGGTTGGAAAAGGCGACTCAACTTACGACTTTTGCCTTGATTAGCGACTTTGTTGATACACGTATAGGTCAACAGATCTCGTGGTTCCTGGTGGCACAGCCGCCCCCATCTTAGTTTACCAGATCCCCCCACTTAGTGATGATTGTGCTTATAAAGAATTTCATTATTTTTGTGCTTTTTTGTTTTTTGAACATAAAAGTAATTATTATATACCAGGCCTCCTTTTTGTTACACACCCCCAGGAAGCAACCCGTAGCAGCTGTCTAACTCCCAGGTACCTATTTACTGGTAGGTGAACAGGTGCAAAAGGGTGAAAGAAACTGCCCATTTGTTTCTGCCTCTACCGGGGATGGAACCCGGAACCTCAGGACTACGAATCCCGAGCGCTGTCCACTCACTCAGTTGTCGGGCCCACTGTCCATGTGTACATACTTTGTTTTTGTTTTATGTTGAATGAATTAAATGTTAAGCACATAGTGTTTCAGAAAATCCCTTCTCTCTTATATTTGCAAACTTACTGTAACTGTCCCATAAAAGGATCCTCCACCTATGCTAGCCTTATCAATAAAATTTGATGAATCGATTTCCGATTTTCCTACACCACCAGGTCAAGATCAGACACAACCTCTATCTGGCAAGATTTCAAAATCTTGTGCCATTGCTCTAGGCATTTTACATTATTGATAACCACTGTTAGTGGCTAGTACGCCTGTCGTAGCCTGGTGCATTATTTTAAATTCCCAGCAAGGGATAGGGGCAGCTATAGTCCAGCCACGCCCGATAGTTACCAGACGCTACCTGGTAATCGTGGGCAACATTCCCGGGTGTGAGAGCCTCGGTACTGAGTGAGCCACCAAGGCTGGCACACGCAGCATGAGCTCATAGCATCGCTGTTCAGCTTGTGACCACAGCATCGCCTAAAGAGTAAAAATATACGTGTACATGCTGTTATTTAGCGATGATAGTGTTACAGAAGACCCCTGACTGTGATAAAACTGACCAGGATTCTGATAATAGCAGGACTCTGATGATATTTAACGCTGTGCTCCATGGTGTGAGGAGTAATGCTGAGGGTAATGCTACACATAAGGGGCATAACTGGCCGACCCCTCACAGTGTTCAAGAGAGAACTGGATAAGCACCTCCAAAGGATACCTGATCAACCAGGCTGTGACTCATACGTCAGGCTGCGAGCAGCCGCGTCTATCAGCCTGGTTGATCAGTCCAGCAACCAGGAGGCCTGGTCGACGACCAGGCCGCGGGGACACTAAGCCCCGGAAGCACCTCAAGGTAACCTCAAGGTAGGTAAGGAGGGAGGGAGGGAGGTGGCGTCGTCTTCTGACTGAGTGTGGCCACTTTTAATTGACTGGACTTACCATACCACCTTAGACGTTGGCTATGGTGAACAAAATGTAGATACTTATATATATAACATGTGTATAGAGTGTAATAACAGCAATAGGAGTATGTAGGGAGCCGCCATTTTGGTGAGGGAGGTGTGTCATCTGCATGACATGTCATGTTTACTCTTGGCCACTATGGTCTTTGGGCATCATACCAGCTTATTTGTACAGGTATGGTGAATAAAACGTGTAGATACTTATATATAATGTGTGCATATAGTGTAATAACACCACAAACAGTATTGTTGGAGGAGAGAGAGAGAGAGAGTAGTGTATCTGGCCTTGAATCAGTGACGGTAGCAACCACCAGCTGACTGTGTAGCTGACTGTGTGTAGCTACGTCTCTTATTACCTGAACTCACCATACAAGCTTAGATTTACAGTTATGGTGAACAAAACATGTAGATACTTATATATAATGTGTCTGTATAGTGAATAAAAGCAAAAACAGTATGGTGGGAGGAGTATGTTGGCAAGTGAGGTGAGGGAGAGAGGGCAGCCAGTGGCTGGCTGGTGTGTGCTGGCCACTTTTCGTTGCTTTTTGAATCACAATACTAACTTAGTGGTTCGTTATAGTGAACAGAACATGCAGATATTTATATATAACCTGTGTACATAGTGTAATAACTGCAAAACTATTTGTTTATTGTTTTGTGAACATAATAATTGAATCACTAATATGCACACTACAATTTTGAGTACAGTGATGGTTCATACATTTTATTATATAAATACTGTTTATCACAATATACACTATTTAATAATATTACTGCAAAAAAAAATAATAAATCATTGAAATAATTAGGTAATAATATCTTTGTGGCAACTCCCGCCTGACAGCTGGGGCGGAGTAGACCTCGTCTGGTGTCTGCTCTGTCAACGCTTCTTTTTTGCCAGACTTCCCCTGCCCTATTGCGGCCAAAATATGCCCCCTATGATTTATTTTTTTTATTTTTCCCGTGATCAGGGAACACAAATGAACATTTTTATAAGACAAAAGATTTTTTTTTTTTTTTTCACCTGTGGGTGTTGATGGCCAAAAGGCCCTTAACAGCCTTTGGGTTAAGTTAGCAGCATTTACATAAATAAAAGTAAGGGACCTCTCATTATTGGGTACTGTAACCCAATGCCACATTTTCAATTATGTATTTTTATTCTTGTTTGCTCTTTGTTCTGTATTTCATAGGAAACTATAAATGGACTGAAATAAAGTGGGGAAAATTGTAATTGGAGTGCATGGCTCTATTCTAGAACTTTTGTTATATAAAATAATTTTGTACGTGATTTAGTCACAGGATTAACAAGCCACATTAAATGCTGTTGATACAAAAAGTAAGGCAGGAAATCTATTGAGAAAACATTTCAGAATTGCTAGAAACCCATTTAGATAGGCTTTTAAAATATATGAAAGATTTAGAGAACAGTTTGATGTTGATAAATGTAGGGTTCTGAGCCTAGGTGTTGTTAATAAAGGCACTGGATAATAACGTTGAAATTGCAAAATCTGAATGCGAAAAAGATCTTAAACTCGTGTTTAGTTGGAATTTTAAGCCAAAAAATCGGTGTATGAATGTTCTAAATAAGGCAAATAGAGTAATGGGATTTATATCTAGAAAAATTGGTAAGAAAACATCTAGTGTTATTCTTCAGCTTTATCTTGTTATTGTTAGCCTCATTTAGATTATTTAGTTCAGTTTTGGGCACCATACTATAGAATGAATATAAATTCAATGTAATGTATACAGAGAAGGATGAAGCTAATCCCAGGAATTAAATACCCCCATGTCAAGAAAGATTATGAAAGCTTACTTTACATTCCTTAGAAAGGTAAAGAGTAAGGGGGACATAATTGATTTATTCAGATAGATGAAAGGTTATAACATGGGAAAAATATAATAGTATACTAAATGTATCAGTAGGTGGTAGCATTGCTTATGCTACCACCCTACCACTCTACTACCAGCGGCATGTATCTAATAGACTTGGTGAATTTTACTCCTCTGTTCCAAGACTATTTTACTGCAGATCATAACACAGAGGTAATAATGATGAATATCTACATCCCTCTTAAAATATATCTGTGCAGTATACATGTTTAACTTCATGTTTTCTTTAGGATACAAACTGGGTAAGTTTAGATTCAGAAACGTCCTTGGTAAATAAACAGGTGCACAAGGGCCATGATGAGGATCATCCTGGGCATAAGTTCGAACCCCTCATCTCAGCCCTTGTGGATTTGTTCATTTGATGCATCATGCTATTGTGATTTCTGTGTGTAATCCTTGGTAAATACTGATTTGAGAATAGGGTTGTAGAACACATTATTGCATAATATGTGAGTGGGATCGCCAGATAATTTTAAACGTAGATTTGGTTGGAAATAAAAAGGAGCTGCCTCATGAAAGGGCTTTTTGTGATTTAATTTATTCATATAATATTTATGATACATTTGTGTGTTTTGCAATATGTGTACATTACAAATATTCATGTTTATTTTCAGAGTGTGGAGGAAAGATGCATCTTAGGGAAGGAGAATTTGAGAAGGCCCATACAGACTTTTTTGAAGCATTTAAAAACTATGATGAATCTGGTAGCCCAAGGAGGACAACATGCTTAAAGTATCTTGTTTTAGCAAATATGTAAGTTGAAGCTAATATATATATACTGGTAACTTGTAAATAAAATTTATTGTTTATTATAATGTAAAGTTGAGAGCTAATCTCATTATTTATTTTTAATAAATGTCTCCAGGTTAATGAAATCTGGTATCAACCCATTTGATTCACAAGAAGCAAAACCCTACAAGAACGATCCAGAAATTTTAGCAATGACCAACTTGGTGGCTGCGTACCAGAATGATGACATCAATGAGTTTGAAACTATACTGAAACAAAATCGATCAAATATCATGGATGATCCATTTATCCGGGAGCACATTGAAGGTTTGTAATCTTCAGTTATACTGTATTTTCCTTGAAGGTATATGAAACTAACCACTCTACCACCTTATATCTTTCTTAACACGCATCCTGCATTTCTTTAAATAGCATCTAAATAATTAAATAAATCTATAGAAATGCCTTTTTGAAAATAGATGATAAGTACAGTATATTGATTATATTTTCATGTCGCTACATTATTAACCACCGCACTGCACAAAGCACCTTAACCCTTAAACTGCTCAGCATTTAAAGGGGTATAATTTGAAAAATATTTGAATTATGTCAAAATTACTTAGAAATGTTAAACAAATTTCCAACTTATTGGCTTCAGCGTCATGAAACTTTCATCAAAATATTTTCAGAAATTGATTTTAGATGAATATTTAAAAAAAAAACATTTTGTTGATAAGGAGAACAGCTTTTATTATTAACTGTAACTGATGGATAAAGCATTATCCATCAGTTCCAGCACCTGTCCAACGCACAACGAGGAAGAATACTAGTAAGATTGGTGGCATATAATATAGTAATAGTAGTAAGATTGGTTTTACATATAGTGTACAACAAAAAGAATTTGTTGTAGTAAGACGTTGCTCCACAGAGCAACCCATCTGTAGGTCAACTCTGTAGTTGCTCCACAGAGCAACCCATCCTCCGAATTGACAGTACGATTTAATACTAAGTGTAATAAGTACACTTTCTAACTGTCATAACCAGTGCATAATTGCACTTATGGGGCTGTTACATTTACCCAACTCCCTCCCCCGATTTAATTCCCCTCGTTTTCTGTTAAGACACACAGAATTTTAGGATGAAATTTTCAATTTCATTTTGCAATACACAAGTTTTAAATATCAAGAATTTTTTTTTCTGGTTTATTAAACAATATAGATTTTATACAAAATTTTAAAATATCCAGAGTTATTTTACAATTTATTGATATATTTTAGTTTTGTTTTATTAGTTTTATAAAACTGAAATATCAATATAGCTATAGGTTAAGTACTAATTGTAATTAAGAAGCAATAAAATTATTATCTTCAAAAACTAAGACGGTTAGGTGAGGTTGTGGTTTTCTATTCAGTTTTTCAGGTAAACGCAAATATTCACAATATATTTGACAGTACGATTTAATACTAAGTGAAAATAAGTACAATTCCTAACTTCTATGAATAGTACATAATTGCACTTATTTGTCTTCTTACATTTACCACCCCATTTTTGGAGGACGGGCTGCACAGAGTGGATATACAGCTGGTGCCTTTGTAGCATTGCTAAGTAATACATAATAACACAAATAATAATGAGTAAGTATGTTATTATGCTTTATTTTGTTATATATCATATAAATACATTGCCCAATGTTATCAGTTATTTTCAATAATGTCCAAAAAATATTTTTTTTAGGGTATTTTTTTTTTCCTCCTTTGTTTATTATTTGAATTTGTTGTAACCTATACATTCTGGAGAATGCATACTCCTACCTTACTATGTGAAGACAAATAAATTATTCAACAAGTAAATCAGTCACAACTCTCAGAACTTGGGACTTTGAATTTTTTTTGTTTTTTTTCACAGATTTCAAACTATTTTCCTTGTTTCTTTAGGTTGTTTTGATGATTAGGGACCAGATTAGGGCCTTTTTACTTATATAAAGTATACCCTAAATATATCCCCTAAATCATTATAATTATGACAATTATCCCTATTTTTGGGGGGGGATTTTTTCCCTCTGCTCTGAGTTTTTTTTTTTTTTTTTTTTTTTTTTTTACTTATGCTATATTTGAATTTTTTAAAGTTTTCATCACTCTTTGTGTTTTGAAATGAATATGGTTGGGTTTGGAAACATTTTGACATTAACTATACCTGAACATTTATAAAAACAACAATACAGTATGTTCTTAACTGCACTATGACGTTTTTGCCGAAACCAGGTGCGCAGTTCGGTGGTTAAGTGGGTGACTCATTACTCCGGTGTATTTCATAAAAATAAATGCTACAGTACTGTACTTTGAAAGCTTTTTCTATTTTTATTAATGTTTATATATTTGCTACCTGTAAATAAACCAAATAAGGAGCAAATAGATTACAGTACCAGTTAAGCAGTGTAATGATGGAATGTGAGAGCACTATTGGATTACATAATTGGTGATAATATAAATTTTAATATGGAGATTTTACCCACATAATGGTTTATTTACAGGTAGAAAATATTTAAACATTAATATAAATAGGAAAAGTTTTCAAAGTACAGTGCCATAACGTATATTTTTGTGAAAAAATAATTATTTTTTCTTGTGTGCTTTTCTCCGAGGCTAAGGGTCCCGTTCTTTCAGCCAGAGGTGGTTCTCCCTTTCTTATACTATTTGTTTGATAATAATAATAATAATAATAATAATAATTATATACATACTCTATAGACTTTATTTATATTTCCTCTTGCCAACATCCTGTTCCTCTACTATTCTAGTCTTAATAAACATCATCACAAACATGTGTTCAGATATCCTCATGCCTAAAGTTACCATATACACTTCAAATACCTTTTGTTCATTTTTCTTTCTTTATGGGATTAGGCCTTAGGAAAGGTGGTGGAAGTGGTTAGGCTATTCAGTGCCAATATTTCCCTAAAACATGGCCTGCCAATTGTTTTACATAGAGATCTGCAATTATTACTGTGTACAAGGGGGAACAGTAAAGGAATGATGCCCAGTAATCCCACCTTGCCTAGTGTTCGAGTCTTGGCCGCTCTTACTTGCAAGCCCAGCAGAATGCAGGTGTGTTAACCATTTCATCAAGTTGCTTTCTGCCTCTTTGGGAGCCTTATTTTGAGAGCTTCAGTCTGCATTTTTTGGTATTCAAACCTCAATTTTGCAGAGATAAGGTTTATTATTAAATATACAAAATAACCTTATACCAGAGATAACCTTACCAAAGGTCCTCCATTAGTTTGTTTTCTTTATTCAGTACTGTAATGACTCTCATATCCCATTACAAGTCACTTATATCATTGATCATGCATTGCAAACATTGAACATACTTATCAGAATTGTTGAGTGAATAAAGTGCTGTAAGTGAATTTTTGTTTTTAATTAAATTTTGTTAATAGTTTTCGATTATGCATCACTATTGATTCTTCACTACTTTATTTTCCCTGTGAGCAGTAACACAAAAGGTCTTAATCAGATCTTCATGTATGTTTGACACTTTATGATTAATTATAATGATGCCTAATAATAAACTTCTTGCACTACAACTGCTGTAAGTGACAATACAGTATATTATAACACATTGGAGGTAAGTCATTTTGGCAACATTTGAAATAATTTCCAAAGTTGGTGTAGTAGAAGAGTTGCTAATTATAATTTGTCTACACAGCCTAAACGTTCATTATCTATATTTCCTTTATCAATCAGAAGCAAAATATAGATACAGTGCAAGATTTTCATGTATTTTATTGTTTATATGAAAATGATTTGTGATTTGCAATGCACATTTAGATTGATTTAAATGTCTCAATTGTTATGTAGTATAAAGTATAATGATCAAGTGTGTATCCCTGTCTTTGCCCACACACTGTACATGTCATGTTATTTAGGTCTCCATACTAGCTGAATTCCCAGGAAAACTTGTAGCCAAGTTACATTCAAGCTGTGACAACAACTGTCAATCTACTGAATTTACTTGGTTTTTATTTTTAGTTCAAATGTTCAAGTTGATTATTTTAACTTGTGTGCATATACCTTTGATGAGCTGCTTTATGATTGATAATCAAACACTATTGATCGAATGGGAATATTTATAGTGTTTGACCTGTATAAAATCCAAACAAATACTGTTATGTAAAATATTACACACATTACACACAGAAATCACAATTGTGTGATGCATCAAATGAACTTCCGGTTGCAATTCTTTTACCATGTTGTAGCTCAGTTGATTAAGGCAGCGTCTGGGATCCTCTCGAACGTAGGTTCGAACCCTTGTCACGGCCCTTGTGGATTTGTTCATTAAACCCATTCTTCAAACAACTGAAATATATGCATATTTTTGGCAGTGAAGTGTTCATAAGGTCCTGCAAGTCTGTCCATCTCACCATCCTTCATTTGCAGTTTTTTCTTTGGCAGCATCCCTGCTGGAGTCACACGTGGCAACCCCTTCTATTTTCTTCACTTTCACATATATTCTGTAAATGGTTTACCAACTTTTTTCCATTATTCATTCTTGCCGTCATATTTTTTTTTTCATCTTTTTCACTTGTATGCATTAAGTGGTGGCAGTCCTTATTCTTTCCTTATTCTTTCCTCATATTCTTGTTTTTCCATGTAAATGGTCCATTGGCTCAGTTGGTTATAGACAAACACCATGACAAGAGTAACTTTATTTGAAAACATCTTGTCATTTCAAATAGATTTGGTAATGCTCGTACAGGTAAAAATGTCATTTACAAATGAAATCGACTCTCATCGTTGTGTTTCCATGAGTGATTGTATTTTGGATGAGCAAACCAGCCTGTCATATTCCTTGACATATTTAAATTACAGGTAAAGGAGTCCTTAACACTTTAAAAATATTTGAAATATTGTGGAGAATTCTGCATGTGGCTGCCCTCAAAGATGAGATGCTCCCAGATATAGATAAGATTCTTAATGCAAATAGGTTAAATTATATTGGGTAATGTTATACATAAGAATAAAGGAAACTGGAAAAGGCCTGTATGAGGCAGCTAATAATTTATAAGTGCCTAAGCTCATTCATGTATACTGTACCTGTATGTCTAATATACGTTTGAAACAATCCAGCCATCCTACATCTATTATGTTACCTGGTTATTTGTTACATAAATACGCAACCCTGTTTCTAAACTAATATCTACCCAGGTCTGTCCTGAATCAAAACTTTTACAGTTTACATCTATTGTTTTGAGTTCTGGTTTGTGTTGTTATATTTAAAACCTTGTTTATATCCCTTTTGTCATACACTTATCTATTTATATACTTCCTTTCATGTCACCCTTGCCCTGTCTTTCTAGAGAATGTGACATAAGAATAAGGGAAACTGCAGAGCAACAGTAAAATATATAAATCAGTTTAAATGTTTAGCGATCGTTTGGTGCAAGGCAGTGGAAATAAAGAATAAACCAGTAAACTGTAATACTGTACAGAGAAATCACTAAGCATAGTAGTACTTTTAAAACATTTAATGTGAGGTGCAAGAGCAAAGACAACACTAACACTTCATGTGTGCAAGAGAAAGCTATATATAAAGTAGATCTATGAAGACAGGCTTTTTCATCAGTTCTTGAAGAAATTTGCAAATAAACAGTCCATTTTTAATGACAAACCCTGCATGACATTGCAAGATGAAGACAAATGATAAGCCAGTTTTTACCAACTTGTTTCATCAGGCAGTAGAGCTCCTGCTTGTTAAGGACGATAAAAATGGGTGCAGTAATTGCCCTCTTAGTCTCATATCATGCTTAATATCTAATTAAACTTTCAAAGTATGATACTATACTGTTTATATATTTCACATTTCTCTCACTACTTTCTTTCAGATTTACTAAGAAACATCCGTACACAGGTCCTCATAAAGTTAATCAAGCCGTATACACGAATTCACATCCCTTTCATCTCAAATGAACTCAATATTGATGCCACTGATGTTGAAGCTTTGCTAGTGCAGTGCATTTTAGACAAGTAAGTTTTAATTTTTAGTGTATCCTAGTACAAGAGTTTTTTATTCGAGCTCGAGTAAATTCCTGAAATTTCATCCAATTTAAACCAATTACAAACACTGCAAGGACTGACAAAAACATAATTAATATTATTGGGATGATTCGTATGATGGCAAAACAATAATAGATAAGCATTACATAATTTTTATTCATACTAAAGAAAATGACATGGAAATAAATTGCATTATTAACCATATGGTCAATACCAGTATGGATCAGGCAGGACCTGGATAGATTTACAGTACTAATTAATGTTAGGTACACGTATATTACTTGGAGAATCTTAGTAAGTCTTGTTTTATCATTGCAAGTGAAGTGAAATGTAAGTACTATGCAGTATTCCATTCCATCTCAAGTTTAGTAAAATGATTATAAAACTGTCCATGTTAAATAAGTGCGATAGTTTGAGTTCTATCAATTTCTAAACTTTCCAAGAAAGTTTTCACTTACCTTTATACAGAAAGTAGGTTATAGGTAGAATTCACCCAGTTAGATACTATCCCAAGATGTCTTATGAAATGTCTCAATTTTAATTATCTTCTCCCTACTGTCATTGATGGTCTTCCAGTCTTGCCTACCTGTAGGAAACTTGGATATCACCAGCCTGACATTTTTGTGTTTTAAACATGTACATAACAATTAATTACACCACAGTTTTTATGGCTTCTGTATTTTGAATGCATAGAACATTTATTTTTGTTGTTTGACTTATTATTTTTACATACGAACCAATTTGGAATATAACAAAAAGTTACTTTAATTATTTTGTTTCAGATCCCACTTTAAAGTAATTATGGAAAATTTGCATACATAACTAATACCAAAGCCACTGCTTGTCAAGTGCTCTGTGCCAGTTTTGACATCACTGTCATCTTCAGTGAGAAAATCCAGCCTTTTATTCTTAAGCAATTCAGATAATGCCATCAGCTGTATCCTCTCACTTTCTCTGGTTATAATACTCAGTGCTCATCCTTATCTCAGACTAAGCGTTATCATCTGTTGCCATTCAAAATCAGAGAATATTTATATTATTACTTTTAAGTAAATTTGTACTGCTTGTTCTCTTAGATTAATAATTTTAATGTTGTTAACAGTATATACTGTTCTGTTCATGCATGACGCCTCTAGGACTCCCAGACAGATACTATCAAATATCTGGCCTTAGAGCCTTTGAAGGCTTGAAGACCTACATTCAAATGGCTAATGTTCTCTGCTTGTACTGATAACATGGGTATTGATGGGGGTATTGTTAACAGTCTCTCTCATTTATTCCTAAGTTTTAGAGTACGTGTACTCAATTTAATTATCTGTTAACAGTACTGTAGTTGCAGCATATATATTATAGAACTTTCATGCTCTTCAAGGTTCGACTTGGCTGTTCTGACCATTGCATTGGTCATGCTGCCACCCATTGCATAAGGGCATGTATCTAATAAACTTAGTGAATTCTACTCCTCTGTTCCAAGACTTTATTTTACTGCAGATCATAATGTAGAGGTAATAAAGATGAATATAACAGAATGCATCCCTGGAAAATATATCTATCCAATATATATGTTTGACTTCATGTTCTCTTTAGGAACTTGCAGTCTATGAGGGACTGGCCACATGTTGGATCTTGCCCAGACATGTATAATTAGGGTGACCACATAGCAAGAGAGGAATATCAGGGGGTACCCCTGTACTTGTTTCTTGGCTGTCCGTCAGTAGCTCCTTGATGCATTGGCACCACAAAAAGCCACAACACTACCAGGCTGCTGAACACCAGGACCAAAATCTGCTGTGCTCATTGAGGCAAGGGGAGAATGGGGATCTTGAGATCGACTCCAAATCTTTTATACGTGGTTGTTTTGTGTTGGCTCCCACAATCACCGATGACTTGTGTTGCTTGCCATTTTTAGGTATCAAAGTTGGTGTTTTTAAACTCTGAGGGACATTCCTGTTGCCTCCATTATTACCTGCTGGATTTAAGTTTTTTCTTGGTACAGAGAAAGTTTCTAATGGGCCTGTCAAATATCCAAATATCACAACCCGGGCCAACATGGATTTCAAGCGGGAAGATCATGCCTTTCACAGCTACTTGATCACTACGACAAAGTCACTGAGGCATTAGAAGAAAAACAGAATGCTGATGTGGTATACACGGACTTCGCAAAAGCTTTTGATAAATGTGACCATGGAGTGATAGCACACAAAATGAGATCAATGGGAATAACCGGTAAAGTAGGATGCTGGATACTCAGTTTTCTGTCAAACAGGACACAACGAGTAACAGTCAATCAAATAAAATCGAGTCCAAATGCAGTTAAAAGCTCTGTACCTCAGGGTACAGTCCTTGCACCGCTGCTTTTCCTCATTCTCATATCGGATATAGACAAAAATACAAGTCACAACTTCGTATCATCCTTTGCAGATGACACAAAAATCAGCATGAAAATTACCTCGGTTGAAGACATTAAAAAACGTCAAGCAGATATTAATTCAGTTTTCGACTGGGCAACAGAAAATAACATGTTTAACAGTGATACATTCCAGGTACTCAGGTATGGTAAAAATGAGAACCTTAAACATAATACAGGGTACAAAACACAATCAAATGTGCCCATAGTAGGAAAGCAGCATGTAAAGGATTTGAGAATAATGATGTCTGATGACCTAACAAATGTTAGGTCGTCAGACATCATATGTTAGGGAGAATAACCAAGCAAATATTGCATCAGCCAGAAAAATGATAGGATGGATTACGAGAACTTTCAAATCCAGGGATGTACTATACAAATCACTTGTACTGTCCCATCTTGAGTATTGCTCAGTACTCACTTCCCCCTTCAGAGCAGGAGAGATTGCTGAAATAGAGAGAATACAGAGAACATATAAGGCATACATATATGCAATGATGCACCTAAATTATTGGGATTGTCTCAAAGCTCTCCAAATGTATTCACTAGAAAGAAGACGAGAGATATCAAATAATATACACATGGAAGATACTGGAGGTACTTTTCGCCAAGTACCAAATCTACACAGTAAAATAACAACATACTGGAGTGAACAATATGGAAGAAAATGCAGTATAGAACCAGTGAAGAGCAGGGGTGCCATAGGCACAATCGGAGAACACTATAAACATCAGAGGTCCACGGTTGTTCAACATCCTCCCTGTGAGTATAAGAAATATTGCTGGAACAACCGTGGACATCTTCAAGAGAAAACTTTATCATTTTCTTCAAGGAGTGCCAGACCAACTGGGCTGTGGTGGATATGTGGGCCTGCAGGTCGCTGCAAGCAACAGCCTGGTGGACCAAACTCTCACAAGTCAAGCTTGGCCTCAGGCCGGGCTTGAGGAGTAGAACAACTCCCAGAACCCCATCAACCAGGTATCCTCAGTGCTTCAACCCAAGAACTTCTGACTAATCAGAGAGAGCTTAGTTTGGATTTGCCAATTAGAGCATACAATCAGTTGCCCTAACAAATAGGAGTGCATCACAAGAGACAGGGGCCCACCTAACGGGCAGCAACTGTCATTTTATTACCAGTTTAAGAACGTGGATGATATAACAGATTGTTTCCTTTATTGCCCTCTCCTGTGCATCTCGTATACGGTATTGCATTCCTCTACACTTTTCCCATTAAATTGTTATTCTTAGTTCACATCTTTATCATGTATGATATTGTATGTGTTGATATAAACATAAACATGTATTTTTTCTTTTGCAGCACAATTGATGGCCGGATAGACCAAGTGAACCAGGTGTTGGAGTTGACGAGGGGAGCCGAAGGAGCAGCTCGCTATACTGCCCTTGATCGCTGGACGAACCAGCTGCAGTATCTACAGTCTGTAATTGTCACTAAAATGAATTAGGTAGACATGGAAGTAAAACAGCAGATACCATTGATGAAATGTATTCTGGGAACTAGATTTTTTCAGCATGCAGGAAGTTAGTGAGAAAAATTATTTATAAACAGAATTTACCAAAAAAAATCCTGTACACATTCAGCAAAAGTGTACAAAAAAAAAATATTATTGTAGGGAGCAAAAGTTGTGTAAATTTCTTAATATTTTAATGAGTTATTATTTTGTAACTGTGACAAATGTGAAAAGCTTAAGTTGAATATGATAACAAGACACACAGTACTGAAATGACTCTACAGTTGTGCTTCTGATTTTGTGCTTTCATTGGCCATATTTGGTTGATTTAAGCTTTAAGCAGTACAGCATATTCTTCTTTCAATAGCTTTTTTGTTTACTATTTCATTTGAAAATATAATTGCTCCAGGATGCTTTGGTGACACAAAGTTTTTTCAAGTTCATAACATGTGATTCCAAGCCCATTTTTGTTTCCAGCCAGTCCTTGTTAATTTAATAAATAAAATGAATAAGAGTTTTTAAAACTTAAATTATCTAGTCTCAGAATACCCAAACCTGCTTTAAAAAAGTAGAATATGGTTTAGATTTAAGTGATTACTTTTTGTTAACTCCTTATCATTTACAAAGTGTTACTACATCCCTGAATTGAAAATGTCTCATATGCAGTACCCCCCTTGGGAGCTGTCTTGTTGCAGTAGTGGGGCTTGAGTACCTCGTTGAAGCCATGTCATCACAGGTAACAAACTGCGTACTCTTAAAAGTGACATTTTCCCTTGTCCTTCCTCCCACCACCATAATAGTAGGCCATGGTGGTGGGAGGAAGGACAAAGGAAAATTGTCTATTATGTCATAATAGGCTCTGGCTAGGTTGTGTATCAGTCACACTCAACTTAACTCTTGGGCACTTAGGAACAATGTCTTGCTTCTTTTTTGTCTGAACTGCTTTGTCTCAATTCATGCACCATCTTGTAGAATGTCCTGATTTTCAGGATCACTCATTTTGCTTTCCTAATGTCCCTCCAGGTAACTTATCCCCTCAATAGAGTCCTTGGTGAATCTGATACCTTTAATATCACTCGCCTTATATTCCTCTGTTCTTATTTTGGCATTCCCATAATTTGAATAAAATCCGGGTCATAATTAAAATCAACATAACTGCATTTTCCGGGGGATCATTGTATGATGATAACTGTACTTGAAGGGTTAAACACAACTGTCTTCTGGGTTGAGAAAGTAAAAGTCCTACAAGGTGGTCAGAAGAATCTGATGAAAGTTTCATGATTTTCAACTAAATAAAACTTGGGGCCATATGATAACTACAGCAAAAAAAAGTATAATCCAACAAACCGGGTAAACATTGGGATTGCTGGCAGAGATGTTGAAACAGATACAGAAACTATGAAGAGAAATGAACAAGTTCACAAGGGCCGTGATGAGGGTTCAAATCTATGTCTGGGATGATCCCAGATGCGCCTTAGTTGACTGCACCACAACATGGTTAAAAGAATTGCAACCTGGAGTGCAACTTGCCCTCCTGAGACTCCCACAGCTTCTCAAGCACAAACCGAGGTTTTACAAAATTTCCCCCATTTGATTTGATATATCACGCTATTGTGATTTCTGTGTGTAATGAAGTAAGGGCGAAGAGGTAGAACATTTGGTTGACAGAGCCCAGTTGCATGGGGGAATTGTGTAAAACCCCAGTTTGTGCTTCAGAGAAGTTTTGGGAGCCTTGAGAGCAAATTGCACTCCAGGTTGCAATTCTTTTAACCATGTTGTGGCGTAGTCGACTAAGGCACATCTGGAATCATTCTGGACGTAGGTTTGAACTCTCATCACGGCCCTTGTGGCTTTCTTTGATATATCATGGTACTGTATTGTGATTTCTGTGTGTATGGAGAGAAAGAAACTAAAAAATAACCATTATTTTATAAGAAACATTGCAAAATAAAAGATAAAAATGCTAAATTGACAGGAAAGGTGAAAGATTTAACCATTTTCCAAGCAGAAAGGTTCAGAGCGATGACTACTACACCTTGTGCAAACTTAATTAATTTGCATAAATCTCAAGCACAGATGGAATATACTAAAGAAATCAAATAAAAACTGCCTAATTTAACTGAATGGGTACATGAACAAATCCACAAGGGCCGTGACGAGGTTTCGAACCTGTGTTTGAGAGCATCCCAGACGCTGCCTTATGTAAACATGAATGGGTACATGTTTACATACACCCAGACCTCACAGTAAAACAACAAAATTGTTGTTGAAACAAAAGTAGTTTAGGAACTTTCCTCATAAAAATAAATTCAGAGCTGGAGATGGAATAATATACAGCAAAAATTTCTCAGACTGGTGCAAACTATGCTAAAGAATGTAAAATGCGTCTACACAACTCTGAATCCTAAAAATAATTTATACACATTGTGTGTATATACATTACTGGGGTTGAGAATCTCATCATTGGGACAAGAATAGATAATCGAAAGGAGAGTCCGTCTCTTGTGGTACCATTCATTTTCAGAGGACAAGAAGAGGAGCAGGTGGTCTAATACTACATGTAAAACGACTTTACTGCAAACCCGCAGTAAGGAATTAAAAAGTATGGGATGCTCAGAATCTGTATGATACAATATAATGGCTGGAAATGGTTGTGAACCGACAGCAGTAGTTCATTACAGCAATGGAAGAGTAAGTTACAGACCTGCATCATGTGATAAAGGCAGTGCTGAAGCACAAGGTTTTATACTGGGGTGATTTTAACCTCAATAAACTGAGTGAATTTAATATCACAAACAACAGAGTAATCTCTTCACCTTATACTGTACAGGGCTCCTTTTTCATACACCATGTGACTGAGCTCACCTGAGATAACAGCATTCTGAATCTTCATAGCTCTTGAGTCCTTTACTCCAGTCCATCCTGTAGTAGTCAAAATTCAACATTGGCTGTTTCTTATCTCCACCAGATTTAAGACACTAGAGTTTTTCTGGGTTCCCATCCATATTGGCATGTCCTTAAATGAGCGTGCGAACGCTGCCACTAAGAAGGCTGTCTTCACTTGTCCCATCTCCCGTAAAGGTGTTCCTAATTCCGACTTCTACCCAGTTATTCATTCCTCAATCCTTGCCCGTTGGTAGGGTTGTTGGTCTTTTGTTTCTGGTAACAAACTGCATGCTCTTAAGGGTAGCGTGTCCCCATAGCCTTCCTAACACTGTAACTGGTGGTGGGAAACGGCTCTGGTGAGATTACATATTGGCCATACACGTTTAACTCACGGGCACTTAATGGAGCGCCAAACTGCATTGCTCCTCTTACAGTCGTGCATATCCTTGTTGAATGTTCAGACTTCCAGGACATGCACGTGTCTTGCTTCCCAACTGTCCCTCGCGGTCACTTGTCCCTCGATAGAATCCTTGGTGAATCATATACTGTACCTTTGATATCACTCACCTTATGTGCTTTTGTTCTTGTATTGGCATCCTTAGTGATATTTAGTGCCTTTTGAATATCCTGCACATTTGATGGTGCTACATAGCCTTCCTGGCTTGGTGCCTTCTTTTGATAATTACTTACCTAATTACTTGAGTAATTAAGCCTTAATTACTTAACCTTAACTACTTAAGGTTTGTTCTCCAAAATACTGGCATTGAAGGTCCTCTGGCTACATGCAATGCAGAATCACTTGATGATTTCAATTTCCTCCAGCTCCTCAAGTCTATTTATTGCAACTGCCTAGATTTAACATGAAATGCTCTCAGAATTGCCAAAGGGAATAGAGCACGAGAGATGTACAGTATAGCTACAAACTGATATAAGCTAATTTTTTCAGAAAAAGATACACATTAAACAGATGGTGATTTGGCTTGTGTGTTTAACACTGACAGAGGATATACAGACATTAAAGCAGAAACAATATATGATTTTATTTAAAAAATAATAAAATGTATAATGATGGGTTACTTTGTCATAAGTTCCTTTGCTTTCTCTATTGGCTTGATCTGGGGTCCAAGTCTTGACCATACAAAGCAGGATTGTGGTTGATAGGTCATGGTAGAATATGGAGAGGTCCGGTCCTTAAAGTAGTCGGAGGGGGCATGACATTCAAACTCCATGTATTCCAGTTTACGGGGAATATCTTCTTCAGGGCCTATGACAAAAATTTAATCAGTACATTAGTAATCGATACAACTTGACATCTGAGGTTTATATAAAGAGAAAAACACAACAGTATATATCTGTTTGAAAACATAGTTAAAAGTACATTGTAAATATTTTAATACCCACACCTCAAATTGGCAGTGGGATCAAACATTTACCTTTTACAGTACTTTCTCTCCAGAATGAGTTGGTGGATGTTTTATAGTGTACATAAATGATAAAACTTTAGAAGAAAGACGAGAAAAGTCTGGGTGAAGATCGCTAGTCAGCAAGTGAGTGCATGTAGTTCTCCATAAAAAAAAAATTGCATTAAATGTAATGAAATACCTCTTTCTAGTAGGGCGCCTGTGGCTCCTTGAAGTTATCTCACTGAGATGTCTTCCCTTACTAAGCCGCATCAGCCATAGGCATCCTGTATGGCCTATTGGGGGCCAGAACCAGAACCTGGCCCCCCCTCTCAAAGGCACAATAAACAGGTGTTATGATCACCCTCACCAAGAAGCTGTCCAGAAAGTAAATGAAGCAATACAGACAACTGCAAGGTTCACAGAAAATGAACCACCGAAACAGACAACTGTTTGCAAATGATTCACTCAGATCCAAATAATTAATTCAAAACTAACTCGAACCCCCGCCAAGTTGCAAATAGCCACCAACAGGTGGTATGTACAGATACCTGTTACCGGAACTGCAGGCAACAAAGCAGCCACCCCGGGTACAAATGCCAGAACAATCGGGCCACAATGAAACCCATCAGAAAACAGCTCAACAACTGCATACACATGCAAAGTGAGCAAGAGCCCTGCAATCCTCCACAGTAAGGGCTCCAGAGACCATAGGCAGCTGAACATAGAGCTGCCACTTGTCCACTTCCTTGGGAAGAACCAGAGCAAACAAGCAGTTATCAAGTGGTGCAAAAGAAGCACAACCTAAGAACACCTGAAAGACAGAACTCACTTCCCACATTCAAGCATCTGGGTTTGGCAAAAACCATGCCAATCCCTAAAGAAATGGAGAGGGTTATCAGCAAGCCAGGATCAATCGGGGACCTTGTACTGAAGCCAAGAGACAGAAGCTGACCCTAAGCCATGGCTGAGTCCATAAGGAAAGTGAGGGTCCAAAATTTATGGATCCTACAGGAGGGTCCAAAATATGATTGCCCAAGACAAAAAAAAAAGATGAGAGAAACTTCTGGAAATGACATTCCCACGTAACCGTGCACTTGAAAGCACACCCGGGGTGGGAGCAGCCGAGGAATCCAGCTCATACATACAAGGAGAAGTGAATCCTATCCTGGAGCAAAACACCCTCCACAGACAAAATCAAAGATCAAGAAGGGCTGGAGGGCACTGGGTTTGCTCTCCCAGCCCCAGAGGTCACCCATGTTGACCCAGGAGCAGAGCCAAATTGGCAGCCCACAGGATAAATTTGGCTATGAAGGGCATTAGCAGCATGTTGTATAAAGAACTGCAAACCCTTGAGCACCCCACAACAAAATCCCCCAAACACCTCAACCATGGGATCTTTCAGAAGAATCAAAGACTTGTACACTGCCCAGGACGAGGCTCTCTACACAGTAGCCTGGCCTCTTGGGGACAAACTCCTGATTACACCATATAAGTCACTGTCAATGCAGGGACAATGCTAAAGAAGCACTTAGGGGAGGGTTGCCCTAAACATTTGCAGCATGAATCAAATATTAGACCAAGCCCATGCAACAAGTGAGGCTTGTAAACCCCATCCACATAAAGCAAATACTAAATGTTAGAAATGACAACTAAGAAAATTGCCCCATGTCCAAAGGATGTCCTACACCTATCTTGAAAAAAGTGGGACTTGCCACAACCATTGACTCAGGGAAGTCTGTATCTGCAAACAATCAGATAGGACCACAGCAAGATGTGTGTGGTACCTTGGAGCTCCTGGGTTACTATCACCTGTTGGCAGCCATTCACAAATACATGTAGGTTCAATCTAGTTTCAAGTGAATCACTTGGATCTGAGTGAATTGTTTATGGAATCGATTGGCTGTTTCAGTGTTTTATTTTCTGTGAACTTTGCAATTGTCTGTATTGCTTCACTTACTTTCTAGATGTTTTCTCAGTGAGGGTGATTCTAAATATCCCCTGCTCCCTGTGCCTTTGTGAGGGGCCAGGTTCTAGCTCTAGTCCGTGATAGGCCATACAGGACTCCTGTGGCTGATGTGAGTAGAGGAAGACACTTCAGCAAGATAGCTTTAGGGTGCCATCACGAGACTCCTCCAGAAAGAAGTACTGTACTCACCTAGTTGTACTTGTGGGGGTTGAGTGTTGTCTCTTTGGTTCCGCCTCTCAACTGTCAATCAACTGGTGTACAGATTCCTGAGCCTACTGGGCTCTATCATACCTACATTTGAAAATGTGTATGGAGTCAGCCTCCATCACATCACTTCCTAGTGCATTCCACTTGTTAACTACTCTGACACTGAAAAAAAAATCTTCTAATGTCTCTGTGACTCATCTGGGTACTAAATTTCCACCTGAGCCCCCTTGTTTGTGTTCCACCCGTGCATAGCAGGGTTTGTGTAAGCCAGTGTGTTTACCTGCTTAAGCACCACAGCCACATACAACCTGACTTTGAAACATCACATTTTGGAGATAGTCAAGAAGAGTGAATTAAAAAAGTTAGGCATCCTCTCTCTTCAAGTATAAAAAGCATTTTGCTTCTCCTTTACTGCAGCTCTACAAAAAGACTCGTCCACCCTAGTCTTAGAATACTATCCTCATTTCTATGCTGTACATCTCTACCAAAATTCTTGATATAATTCAGATGAATGCTATTAGTTTGATCAGTTCACCTGACCTCACATCCAAGTTTTAGTCGTTGGCTTCCTACTGCAAAGTTGCATTTCTTTCTTTCTTTCTGTCAATTCCATGGCTCCTGCTCTCAGGAGTCTATTTTGGTCATCCCACAGCAATCACCTACAATCGTACTCAAAGTCTTCTTACATACCTCCTGGGAAGCAGATAAGTGAATGCTCCTACATGTGCAGTTCCTAGTGCTGTCTGAACCGAACTAGATGTGCTTCACATATTCAAAGGCCCTTGATCCTTCATTCTCTTGATGCTTTGCATCATACTGGTTTGTGCCTCAACTTATGGGCCTTTCATTCTTCCCCAATGTAGAGTTTATATAGTGTGTAGAAACCACTGATCCATCATTACAAGATTGCTGTGATCAGTATTGCTTTTGATACTTTGGCAGTTCCTACAAACCCCACTGTACTGTGCTTGTACTGTACCTTGACTGTTGCCCCAATTGAATGCCTTTCTCACTTTTTTTAGGCTTTTCTCTATGCACATCTGCAATGTGTCTCCTTGTATAGTTCCAGAACTCCCCAGTGGACGGTTCTGCTTGTTAAATTGTGTAAAGTTCTAACCAGTACAGTGGAGGCTTATACCCCCTATTGTCATTAAAGCCTTCTCCTTTAACATTTTCACTGCCACTCACACACTACTGCTTTGTTTACAAGTGAGTTGAATTTTACTGATGGTATTGACTATTCCATTATCTTTCCAGATCAAACCTTTATGAGCTGTATCTTTCTTTCAGATGAGCAATTCGGATGCGCGGCGTTTGTGGTGCCGTCATACTGGTTTCTTTGGTTTTGATTGGGGAGTTCTGTTGCTAGTTCGGCTTTCAGTTTGCAATTATTTAATCACCAGTAGTTTGTTTTGGAATTTCTACCTTTCTGGGTGCCTGCCCTGGTAGATGGCAGACAAAGACTGCTTCCAATTACACGGGGGTGTCTTTAGGCCATTGCTCCTCGTGCCTCTCTTGAGGGGGGGGGGGGCGCCAGGTTCTGGCTCTGGTCCCTGGTAGGCCTAGAACTCCTTCGATTGACTGTTGCCACGGTCTAATATATACACATCAGCCTCGTATAGCTCCTGGGAGCCAAAGGGGCTCTCCACAGAAAATGCCATTTTTGCCTGTCCCATCTAAAAATTATTTCCTTACTCCTATTTCTACTTGTCATTCATAACACAATCCACAACTGTTGGAGAGATATAGTTAGCTATGATGAATAATAAATTGCATAGTATTAAATGTGACCTTTAACCGGGCCTTCTTCCTGACACCATAACAATTAATGGGAAACCTTTCGTGGCGTGGCTAGGCTATGTATTGGCCAAGTGCAATTAACTCGTGTGTGTGTGTACTTAATAAAACAAAGACAACAGAGATCCAAAATTCATGTTACCTGCAGAACTGCATTGTCCTGCTAACAGGCACACAGTCTGGACAAAGACAAACTATTTAGCATGGGTGGAACACGAACAAGGGGACACAAGTGGAAACTTACTACAGCACAAAAATTGGGCCACAGAGACATTAGAAAGAATTTTTTCAGTGTCAGAGTAGTTAACAGATGGAATGCATTAGGCAGTGATGTGGTAGAGGCTGACTCCATACACAGTTTCATATGTAGGTATGATAGAGCCCAGTAGACTCAGGCATCTGTACACAAGTTGATTAACAGTTGAGAAGTGGAACCAAAGTGCCAAAGCTGAACCCCCACAAGCACAACTAGGTGAGTACATCTCATGAATTGTCTTGATTTTCAGGATGATTGAGAATTTTGTTTTCTCAGTGTTCCTTTTGTGTCATTTGTCACAACAAAATTCTTGATGAATCACACACTTTTGACATCACTCATCTTGTGTGTTTATGCTCTTGTAATGGCATCCCAAATGATATCTAGAAGTTTTTATTGTTCTATGACACAGATGGTGCTAAATGGTCTTCCAGGTTTGCTGCTTTCTTTAAATAATTTCGTACTTGTCAGCTGTGTACTTCTAATTCATGTTTGGCAACACAATACAGTACTTGCACTGCAGCTGCTTCTTGCAGTTCAATAATGTTTTTCACCATTACAAGAAATGAATGTTTTGCTGTCTTTTCTTTTCATAATTCCACATTCATCTTGAAATGATCTACCATCCCATGTTTCTCCCATATATTTTTGATCATGAATTTTTCAATGACTGTAAAGAGACTGGGGAAGCAAAAGAGTGAGAGTGATTGAAAGCGAGGACTGCCCACCCACACACTCTTCCAGACAATGCATTAAGGAAATGCAACACTGGAGTATTCTTCATCCAACCCTGAATGACTATCAGAATGTACATTACTTTCCAATTAAACACTTCCAAGCAATACTTGAAATCATGCAGACTGGTAAATACTGCTCTGCTAACAACCAACTACAGGTTGATCACATGGTCGCTATCTCTATTTTCACAGTACATATTTGTGTGTGTGTGTTTTCACCTAGTTGTGCTTGCGGGGTTTAAGCTCTGCTCTTTTGGCCTGCCTCTCAACTGTCAATCAACTGTTACTACTATTTTTTTCCCCACACCACACATACACCCCAGGAATCAGCTTGTAACAGCTGACTAACTCCCAGGTACCTATTTACTGCTAGGTAACAGGCGCATTAGGGTGAAAGAAACTCTGCCCATTGTTTCTCACCGGCACCTAGAATCAAACCCGGGACCACAGGATCACGGATCCAGCGTGCTGTCCGCTCAGCCACCGGCCCCCCTACAGTGTGTGTAACTTGCAATGTACATTCCTGAGCAAGGAAGCCATGGCTATCTCAGATGATACTCAACACTTACAACACACACTCTGACTTCTCAGTCCCAACTGTTATTAATTGGAAGCCACTTCCACAATCTTCAGCTGGACATGTATGTAGTTTGGTAGTCAAGTAGTCAGGTAGTCACATTGACCAGTACTATATGTCCAGGTTTGTTTTCTTAACATACCCATTTCTTTGACAACAGTAGTAATGAGAATATGTTTCCCTGGAACCCTGAATGCTCTGCATTTACTGTAGCAGTAATAACTTTAATCAATTGAGGTGGCTTGCTAGGCTAGTGGGAATATTACCCTTCAATATTATAATTACTAGTAGGCAACTGCCTCTCCAAGTTTTCATACATGCACACTCCTATAGGCTGCTCCTAGCATATTTTGTTACTCAAAATAGTATAGTAACACCAACTCTTAAGAGTCCCATATAGATCTATGTACTGTATTGATTACTGTATATAAAGGTTCACTCGTCAGATCCATGTTCAGCTTCGCCTTTAGTGAGCAGAGGGAAAGTATTCATTCATCGTTAATATTACTAATTTAATTATGTACAAAATACACCATAAGAAAATGCATAATGCAGATGCTCTGGCCTTGTTGCACATTCCTGGGCATAAACATTCCAGGTTTCCTGTGCTGCTCATGGGCCACATAGTGAAGGGAAGTTTTTTTACAATTATTTTTCATTTTCTCAGTTATTTGTTGGTTACAGCTATAAAAATTTGGTGTGAAAATGTTTGCAAATAAATTGACTAGAGAACAGATGCAAAAACAAGTGTACTGTATTTATAATACTGTACTATTTATGCTCCTCTTCGCATGTTCTCGAATGAAAACATAGGGCGCTTTGCTGGTCTTGTTCAGCAGTGCATAAAAATATTTACAATCGTTTCATCTTTTCTCAGTTATTTGTTTGGTTATAGTTATAAATTTGGTGTCAAATTGTCTAAAGAACAGATGCAAACACTGTGTTTGTAATCAATTATATGCAACGGTAATTAATATTTTGTGAATAGCAATCGAATAATGTATTTCAGTGTCATCGGGATGCGAAAATGTTGATAATAAGTTATCCTATAGCCAAAACATTCAGAGGGTTATAATTCTGTCTGCAATTTTAAATTTGCCTAATTAGGCTGCAGTTTTTTTTTTAATATTTCTAAGGAATAAGCCTATGGAACATTAATCATTGGCACATTAGGGTCATTTGGCAACAGGGGAAAGAACAGCTAGGCCACTTTTGAAATGTCCTGGGTTTGATTCTTGCAGTAGGACATGAGCATTTGATCAACGTTTTGTTTCAATTCATATCTCTGTTCACTTAGTAGTAATTAGGTACCTGAGAGTTAGGCAACTGTTTTGAGTTTCATCCTGGGCAAGGTCAGTAGTTGGCATAAGGAAACCTCAATAAGATTACCAGGCTTCCTGTCCCAACTGTGGGAAACTATAGGGTGAACCATAATAGTCATAAATATGAATACTTGAATAAAACGCTTTGATATGCTACTCACCAAAACAGGAAGGAATCCAAGAGAATATTTAAATGCATAAATAATCTCAGCCATCATAATTTTCAACTTACCCCAATAATACTCGTCATAATAATCACAATACATGGGAAAATGCTTAACAGACCTGCATTTCCTTCTCAGTTACAATGATGATTATGCTTCAAGTAAACAGGGCATAATACTGTGCACCAGAAAATATATATACAGTAGTGTATAATTTTATACATACTTAATTCACTACTCGCATAAGATGTCCTTTTCCACAATAAACTAATGTATTATTTGTAAACTGTTGTAATGATCCAGAAAACTGCCTCGCAAGCTTTTTAATGTCTGTCAAAAAACACTGTCATATGAATCCTCACACCTTAGAGAAATAGTGTGAATTCCAACCTAACAATTTTTGGGCACATACCTGAAAGCAGGCAAGGGAAATGGTCCCCATTGAACATGAACACAACAAGGTTACCTGCTGTATAGCCAGAGGCTTTACACAGTTTTTGACTTGCTTACCTTGATGAAAAGGTCCTCCTGGTTGGGTGTGAACGTACATGTTCCTTAAAGTTAGTTTCCTCTTATAAATATGAATACAGTACGATGCAATGTCTGTTGAGGTGACAGGTTTGTTGTTTACTAATAGGGTTTCTCCTATGTTTTGCTTTAATAATACTTACACAGCTGGAAACATGGATGAACTATATTATGTCACTGATCTACTTGCTCAACTTTGCTACCAGGTGACTCAAACTGCTGAATATTCTGTGGCTCAACCAGAAAATAGGTCACCCAACAGTGTCTACTTTTCAGACCACTACAAATTGCAGATACCCATCCAAGGTCAGCCACTTCCAAATTCTTTACTGTATCCTTTCTGAACTGCTGCAACAATGGACCAGAGCTGCTTAAAGAAATGGTCCCATTGTGCTCTTTTTTTTTTCAAAAATAAAAATTGCCACTGCTCTAACTCTATCTCAAATCATCTCTCAGGCTAAAATTTGTCAAATGCTTTAAGTGAGCAGTTTGAGGTTCAACACCCTCTCTTCATGATATCTGGGCAATGAGTAATGACTACTGTCCAGTCCCAGTGACATATGACCTCTCAAAAAGGTCGCCTTCAACTGGTTCTTCTAGGACAAGTAATATGCAAAGCATCATCAGATCTCACCCTCATACCTATGTCAGATGCCATCTTGTCTTATTAGAACATTCTATCTATAGATATATATGAAAATGTTTGTCTGTTCAAGGTTGGAGGCCAGATGTTCAAGGCTACCCTCATCCAACTTTCACATATGAAACATGTTGGGTATGGGAGTGTCATAAGCCAATCGAGATCAGCTTCAGTGCCACACTTAGAAATATCAACATTTAAACCCCCACCCCACCTTTTTTCATGTAACAAAAAGGAGGCCTGGTCAAGGATCAGGCCGCGGGGACGCTAAGCCCCGAAATCATCTCAAGATAACCCCCCCCCCCATAAAATCTTAAATATTGGTTGTCTTGTCCATAGATTTATTTAGCCATTTCGGTGCTTTATTGGGTAATTTTTCTGAGTGAGAGACCAAGCTGGGAAAAAGGGAATGTTTGAATAGAGGGAATGAGAAGGGGGATGTCTGAAGTGGAAAAAAACAGTGGACAGGAGGAGAGATAGGAGCAGAGAGGAAATGATGGGGAAGAAAGGTAGAGAGGAGGATATTGGGAGAGTGAAGTGGAGAAGGGTGGAGAGAAAAAAAGAAAGAAAAAGAGATGAGATAGGGGGAAGACTGGAAGAGGGGGGGAAAGAAGGGAGAGAAATCCAGTTGCTGCCGAGTTCTACCTCTAATGGGAATATAAAAATAACAAACTCAATCCTAAAAATACTACATCCTAACTAAAATTAAGTGGTCTCTGGCAGTCCTACGTGCTGGTTAAAAATAAATGACGTTGAAGAAGGTAGCGTGATCTTAAGATGGATGCCCACCACAAGATGGCAGCATCAGCTGTGTCAATATACTCAGTGATCACATCTTACTTTCATTCCAACACACCCCTGGCAAGGTACATGATATGTTGGGGCAAATTGAAGCACTTTGTTTAATTTTTGTGTCGTCTCATTCTGTTCTCACCCTGTGTGTCTGGTCCCAATCCTTTTAAGCAGCTGACCTTTTCCACTGTTGGCACTTCCTAGATTTTATATATTGTGACTATTCCCCACTTTGTATTTTTATCTCCCAGCATTGTTTATATTTTCTTCTCTCAGCCTGTTCTTACTTAACTTGGGTCAGGTGTGTGGGTTCATGCATGTATACAGTACTTGAATCGAATAAATGAAGTTTCTAACCTATGATGTATGTTGAAGGATCAAAACCTTTTTCTGGTGGAGGAGAGCCTTTTGTGGGTATAAGCCATGTAAGCACAGCACTCTTCTCACAATACTGGTCCTGCAGCAATCCTCGGATCTGTGCATAATATGTTCCTCCATCTATGTCAATTAATGACACAATATCTCCTACTTGATAATATAGGCCCTGTAAGAGAAGGTTGCCTTTCATTAAAAAGTGTACCTGTTATTATTAATATAAAAGGTATTCAGTACAGTATACAATATATATATGCTTACACAGTATATTTGTAATATGTCTAAATACACAATACAGTACATGCATGTACACAATACAATACAGTACATGCACGTAAGTCTCACCTTATAGAAGAGGTACTCTGAAGTAACTGGGGTAGCAACTGCGGCTGGTGCTTTAGTGGCCTGCATTTAAAATAATAGTGAACATCACATTAATTTTTAATATTAACTTGTACAGTAAAGGGTACAGTACTTTCTATGTAGCGTAACAACTTTACTGATGCCTACAACCAATGCCATATTGCGTGCCTAGTGAATGCAATTGTGCAAGATAAATTGTTTCCTGAAGCTACCAAGTGAGGACTATACTGTCCAACAGCAATGTTGTCTTACCATTACATGTGTTTTAAATTCAGATTCATTCATTTATGAACTATGTTCAAGTTATCATCTGAAAACTGGCCATTATAAAAAATATAAGCAAAACCAGATATAGTACTACAGTATTCCTAACTGCTAAGATACTGGTTACATCATGCACATCTGGTCACATAAAATAAAGTGTTTTTGTTAGAAAATACTATGAACTACATTGGCAACTGCTTTTAGCCTGCAGCACATTCTCAAAATACAATGCAATGAACTAAAAAAGTATTAGACATTATGTATATTTCTTAACAAAAAACAAGCAAAAATCATGCAAAATTATTAGGCTAAGTTTTTGTGGTAGGGTTGTAAGCATATTTTAAGGTTAAACTTAAAACTGAAAGTGTGTTAAAATTATGAAAATGGGTTACACTTTAACAGACTTAACTCAAGCAAGATACTGTCCAGTAAGTATTAACAAGAGCAAACAATGAACTTCCAATGGTTGGCTCATAAACTTTAGTGGCCAGTAGTTATTGTCCAATATATATAGATAATACAGATAATTGTTGTTTAACATTGTGAGGGTATTTATTTCAATTTTATATAAGTACTCTTGTGTAGCATAAATTTATGCAGCACAAAATTCACATGGCACAGCCACATCATTTAACATAAAAAAAATCACATTTCATTAATTTAATTTTGTCCCAGAGGGCTAGTTTTTGTTGGGCATTGTCACTCATTCTGTGAGTAAACCTACCACCATAGCAGCATGTACAGTATAACACCCCCCAATAGGAAGAAAGCCTGCTGGGTTCTTCAACTTGTCACTTGTATCTAGACACAGCTGGGACATAACTGTCTCAAGCATATACACTAGGCACCTAACAGCTGAGTGGACAGTGCTTCGGATTCGTAGTCCTGAGGTTCCTGATTCGATCCCTGGTGGAGGTGGAGACAAATGGGCAAAAAGTTTAACCCCGATGCCCCTGTTACCTAGCAGTAAATAGGTACCTGGGAGTTAGACAACTGCTACGGGCTGCTTCCTGGGGGTGTGTAACAAAAAGTAGGTCTGGTTGAGGACCGGGCCGTGGAGACGCTAAGCCCCAAAATCATCTCAAGATAACCTCAAGATAGCAAACAAACTTTAGAGATCAACACTTTCGCTCGGCGACTACTCGGCATTGAGTCATCCGTTTAATAGAGTGGAGGGAAGTCCAGTAACGACTCGGCGTTGAGTAGTCCGTTAAAAACTATGTTCAGCATTCGCACTTGGCTGTGGGAGGGGGCGCGCCGCAGTTTTGGACCTTATATGTCTTATATATAAAGCTGAAAAGAGTATACACATTTTTTTGTGCTTGACTAGCACTCACAGGGGTTACGTGATGTCTTTTTTTTGTTTGCTGTGGGTGGTACGCCGGGCTTTTGGAGTTTATATGCATTTAGTCCTGTAGAGAATTCAATTGTGAACACATTGATACCAAAATGAAAGACCTATGATGAAAATTGAGGTGACCAAAGTGAAAAGAATGTACACATTTTATCGCTCTTGCGCGCTCCCGGGTAACACTCACTTTCTCTGTTTGTTATATACCTACTATATACCGCGTTTTTATATACCTACTATATTCATGCCTCACCTGTGACAGGAAAAAACGTTTTTTTTTTTTTTAAACGGCGCCATCTGTTGAACGTAAGAGCAACACATTCTGTAATCTCCGAAAGTTCTTCACTGATAGCTTTAAAATTTTGACACAGATCCATTCGAATACGTGCGTGTGTTTATATAACTACTATATAGATGCCACACCTGTGACAGGTAAAAACATGTTTTTGAAAAACAGTGCCATCTGTTGCACATAAGAGCAACATACGCTATACTAAATATGTTACGATTCTATTTCAATGTTTCCTATAGCACTGATAAATAGAATTTTCATAGATTTCAATTTATTTTAATTTTTATTTAATTATTTTGTGTGACATTGCATTGGAATTGAGCTGTGATGTTTACTATACCATTCATTTCGTGAGTATAAGTATAGATGCCTCACCTGTGACAGGTAAAAACATGCTTTTTTTAAAAAAGTGCCATCTGTTGCACATAAGAGTAACACACGCTATACTAAATATGTAACTAATTTACGATTCCATTTCAATGTTTCCGATTTCATTGATAAATTGAATTTTCATAGATTTCAATTTATTTTTCATTTTGATTTAATTATTTTGTGTGACATTGCATTGGAATTGAGCTGTGTTGTTTACCATATCGTTCATTTTGTGAGTATAGTTTATTTTTTTTCGTTGTTTTTCATTTTTTTAACTATTTTTCTTATATTTCAGTGATGGGAACATCAGATCATTTGGGAATGCATCGATGGAGGGAGTGAGGAATAGTGGGGGGATGAGGGGGACGGGAGTGAGGGATGGTGGGGAGGACGAGGGGACGAGAGGGGGTAATGGTGGGGAGGACGCAGGAACGGGGGAGTTGGGGATGAGGGGACAGGGACATGGAGAATGATGGGGAGGACAAGGGGACAGGGGAGTGGGGGATGGTGGGGAGGATGAGGGGACCGGTGAGTGGGAGATGGCAGGGAGGACGAGGGGACGGTGGAGTGGTGAATGGTTTGGAGGACGAGGGGACGGGGAAGTGAGGAATGGTTGGGTGGACAAGGGGACAAGGAGGGGTCACTGATGGGGAGGACTGGGAGACTGGGAAAGGTTGCTGTGGCTCAGCAACACAAATGCGTTGCTGTGGCTCAGCAACACAAATGCATTGCTGTGGCTCAGCAACACACATGCGTTGCTGTGGCTCAGCAACACACATGTGTTGCTGAGCCATAGCAACGTGTGGCCAGATTCTTTTAGCCAGAGCAATTCTTGAAATATACAACTTCAATAACAAGAGGTGGCTTTAAGATTTAAACTAAGGAAACAAAGGTACCAAAAAATATTAGAAAGGTCTCTTTTGCAAATACAGTACAGTAGTAGATGGTTGGAACAAGTTAAGTGAGAAAGGGTGGATGTCAATACCATTAGTACAGTACCAACCCGTCCTCGACTCAAGCCCATTCCATTCAGTGATCGACCCCACAGACACATTCATCAATTTTTACATCCTGTTCATTCATTCAAAACGGGAATTTTCTCAAATATAAATTAATATTATAATATATTTGCATATTGTGCATATAGAGGCATAGGTTAGGTTAGGTGTTTAGGTTCTGTTGGCGATTATTTGTATTTGTAGTACAGTACATGGGTGAAGCATTAGAGCGTTGTAGTTCAAACAAAATTCACCAGTGAAGCACTGGTTCCGGAAATGCTCGAACGTCATCAGTTGTGAGTTGTGTGTAAACCGTTTGTCATTTATAAACAGAGGGTTTGGCTAGTGCATGGAATCACTTTTGGGTCTTTATTTGGAGGACGGGCTGACAATACAGTAGTTGTAAAGAGTCATATGACAGAGTACCAAGAAGACGGGAAAGGAACACCACATGCATAGCTCTTATCCTGTAACTACAATTAGGTAATTACTACACAGTTTTCTTGCACAGCTGTAGAAGCACTATATATAAACTGGAAGGTTTCCCATGGTGGTCCCTCATGTAAACACAGTCGCACAGGGAGACCACAGCTTTGAGGAGGGGTACAAGGGCTATTTCACTCATAGGGGTGCCAGGCTCTCTAATTGGATGAGGCAAGGGATGTTTTCATCACTACTCCCATTTACTGAGCCCCGAAATTGCCACAAGATGAATGATTTTCCTAATTTTTGGCTAAACCATACCATACACCACCTACAACATGTTGTAGCTATGAATTCAACACACATGGCATGTGCCTCTGCTAGGCTATTAGACACTAAGAACTAGGCCTAAATCAAATGGGATGATGGTTCAACTCGACCACTCTCACCCAAAACTGGGACAATCATGTAATTTGTGCAATTTCCATTTATACTTTAATAACAAAAAAAATTCTATCAGGTATAGCTTATAAAACAAAAAATGCTTCTCGAAAAGGCACTCATGAATTTGAATCAAAATCTTTGTTTATAATTTAGCATTCTCTAACTTAAATTTATCAAATTCAGTGGTGAACATTTTTAACTTTGCATTAATTAAATTTGTTGTTTCCTGTAAGAACAACTGCATAACCATTTTGGATGCCTGGTGTGTGAGTACATCCAAACCTAATTATGATCAATTACTGAAATACTTATACTGTACAGTAATTCCAGCCATTATTCACCTTTGTTTGTATTCATTAAATCAAATTATATTACTGTATTGTAAAGTATGACTATAACAAATCCACGGGAGCCTTGATGAGGGTTTGAACCTATGTGCCGAGTGTCCCCAGACACGATCTAGTCAACTGTACCACGACATGCTTCCTTTACCATGTTGTGGTACAGTTGACTAGAGCACATCTGGGAACATTTAGTGCATAGGTTCGAACCCTCATCAAGGCTCCTGTGGATATGTTCTTTGATATATCACATTAATGTGATTTCTCTGTGTATGACTATAACCTTATAATATATAGTTGATACATGTATTATGTCCACATGGAAGTATATTACAACAAAACGGTATAATATTTCAATGAGACAATTTCTAATTTTGCTGTATACCTTACAAAATTTATTTATATAACACTACTATACTTTGACAGTCATTATTAATTTATTAAATACAGTATTTAATAAAAATGTCTAAAATGTAATTTAATGTTATACTATCCTCTGGGTGAGTGGACCTATTATTATTACCAGCTCCAAGCAAAATTTCTTCCTTAACTGTACAGAACAAAATTGAGAATTCACTCTAGAAAAATAATCTTTCCTAAGACCGGAGTGATAACAGGCAACTGGCAAAGAGCATAGGGGATATTTTAGAATGTTGATCTGCTAGTGCTTTGATAACTCAAACAATTTTAAATCTAAAAATCAATTTTAAATCTAATATTGGACACAGTATTTTCAATGTTATCACTCTATATATTTGGTACCGTTATTATATTTAAGGTTGGGTCAAATTTATGTGTGAAATAGCTATTGTTACAAATTGTTCCTTTGTTAAGCATTCTGTTAATTTGAATAATTCTGGTTTACTTGTATTACTTTTATATTCTTCAGCTAATATGTACCTAAAATGCACAGTAAAAAAAAAATCACAAATAAATATTGCCACTGGGAATACAAACTTATAGCCTAATTACAACTTTGAGTGATATATTGTGTGTTACCCTATCTGATTTCTTAGCCATGGGTATAATATAATTATTGTCTTTATAAAATGCAAGAGTAAGATAATTATAATGTGCGACCGGGAAGGTACCAGTAGTAGTTGGGTTCGTTCTCGACTCATGATCGAGAATTCGGGTTCGAATCCCGGGCGGGACAGAAATGGTTGGACGAATTTCATATCACCTAATGCGTCTGTTCACCTAGCAGTAAGTACCCAGGAGTTAGTCAGCTTGCATCCTGGGAAGGGTCAGTAATTTGACCTTGGGAGGACCTCGATATAAGCCTAACATGTATATAAACACTGGCTGCCTGTCCTCTAACAATAAATTATTACTATTAAATTATTATATTAAGGGCCACAACTTCACATCAACATTATGCTTAATATTAAAGTACACGTACTATACTTACGCTCTTCTTGAATATATATCGCCTTCCTTTACCCTTCGGTATGCTGCCCTTCCCACCCTGCCTTCCTTTCCTGGTCTTCCTCTTTGTTTCCCTTTTTTCTGAACCTTTTGCCGAATCTTTATCCTTGTCCCCGTCTTGATCGTCATCTCTACCCCCATTACCATTACTGGAGTCAGCATCTTTGTGGTCATCGACATCTATCTTGTCTTCCTCTCTTTTGTCATCTTGTTCGTCTTCATTTCCATCTTTAAGTGGTTTCTGCGGCGTCAGCTGTGGATCAACTGTGTTAACCACAGCGTAGCAGTCCATGCACAGTACATGGTCATCTTCATCCTTATGCCAAATTGTAGACTCGTCAATTTTACAATTCGCACACGACGGTTTTAATCCGAACACCATCCTGTTCTACCACCGCTGAGCTGTTCCAACAGCGTGAACAAACTAAAAAATCCGAGGGCAGAATCTTCTTCTTCTTGATAGTAGGTGTAGGTTACATGAAGGGTTTGTCCTCCCGATCCTGCGATGGCAGAATGGAGGTGATGTACAGTATGTTGTTGTTGTCGTAGTCGCGTCAGTGCTCGCTTCTGACTCGGCGTCAACAGTTGCGTTTTCTTTTAATGCAAAAGCCAGAGAAAACTTCAGAAAATTTGAGAGACAAATTTGAGAAGATTTGAGGCACAAACCTGAGAAGACTTGAGGCAAAAATCTAAGAAGACTTGAAGCACAAACCTGAGAAAACTTGAGGCACAAACCTAAAAAAGATTTAAGGCACAAACTTGAAAAGACTTTTAAGGACAAACCTGATAAGATTTGAGGCACAAATCTGAGAAGACTTCAGGCACAAACCTGAGAAGACTTCAGGCACAAACCTGAGAAGACTTCAGGTACAAACCTAAGAAGACTTCAGGCACAAACCTGAGAAGACTTCAGGCACAAACCTGAGAAGACTTCAGGCACACGCCTGAGGAGAAACAAACACAAATTTGAGGAACATAGCTGCAATGACTTGAGGTACAAGCCTAAGAAGACTTGAGGTATAAGCCTGGGAAGACTAAAACCACAAGCATGAGAAGACTTGAAACACAAGACTGAGAAAACTTGAGACACAAGCCTGAGAAGACTTGAGGCACAAGTTTGAGACTTAGTTTATCATTGTTGAGAACACTCTTATTATAATAATCCTATTAGGTTATTATTATTATTATTATTATTATTATTATTATTATTATTATTATTATTATTATTATTATTATTATTATTATTATTATTATTATTATTATTATTATTATTATTATTATTATTATTATTATTAAATAAATAAATACAATTATTCTCACACCATAGAAAATGGAGACATAGTGGTGTTTGGGTAGGCGAGCGTCTGCTACACAGTCGGTAGTGGTCAGTCACCAATATAACAAGCACCAACATCAGATATCAATAAACATGGCAGGAAATCGTTTTGAGAAGATAGGAACAATATTTACAAGGTAGGTGGCGACAAGGGTCAAAGGCTATAGGTCATTTTGTACTCTAGACTGAAAACAGAACTTTAGAAGACCAATTTAGTTCATTATTTGAGGGGTTCCGGTAGTAGAGTCGGGTTCGTTCTCGACGCACAGTCGTGAATTCCGAGCTCGAATCCCAGGCGAGACAGAAATGGTTGGGCACATTACCTTTCATCCAATGCCGGTGTTCATCTAGCAGTTAGTACGTAGTCAGGAGATAGGCAACTTGTGTTGTTATCCTGGGCGGGGTCAGTAATTCAGCCTTGGGGAGGGGGGGGACCTCGATAAAAGCCTACCGTATTCATTCATACACGGTAGGCTTTTATCTCTGGCTTCCTGTCCCGAGATGGACGGTAGAGCAATGGTCTCGCTTCATGCAGGTTGATGTTCAATCCCTAACCGTCCAAGTGGTTAGGCATCATTCCCTCCTGTCCCATCCCAAATCCTTATCCTGACCCCTTCCCAGTGCTATATAGTCATAATGGCTTGGTGCGTTCCCCTGATAATTCGCTTCCTCCCTGTCCCACCCCCACTCCCAACAATGAAATATAAAATTGAATTATTATTTACCCAAGGGCATCTATTTGCATCTATTTATCTGAGGGCCACTATCTCTAGTGGCATCTATTTATCTGAGGGCCACCATCTCTAGTGGCATCTATTTATCTGAGGGCCACCATCTCTAGTGGCATCTATTTATCTGAGGGCCACCGTCTCTAGTGGCATCTATTTATCTGAGGGCCACCATCTCTAGTGGCATCTATTTATCTGAGGGCCACCATCTCTAGTGGCATCTATTTATCTGAGGGCCACTATCTCTAGTGGCATCTATTTATCTGAGGGCCACTATCTCTAGTGGCATCTATTTATCTGAGGGCCACTATCTCTAGTGGCATCTATTTATCTGAGGGCCACTATCTCTAGTGGCATCTATTTATCTGAGGGCCACCATCTAGTGGCATCTATTTATCTGAGGGCCACTATCTCTAGTGGCATCTATTTATCTGAGAGCCACCATCTCTAGTGGCATCTATTTATCTGAGAGCCACCATCTCTAATGGCATCTATTTATCTGAGGGCCACTATCTCTAGTGGCATCTATTTATCTGAGGGCCACTATCTCTAGTGGCATCTATTTATCTGAGAGCCACCATCTCTAGTGGCATCTATTTATCTGAGGGCCACTATCTCTAGTGGCATCTATTTATCTGAGAGCCACCATCTCTAGTGACATCTATTTATCTGAGGGCCACCATCTCTATTATTAGCCTAGTAGGAGATACTGAAGTGATTATTTGTATAGATGAATGCCCTTTTTTTTTCCTTTCCTAAGGTTTTATCCCAAGGGATTAGTTGTCTTTTCCATGCTCTAGATTGCTTATTGTCATTGAATGACTGGTGGAATGAATTGAAAATATGGTACAGTAATGCAATTAGTTATAAAACCATTATTATAATTATTGTATTATTTATATTGTTGTTTTTCAAGTTATAATGTGATTGGTGAAGTGATTATTTTTGTTTACGTTCGCCGGAGTTATGTGAAGGCCACAATCCAATAGCAGTGACAAATAGGAAGCTTATATCTCGCCTCAAAAATTTGTGATTAGAAATATTTTTGGCTATAGCAAAACCAAGCCTAAAATGAACTTCTGACAAGAAAAAATTATGTTGCCTTAAGGTTTCAGAGTCTTTAATATAGTGCTACTCGGGTTGATCATGGGCCACTTGTACTTTTGTGTTGTATTTTATGACTGTATTGTATAGTAATAGTGCTACTCGGGTTGATCATGGGCCACTTGTACTTTTGTGTTGTATTTTATGACTGTACATTGTATAGTAATATTTATTTTTTCTTTTATCAGGGCAACAGGGCTGCTGAAATCTGGAGCAATGAAGCCAAATGACAAGCCACTGTGGTATGATGTTTATGAAGCTTTTCCACCTAAATATGAACCATTCTTTGGCAGGCCAGCTCCAAAAATGAAGATTAGACAAATATTTTACCCTGAGGATGTTATTAGAGCGTAAGTAAGAGATGCTATATTTTTGTTAAATTGTATTATAATTTGCTCAGGCAGATAAGATTAGTGACTTATCTTGGGAAATAGCTAAATTAGTCACATGCTTGATTTTATATTTTAATTTATATATATTATATAATTGTTTGGGGAATTGTTGATATATGGTTGTTTGGGAAACATGAAGTTGTTTCTGCAGAAGGTGTCCAGCAGGGAGACCCACTTGCCCCTTTCCTTTTCTGCATGGCTGATATGGTCACAAGCAGGCTGACCAGTGAATTCAACATCTGGTTCCTGGATGATGGCACTCTGGCAGGGACACAGGAGTCCCTTTTAGGGGTTCTACAGCTAGTGAAATCTTGGGAAGAGTAGTTAGGACTCACCCTAAATCCATCAAAATGTCGAATCATCTAATCTAGCCAACCAATCATAGATACAGTACGGACCGTGTTGCCAGGAGCCCCAGTGGTCGCTCCCACCAACAGTGTGCTGCTAGGGACACCTCTGGGCTCGAGTGCCATCGAGGTAATCCTTGAAGAAAACCGAACGACCTGAAGAGAATGGAGGGAAGAATAAAGGCTATGGATGCACATGATGCTTTGTACCTCCTCACAAGGTGCCTGGCTTTGCCCAGGCTTACCTGTTTCCTAAGGTGTGCTCCCTCCTTTGACAGTCCAAAATTAAGAAAATATGATGCACTCCTGAAAGCCATAACCATGAAAGTGTTAAACCTCTCCCTGCAAGTTGACAAATGGGATCAAGCAATGCTCCCAGTTAGACTCTGGAGTATAGGTATTCGCAAGGCGACACAGTTAGCATTGCTGGCATTCTTATTCTCGACCAGTGCTACAGGTGAATTGGTGAATAAGATACTGCCAGAATACCTAAGAGACTCCATTGGGATTCATGATCCCAAATTCGCGGACAGAGCCTGCCAGTGGGACAATCTTGCCAACTCTCACCCTCAGCTAACTTTTCCAAAAGACTGCAAACAGGCCAAACGGAACAGCTCCATAGTGAAGAACATTGCCACAGCATTGCTGGAGGCAGCATCTGGGAAGGACAAAGAGCATCTCCTAGCTCCCCATGCCAGGGACTTCCTGTTGGCTGTCCCTAATTCTGCCTTAGGAACCTGCTTGGATCATCAGGCCCTAAGTATTTGTGTTGCCCTGCGCCTTGCCACCCCTATCTCCACTGAACACAGGTTTATCTGCATCTATTCATCGCCAGACCAATACGGCAGCCATGGTCTCATCTGTCGTAAGTCACCAGGAATGATTGTCAGACATGAAGCAGTCAATGACATCATCAAGAGAAGTTTGGTTACAGCTGGGTGTCCAGCACAACGGGAACCTCAGTTGTGCAGACCTGACAAGTCACAAATGCCCAGATGGAGTCACCCTGATGCCATGGAGGGATGGTAAACAGGTCGTGTGGGACTACACGTGTGCTTCTACATTGGCTGATACCTATCTACCTCGCAATACAGTATAGCCCCACCTTCAGGAAGACCCAGAAAACTAACAAGTACAGAGATCTAGAACGTTGTTACAGGTTCATGCCGATAGGCTCTGAAACCCTGGGCACCTGGGGTAAATGTGCACTTAAATTCCTAAAGGAGGTGGGTGAGGAACTCATTGGGAAAATTAAAGACTCATGAGTGGCCAGTTTCCTGTTCCATCGCCTCAGTGTCGCGATCCAGAGAGGAAATGCGTGCTGTATCTTGGGTGCACACCCAACCTCCAAAGAGCTGAATGAGGTCTTCGAACAGTCACTGTTATATGTGTATGTGTTTTCTGTAAACTGTAGCATAGATAACTTCACACAAACTGTAATTAATCAGTTTACTTGACATAAACTGTAATTAAACTACAGTTTTTTCTGTAAACCGTAGCATAGATAACTTGAAATGCCTATGCCCAAGTTAACTTGGGCATAGATATTTCTATCTCTTTTTATTTTTAATTATTTATTATCCCCCTGCTGGGGCATTCTCGTTCTTAGTTGAAATTCTCGTTTCTCTAGGCAAGCAGGTGGTGACTTCTTTGTTAAATTGGGCTATATAATGTACTGTACTGTTTTTAATAATTTCAGCTTTGAGCTTTCGTCTTTCTTTCTCCGATTTTAATGAGGTCCTTCAATTGTGTTTTCTTTGTTCACATAATTGTGTTAATGTACTACCACAACTTTTTTTTTATTGCTAAAAATGAATATTAGCTAATACTTTCTATACAATTTGCAGACAATTTTATAAAAAATATGGATCACAAGGAACAGCACGGCTTTCAGACAAAAGTTCTCGACCAACTGTATGCCAGCTGTTTGTTAAAGAGTATGAGCGCCTGCAGGCAGATGGAAATATTCCAGAGGACCAACTTATGCAAGAAGCTGCTCTGGCTCTGGAGGCTCGGGGAATATATTTAGATAGATCTCGCGTTCCCCCCAAGGTTGGTGATGGAAACGTTATTCTTATGTGATCTGTACTCTACTATGGTTAGATATTATATACTGAAGAACCCCTTCTATTATATTATTCACCTTTTTTGGGGGGCTGTTGCCTCCCCACCTCATGAAGATAGAAATTGGGGTAATGAATTATAAATTAGAATGCATGATTTAAGGGTTGGTAGCATGTCAGATTGTAATATGGTAATGTCATATGTGAACTGTAACTGTTGGATGTTCTAGATAACAAAGTTACATGTAAAGTTAAAAATATTATGAAGTACAGTATAAAGATTTAAAAAGGTCGAGATAAAAATGGTAATGTATTTTGTTCAAAGAAGTTAGATAAGGGGTTAAGAGAACTGATTCATATAGAAGTGATGTGGGATGGTTGAAGCAGACATACAATGGCTAAATGTGGCACAGTTAAATTGTACAGGTATGAGAATTAGGGGTAAATGAAATAATATAGAAATGTGTGGAGCTGTAATGATAAAGGCAAATAGTTAAACAGCATGGAGGAAGGAAGAAGCAAACAGAGCTGGTTAAGGAGAAAAAGATATTGAAGTATACAGTGAATGTTTCAGAGCGAATAAAGTTTTAAAATGCTTGATGCCTCAGTTCACCTAACAGTAAATAGATAATTCAGATTTAATCAACTGTTATAGGATGCATTCTGGGAAGGATCAGTTGTTAGCCTAGGGGAGGCCTCAATTAGCTTTGCATTCCCAATAATGGGAACCCGTATACTGTACTGTATATAAATATGCTAATTATCTGAGCCTGATGTGTATATATATATATATATGTATGTATAGCCATATTTCTTCAGCTCTTTGATTAACTACCAGTATCTTGCTTTCAGATAACTACTGTATTTATATAAGAAACTATATATTATTTTTTATTGATATAAAACATAAAAGCAAGATGCTGTACTGAAAGTTAATTAATCGTAGATGATATTTGAGAGGTCAGATACCGGAACAAGTCAGATGTTTATAGGTAAGATAATCTTGTGTTTGCTGCATTTCAGTTCCCAGTCCTCTCTTTGACTTCTTTGTCCTTATGTTTTTAACTATTGTTTTATTTCTTATACTCAGGTTGAATCATCAGAGCTGCGAATGGATGAAGAGAGGCTACCTAGCTCAAATATTGACTCAGAGAAATTAAGTCTTGCAGAAATTTTTAAAAACAGCCAAGCAGATGAATCAAAATAGTACTGTACATATAAGTTACAGTATTTCGTAATTTGATGTAAATAAATTAGTATGTTCATATTATTATGCAATTTTTAATTTAATCCTAAAATAGTGTGATTTTATTTTATGCCTGCAAATTGAGAATTTTTATTGTCTGGTGTTAAATGTCCATTGATAACATTATTTGAGAAATCACTTTGCAAGATGTGCTGGAGGAATCTGAACAAAAGTATGAAAGTGATATGAAAGTTGATATGATATGAAAGTGCTGAATATTCAGGCAAATAAATGTATAAGGATGACATTTTTCAGAAGAGTGTAGGAACAGTAAATGAAAGAGATTGTAGAATAACGATGATCAGTTATGTTAATATTTTGATTATTACGTTTAAATAGTGATGACCATACCCCCACACCAGGAAGAGAACATATATATAACTTGATAATGGTCTAGGACAGACTGAAGCGTTGTTGTTTCTCCATCTTCTGACATGTGGTTTATTTATCATATCTTCAGCCACATTATTGTCATTCATCCTCTGCACATTTAAATAGTATTCCATAGCCAGGAAGATAATTACAAAGATTTCACCAACTGATGAGGGTGAGAGTGTAGAGCATGGTGCTCTGGATGCGGGTGGAATCGAGGAGCTGAATTCGGGACGAGAGCTTGGAAGATCGATGCGGCCAGAGTTTGGCTGTTTGTTCTGTGTCGAGGCTGAAGCATCTTGCGAGGGTAGCAATTGGCAAAAATATACTATGAAGTTCGCATAGCAGGCAAGCAAAGACAAATCCTATAGTTTTTTCAGTTATATCGAACAAAGATTAGGGAAAGGATAGGTCCATTAAAAACTGAGACAGGTCAAATAACAGATAATGACGAGATGAGTAGTATTTTTAATAAATATTTTATCTGTATTTACTAAAGAGGAACTTAACACTATACCTTCAGCCAAACAAGTCTATGTGGGTGGGGACGAGGACAGGTTGACTAGTTTAGCAGTTACCAGGGAGGGTGTTATTAAACAAATAGTAAAACTCAAACCAAACAAATCCCCAGGGCCTGATGAAGTGTTTGGCAGGGTGCTTAAAGAATGCAAAGAGGAGCTTGGCGAGCCACTGTCTACTATATTTAATAAAGCAATAAAGTCAGGCAGAGTGCCAGAGTCATAGAAGGTTGCTAATGTGGTACCATTTTTTAAGGAGATAGATCACTTGCATCAAACTATCGGGCAATTAGCCTAATGTCTATTGTGGGAAACTTACTTGAATCGATAATTGCAAATACAATTCGTCTTCATCTTGAAAAACATATAGAGGATAGAAGGCTCATATTTAGAAGATAGAGGCTCATGGTATTGGGGTGCTATATTAAGTTGCATTAGGGCGTGGCTACACTAAATGAAACAGAGTTAGTATAAATGGGTTTAAGTTCTGTTGTTTATAAATTATATAAATGATTTAGATTCAGGTTTGAGTAGCAACATTTGCAAATTTGCAGATGATACAAAAATCGGTTGAGAAATAAACACGTCCTTCAAAAGACTTCAAGATCTAAATGGGGGATATCTTTGGGTTGGGTATATGGGGGTTGATCAGCCTGATCAACCAGGCTGTGACTCATACGTCAGGCTGCGAGCAGCCGCGTCCAACAGCCTGGTTGATAGTCCGGCAACCAGTACTTGAGGTCGATCTCGAACCCATTGTTGATGTGATGACTTATATTGAATTTTGTAACTAGCTCATCAAGACTGTAACTTGCTTAGCTAAATGAATTGTGGGGTTCAGTCCCTGAGCCCATTATGTGCCTCTGTAACCCTTTCCACTACCGCCCACAAGATGGGTATGGGGTGCATAATAAATGAACTAAACTAAACTAAACCAGTATTTACCCAAGTCTTTCCTAAATCTAATCTTATCCAATTTATACCCATTTTTTCGTGTTCTGTCTTGTGTTGATACTTTTAATACCCTGTTAATATCCCCTTTGTAATGTCCATTCATCCACTTGTAAACCTCTATCATGTCACCGCTAGCTCTTCGCCTTTCCAGTGAATGCAATTTAACATAAGAACATAAAAACAAGGTAACTGCAGAAGGTCTATTGGCCCATATTACAAGACCTCGTCGTGGAATGTTACGGACAGGGGTCTTAAATTAAGAAGACCTTGACAAGGCCGCCTACAGACGCCCTAAGGACATCAAATTCATTTGCCGTGTTGGAAGATGAGAGCCTGCAGGTTACTCATAAGAACATAAGAACAAAGGCAACTGCAGAAGGCCCACTGCGAAGAGTTAGGGGTGACATGATAGAGGTTTACAAGTGGATGAATGGACACAACAAAGGGGATATTAATAGGGTATTAAAAGTATCAACACAAGACAGAACACGAAACAATTGTTATAAATTGGATAAATTTAGATTTAGGAAAGACTTGGGTAAATACCGGTTCGGTAACAGGGTTGTTGAGTTGTGGAACCAATTACCGCGTAACGTGGTGGAGGTGGGGTCCCTCGATTGTTTCAAGCGCGGGGTGGACATGTATATGAGTGGGATTGGGTGGTTATAGATAGGAGCTGCCTCGTATGGGCCAATAGGCCTTCTGCAGTTGCCTTTGTTCTTATATTCTTAAGTAAGAACATAAGAACATAAGAACAAAGGAACTGCAGAAGGCCTATTGGCCCATACGAGGCAGCTCCTATTCTATAACCACCCAATCCCACTCATATACTTGTCCAACCCGTGCTTGAAACAATCGAGGGACCCCACCTCCACAATGTTACGCGGCAATTGGTTCCACAAATCAACAACCCTGTTACTGAACCAGTATTTACCCAAGTCTTTCCTAAATCTAAACTTATCCAATTTATATCCATTGTTTCATGTTCTGTCCTGTGTTGATACTTTTAATACCCTATTAATATCCCCCCGGTTATGTCCATTCATCCACTTGTAAACCTCTATCATGTCACCCCTAACTCTTCGCCTTTCCAGTGAATGCAACTTAAGCTTTGTTAATCTTTCTTCATATGAAAGATTTCTAATTTGGGGAATTAACTTAGTCATCCTACGCTGGACACGTTCAAGTGAATTTATATCCATTCTATAATATGGCGACCAAAACTGAACTGCATAATCTAAATGGGGCCTAACTAGAGCAAGATATAGCTTGAGAACCACACCAGGTGTCTTGTTACTAACGCTGCGATTAATAAATCCAAGTGTCCGATTTGCCTTATTACGAACATTTATGCATTGATCCTTTTGTTTTAAATTCTTACTAATCATAACTCCCAGATCCCTTTCGCAATCCAACTTCGCAATCACAACACCATCTAGCTCGTATCTTGTAACTCTATCATCATTACCTAACCTCAGAACTTTACATTTATCAGCATTAAACTGCATCTGCCAATCCTTTGACCATTTCAAAACCCTATCTAGATCAATTTGAAGTGATAGTGAGTCCTCCTCCGAATTAATTTCCCTACCGATTTTCGTATCATCGGCAAATTTGCAAATGTTGCTACTCAAACCTGAATCTAAATCATTTATATATATTATAAACAACAGAGGTCCCAGGACAGAGCCTTGAGGCACTCCACTTACAACATTTTCCCACTCTGACTTAAGAACAGTAGTTAGAAAGTAGTAGGCATCCTTCAGTCTCGGAAGACTATGGAGTTGCGCCCTAACAGCGCGCAAAGCCTGGGTAGGTAAATATGGAGGAGAAGCTGTTACCCATGCAGCAGGTCCCCCCTCTCCACGGTGCTGAAATTATCCAATAGAAAGGCAAATGCCAATACACATGGTTCCAGCAACGTCGCAGGAGCTGCCAGAACGAGGTCGACGTCAACAACGAACTGCCTTAGGGGCTCTAACTCCGGATTTTTTAACGAGGTTGACTCCTGAAGCCTTTCCCAAAATAGGGGTATGGCCGCAAGGCAGCGGAGGTTTAAAATCAAGGTTTCCCAGCCCCTAGATGGGCTGCCTTCCCAAGGCTATCGAGTCCCATCTACCCGGAGCAGCTGGTTTTAAGGCGTCAGAGGCACACCCTCGCCCCTTCTGTCGGTAAAAGCAGTTCCGCCGGACTTAAAGACTAAGCCACCCGTGTAGGCCAGGAGTTGGACTTGGTTGTCAGAGGCTATTGGAGACGAATGCCGTATAGGATCATTTTATAGGTCATGGGAGCTCGTCCCCCATTACCACCCCCTGGCTATGACAACCCCTTGGAACTATTACTATTACATAAGAACATAAGACACCTGGTGTGGTTCTTAAGCTATATCTTGCTCTGGTTAGGCCCCATTTAGATTATGCAGTTCAGTTTTGGTCGCCGTATTATAGAATGGATATAAATTCACTTGAACGTGTCCAACGTAGGATGACTAAGTTTATTCCCCAAATTAGAAATCTTTCATATGAAGAAAGATTAACAAAGCTTAAGTTGCATTTACTGGAAAGGCGAAGAGTTAGGGGTGACATGATAGAGGTTTACAAGTGGATGAATGGACATAACAGGGGGGATATTAATAGGGTATTAAAAATATCAACACAAGACAGAACACGAAACAATGGGTATAAATTGGATAAGTTTCGATTTAGGACAGACTTGGGTAAATACTGGTTCAGTAACAGGGTTGTTGATTTGTGGAACCAATTGCCGCGTTACGTGGTGGAGGTGGGGTCCCTCGATTGTTTCAAGCGTGGGTTGGACAAGTATATGAGTGGGATTGGGTGGTTATAGATAGGAGCTGCCTCGTATGGGCCAATAGGCCTTCTGCAGTTACCTTTGTTATTATGTTCTTATGTACTCATCTCCTTGTCATTATCCGTTATTTGACCTGTCTCAGATTTTAATGGACCTATCCTTTCCCTGGTCATAAAAGTATTTGTGTGTACGTCTGATAACATACTTCTTGTGAAGGAGGAAATGTATATGTTTACCTCTCAGAATGTTTGGCAATATGTTTATTTGTGATGTGTGTCTATGTATATATTAACACGTTGTACTGAATGGGGTGAGAATAGCTTGAGCTACCTCATCCCTTTGTGTGTATTTTACCTCAATAAACTTATTTCAATTTCAATTTCAATCCTTTCCCTAGTCTTAGTTCGATATAACTGAAAAAAACCTTTAGGATTTGACTTTGCTTGCTCTGCTATGCGAACTTCATAGTTTCTTTTTGCTTTTCTAATCTCTTTTTTCAACATTTCTAACCAGTTGTATGAATTCCTGTTCTAAACTGACTTCCCCATAGTATTATAGTATTATTAATACTATGTACAATAGTATTATTAATACTATGTAGCATAGTATTAGTATTAATATTATGTACAATAGTATTATTAATATTATGTAGCATAGTATTAGTATTAATACTATGCACAATAGTACATAGTATTATTACTATTACTATGCCCTTTATTACACCTTATCTTTCGTACCTTTTGCCTTGTTTTTCTTCCTCCAAGATTTCCTTCTCCTCACCTCACTCTTGCCTATTTATTGCAGTCGCTTCCTTGCCCTCATCACAATCGAGTTGAGAATAGTTCAGGTCGGACCGAAACTTTCTAGTGTGTGGTTTGGTCCACATATTTCAGCTACGTTATTGTGACTACTCGTCTGCAGATTAAGTTGCTAAAATCTTCGTAAGTACATATTTCTGAATTTTACGTAGGAACCTTCTTAGGTAATACTTAAGAATCTTCGTAGCACACTTACTTACGAAGAAATACACGGAGCTTCGTGAATCTAGCTCCAGAAAGTTAGTGAAACAATTTATGGGTTTTCAGCAATCAATGATTTTAATAGATTGTTCAGAGTTAAATGGTAAATGAGTCCCTTCCTTAGGATTCTTTCTATGAGCATGCAGATTTGCAAGTTCAAATTAATTGGGAGGTAGTTTCTTCTAAGATCTTTCTGTTTTTTTTTTTTTAATGGGATGACATTTGCATACAGGTATTTCCAGTCTTAGAGAACTATCTCTTGGTCCAGAGGATTTCTGAAAATGAGTTTCGGCGGTAGACATAGTTCAGCTCAATCCTTGACTGGATTGAGCTTTGAAATCTTTAAATTCGTCAATGCACTTCCTGATTGTTAACTTACCTCTTGGTTGGTTTCATTACCCCATTAAATTTGTTAATATATCTTCTAATAAGGTTTATGTTAAGCTTAAAACGCTCCCCGTATTAGAGGATTTATATAATGTGCATATCTTACCGACGAGTTATCAAATTTCAACGGTTAAGTGCTGGTATTTTATATAAATCAAATTAAATAAGGTATTTACATTTGAAAGATAAATGGTTGGAGAGGCGGGGCTTAGGAGTTGACATTCGATAGTGCAAGCGCATCTAGATGAGTACAGCCATTAAATACATTTTATGGCCATCATATAAATTGTAAAAATGTAAACCAAAAACTGATTTCTTCATTTATCAAAGAAAACGTGAACATTGGAAATACGTGAAGTAAGCGACTGATCACAGGAAGGTAAACAGTCACATCTAGGGTACTTGTCTTGTATTATCTAGTATGCCAGCCGCCTGTTAACCCAATCTCCAGCTTACCTGCACCTCAGTCCAGCTTTATCTCACTTCACTCGACCTCTTCTACGTCTATACGCACCAAGAGGTGTTTATATAATCCTTACGCTATTCCAGCGTTTAATTAACACAAATCAGCTGTAAACGTCTTGCGTATTGTACGTATATAAACTATGTTTTGTGATGAAGAGGGATAGAGACAAGTCATTTAGAGTCGAACATTTTTCGTTTGCTATTTGTTAAACCGGTAAATTTCTTTAAGTTAGGTTTGACTGAGTTATTTTGGTTTTAGAACTTAAGAACAAAGGTAAAAATCATGCCCGAAACGCTTTGCGTAATAGTGGCTTTAGGCATTGTATGTACTAGCTCTACCTATAAGTCAAACAATCCTTGTAAATATTTATTGTATGTATGTACCTTACCTAAATAAAATTGTATTGTATTGTAACTACAGAAGGCCTATTGGCCCATACGAGGCAGCTCCTATATTTGTTAAAATCCGTCTACATCTTGTAGTAAATAAAGATTACTAATTGTAAATTGTAGATCTTGTAGTAAAATCCGTCTACATCTAAAACTATCTTGTAAATAAAGCGGTGTGAATTTTCGAATACAAGTCTCATCGTACAATTGTTGCTTCCCAATATATAGTAAATAATAAATATTTACCTAACCTAAAAGCCTAATCTATCCTAGTTGAGCCTAAACATAACAGTTCCGAGGATAACCTAACGTGAGTTAAAAATACTTGTATCTTCACCAGAACTTTAAATATGTCCATGTGTTTAAAACGAAGCTTATAGTTCTATCTTTCTTGAGGCATATAAAACATTTATAATTACTTACATATTTCCATGAAATAAACGTTTCTGAGAGAGAGTGAGTCGCTCCATTGATCGATCTGTGCGGGTGAATTCTGTGTGTGATTTCACATACTTTCCCAATTCCCCCAGTTGAATTTTATAGATATTTGGCATTTACGACTTTGACGGGTAGGCGGTACCACATGGCATATGCATACTGTATAATAAACAAGATGGCCAGTTTCTGTTATTAATTATTATTACTGTATTTGCTTTCAGAATCACGAACATCTAGTTTGACTTGGGATATCTGTCGCCAAGATTTTTAACATTAATTTCTTCAATATGAATCGAAGTTCCAAGGGAAGAATATCACGGCCACCCGGATCTCAAGGAGCAGAACTTGAAAACCAGTTTATTCTCAAATTACCTCCGGTAAGTGACTTATTCTCAAACAGCAGAATGAGGTAAGGTAGGAAAAATTGGATGAAATTAATCTGCTTAAGTAAATATGTACAGTTCTTACAGTATAATAATTATAGAGCATTTACTCTTTTACTAGTATACAAAGTTGAAAATCCTCTTTCATATTTTCATTCAGAGAAAGATGGCATTTTGTTCATAAAGCATTGTATTTAATTGCCAACAAGCCACTAGTAATAAAGAAAATTTATATTCTGGATCAGGAAAAGCTGGAAGCTGGCCATACCTTGAGGTGCTTCCGGGGCTTAGCATCCCCGCGGCCCGGGGACGCGGCTGCTCGAAGCCTGACGTATGAGTCACAGCCATGTGTGAGATTTAAACACTTTTGTATCTTACAGGTTCAAGCAGCGTCACTAAGAGAGGCCATTAGACAAGGCCAAACAAATATTAAGGATCGTTTGGCAATTCAACTGGACTTTACTTCTGACAAAGATGACATGAGAAATGGTACTATTACCTTTGACACCATCATGTACAGAGCAAGAGTAAGTTTGTTGTTTCTTATTTAATACATTAAGAAAGCTTGCATTTAGTTAGATGTAGTTATGTAAAAAAATTATTTAGTATTAGTGGTGGTGTTACTTGGAGTAGATTCTGACCCATCCTCCTTAAATGAATGTTCGGTACTTATGGTAACTATTTGGTCGAAAGTACTATACCCACATGTAGTGATGGCAGAAAGTTGACTTTTGTATTATAGAATTTGGACAAACCATAAACTTTTTTAATTGCAACATAATATCTAACCTCTCCTAGCAATCCTAGCTCTAATATATGCTATCTTTGGCCTAATATAGTACATATGCAGTATGTGCTATACTAGTCTTAGGAATATTTAAGTTTGCTTTTAGCTTTATTTTTTGGACTATAAAATTAATACAGTAGTACAAAAGTGGTTTACTGTTTGTCCATTGCTACATATTAGCTCTTGACCAAATAGTTACTATATGTACCATCATTTCAGGAAGATGGGTTGGTAGATTTAAACACTTATCTAGAGATAAAACTGCTTAAAGGCTTGTCTTTCCAATATTAATATTCTCATTCAACCAGCTCTCTCTGACATCCTTTCTATGCCATTTATTTTGAGCTTTATTACCACTAGTGTGCTTTTTTACCTAGTCTACCTGTAGCTTATGTGTAGTCAGTTTTAAAAGTCTTAGGCTTTTAATAGGTTTAGGCTTGCATAGGTTTTGCTTTGGAAATAGCTAAGTGAGTTTGCTCCAAAAGGGCTCAATATATTCCCTTTCCTCTTAATTTGTTAAGTTATTTAGTATAATATTGCATATACTATATGTTTGTAATTAAAGCACTGTATTTAATATTTCATACAGAGTTAAAATCTTAATTGTTTTTTCAGTTGATGGACATGCCTACTATTATGGAGACTTGGAAAACCATTGATGGAAAAAATTTCTACAAGACTGCAGATGTTTGTCAGGTAAGATACAGTGGCATGTTTATTATCTGGTCAATACCATTTCTGGCCATGTGTAGAAACACTAGTTACTTTTGAAGACAGCTGAAGTTCACCATCCAAGACCTTTGTAGCATGTAACACAACTACCAATAATGTACAAATCCACAAGGGCCGTGACGAGGATTCAAACCTGCGTCCGGGAGCATCCCAGACACTGCCTTAATCGACTGAGCTACGACAGGGTAAAGTTCATTTGATGCATCACGTTAGTGTGATCTCTGTGTACCAATAATGTATTTTTAAAGTTAAATATTTATATTAGAGTAACAAGAAGAAAATTAATTCATGAGGTTTTTAGGTTCAACATTTGTTTCAGGTTAAATCCAGTGTAAACCAAGACCACAATACTGTACTCTGCTTATGGGACTGAACACGCACACACACACACACAAATGTTGAACAGAGTGGTAGACGGTTGAAACAAGTAGGTGAGAAGGTTGTGGAGGCCAAAACTGTCAGTAATTTCAAAGCGAGTGCTGGGGAGACAGGACACCACGAGCGTAGCTCTCATCCTGTAACTACACTTAGGTAATTACATACACACACACTAAATATGAAGAATTTTCTGTACTGTCCTAATTTCTAGTGTTAACACAAATCTATTTTACCGTGCTTGTTGGAAAACATAATTTTTTGCTGAATAATAAGAACATGGAGCATGATAACTCCAGCTGGTGTGTGGTAGATATGCCATCTGGGTGGTGGTGGAAGTTCTAAGGCAATAGGAAGAAACTCATGCCTTACATGAGTTTATAACTACTTATATGTACTTACATATTTGCCTTTTATCTACTGTACTTCATGTGTGTGGAAAGGATTGTGAAAATTCTAGTATCTTGCTGAATACCTAATACCTTTAGCTCTGTTTTTTATATTATTCTTGGCAAATATCTTAACCCCTATAAAAGTAAGAAACTTGATAATTTTGATGTACTGCCTCTTTAACAGATGTTGATGGTGCGTGAAGAGGAGGACCCCCCAGAAGAAGAAGACCCCAAGAAAAAGAGGCGAGATCCAAACAAGGTTGACAAAAAGTACCTTTGGCCTCATGGTTACACCCCACCTCTGAAGAATGTTCGCAAGAGACGTTTTCGCAAGACACTCAGAAAGAAGGTATAACTTTATAATATAATACAGTACTCTCATGTTTTTATGACACCTTAACTCATCTGCTTATCTTACTTCACTGTCCCATCCAAAATATCATCAAGGTATTATCCCTAACCATTATTACTACACCTACTAATACAGAGTCCATCAGTGTTAGAAATATCTAGTCCAGTTCCTGAATCCACTTTGTGTGTGCCTCATACTTTTGTTAAACTTTTATAACTACAGTAGTTCATCATTGCTGTAAGCTGCCTAGGTAAATTACAGTAATGTCAAAGTTCAGATCTTGTGCTTATTATGTGGCTCTGTAACATTTCCACCACTTTCCAGAGAAAGGGTGTTCATTCTCTGTATGGTGTTCATTGTAAATTTACTAATCTATAAAAGGTGGTAGAATTTTTGCTGATGCCTGTTAACCTGGTGATCAATGTATTTTAAGTGTCTGTAGTTATTGTATACAAATTTTACAGAACTTGGACCTACCAGAAATAGAAAAGGAAGTGAAGCGGTTGTTGAGAACAGATAATGAAGCCACTAGTATTCGCTGGGAGGTGGTTCGTGAAGAAGATGAGAAAAAAAATAATGCAGATACGAATCTGTCATCATCTAACCTAGATGGTATGTTTTTCTTCTTGATTTACCTCCATAAAACATAATTGATTATAATCAATCCTTTTTATTATTTTTTTTCATATGGATATTCAAATGAGCAATTGTAAGGTATAGATTATGAAAAATCTTCTTTTTATCAGGAACAGTACTGTATTTAAACAAATTATTTGACTGTTTGATTGACCGAGATTTGTTGTTTCATACCATTATTTATTAATATTTTTAGAGCAACTATTTGGAGGAGCACTAAGTTCATCTGATGATGAGGTGGGGCCTACGATAAATATTGTGGATGAGGACGACGACTCCCGTCTCTCAGTTGATGACAGCAGATTTTCTGAATCTTACTTAGTAAGTGCTTTGGTTAAATACTACTTGTTATTGTTTCCTTTGATATATAAGTTGGTGCTTTTTCAGGTGTTACTGTGGCTGGATCTGACTATTTTGTCATTTTGTTTATATTAGCACAAAAGTTATATTCCTTTTCTTATACCTATTCATTCAGTACTTCAGTCATGTCCCCTCCCCTTTCTTTCTGCCTTCGCAAATAATGTAAAGTAATCACTTTGAAAGAAAGGTTCCTAATGCCCAGTATTGCCTTGTCATCTTTATCTGCACACTTTTAAATTAATTTATCCATTCCCAAATCTGACCTTGAATGATCTGAATTGTGTTATTCTCCTATTGTGTTACTGTAGAAAATATATATCAGTCAATCAATAATATCTAGTTTAAAGCTTAATTTTATTTTTACATGGGCTTTAAATTTACATAACCTCATGCTATAGAATAAAATAAAACTTTTAATTACATAAGGAAATAAAAAGTTATTTTAGATTAGATTTATTAAACCTTAAATTTGGCAAGCAATAGCTTATAAAATCTCTTCTTAACCAACAGAATGAAGCTGGAAACAGCCCCCCAAGCAGCAAGGCCTCTGCCTCCACTCCGCTTGTTACAGACTTCTCTGGCATGTTCCGCAATGAAGGGGATTCTGCTTTCTCCTCCAAGCCGCAGACTCCATCTCCCACAAAAGTCACCACAAGTAAAGGTAAGAAATATTGTCAAATATTTATCAAACAAATCTGAATTATTGATGTGACATGCCTTAGATATGCATTCACAAGTGCTAGAATCAACTTTAAACTTTTGGGTTCATATTGAGTATTAACACATTTGCTGTCCAGCCTGTTGCTTGCTTGCCAGGATGTAATTGGGCTGTCCCTCTAGGGGCCCCACTTAGCTATAAAGTGTTTTTAAACATTTTGTTTTCTAAGTTGTATTTTCAGTTATAAATAATTTTTGTGTCAAATGTTCTGAATATACGAAAATTCATTAATTATTCGGCTAAATGAAAAGTAAAAGAGAAAATGGAAATGTGCACACATGATTATTCTATATAGATGTGAAATGAAAAGTAACATAACTTCCATACTTTTCTTTTAGTAATTAGCAAAGTGACAGTAGTATATTTGGGATTTTTTAGACTGTGTGTATCACAGGCCAAAAATAGTGTAGTGTGTATCACTACAGTATATACAGTATTATGGAAAAATGTTTTCTCAAATTTTTTGTGGCAAAGATATGATAAATCTTACATGTCAATAAATGATTATTCTGTCATGTGAAAAAATGCTTGAAAAATCATTATGCAGCAATTTTGTTATAGTAAAATGTATGCAATCATCAAAGTGTCCTGCTGTCTGTAAAATTTCATAATCATTATGATGTACAGTAATGCACTAGTAATGCTAGAAAGTTCTTTCTTGATCAGCTACAAAGAAAGCATAATGTACAATATCTAGATTTGTTTTTAATACTTTTTATATTTGTCTTAATTTGTTTGTGCTAGATTGAAACTTAAAGTTCTTTTCACCAACAGATAAGTTGTATGCTCGTTTGTCAAACTTGGAGAACGATCTGATGATGCTGACTACACAACGGGCTGCTCAAGAGGCAGAAATTGCCAATATCGAAAATTTGGCATTAAAGCAACGTTTTTTGTCAAAGCTTGCTGATACTGAAGCACTAATTAGAGAGAAGGAATATGAGGTAATTTAACTGTTTATTTAACTGGGGTATGCTCATTATTTATTTTAAGTGACATTAATTTTTTAAATATTAATTCGATTAATATTTAATCGAATTAATAAAATATTTGAGTGACGTAGTTCGGTGGCATATTCCTATGAAATTATCCAAGAGCAGCAAGTACATGACATATGTACTTGTTTTAAGTATGAGTAACTATATAAAAGCGTGTTTGTGACTTATTATGTGTCCCAGTTAATGAGTGCCATTTTCTCTTAACAGATTGATGAGGTACGAAGCCAGCTACAAGACTGAGTAGAAAACAGCATTCCTCAAACTACAAATTTGATAACTACATGGTTTGGATATTGGTACCAAAATATTCGCTGGTATACGAAGTCCAGTACAGTATACTTATATGTATTTGTATACCTGTAATACAAAATGTCATGCCTGTATGTGAGATGTTTTTATTAAAGGGCTAGAAAACTATACAGTATAGTATATAGATAACAACTTTTAATTTATGCACTGATAAATTGATAATTTAATGCACTACACCCTTGAAATTCTAGAACGTTTAGTTCCGACTCCAATCTGGATTTCCGAATGATTTCCCTTTGATGGTGGGGTGACTATTATCCAAAGTACAAGATTAGTAAAAATTTATAAAATATATATGTATTATGTATTTCAAATACTGTAATCCAAAAAAAAATAAAACAGCAATATTAGCAAAAATACATTAATTACTTGTAATGAACTAAAGTTTGTGATATTGCTGCATTTCCCTCTGGACTCTGTATTTTGTCAAGAAATTTTAATTTCAAAAGAAGGGATTCATCTAAAATTACATATTTTGTAATTATGTATGTATGTATGTGTTTCAAGTACGCATGTATTTAAAAACACATATGTACAGGTGCTTCATAAACTCGCTCGAAATACAATTTCAGACTGGTTAAGAGCCAAGATATATGTCAGTTTATTCCATAAAAAATATTTAGATTTTTATTAGTTTGATATACATGATTTTATCTAGCAGTATGTTGTGTTAAATATTTTTGCAAAATACCAAGATTTATTTAACCATTTTTGCCTGTAACACCTAGTTTATATTACTGTACCCATTACACACAATGGGTTTATTTCCCCCAAATGTTTATCTGGGTGGCACATAGTTTTTTCTATATCCCTTGAATAATAATATAATTTCAAATGATTATTATTTGTCCATATTAAATGATAAGTATTAATATTATAATTTAAATAATAAGTTAATTTTATTTACGTGGGCTCTAGGAAACTCTGACTATGGACCACATATGTGTGAGGAAGAAAATAAAGTTAATAAAATGTGTAATTAAAATGTTTCTTCAATTTACCTACATTGAAACAAGTGACTTTGTGGAGACAAGAGAACAGTAATGACTACACAAATGTTGGTGTACCTGCATTTTTTTTAGCTCACTGAAGCACTCCTCATTTTATCTTAATTCCTTTTCTCCCACCTTCTCCTATATATGAGAAATTTAAAGTATGTAAAATGAGCTAAATGGACAGTTAAAGTATGAAACCCTGTTCATATGTTGTGCTTTACATGATTCTGGCACAGATAGTGGAACAAGACATTTCAACATATAGATCCCTGGGAGTCTGAGAGATTGGTCATTATCGGATGACAATGATACCAATAAAATGATACTGGAAATATGGGAAAATTCACTTTTGCAAACTAAGTGGAGTGCCTCAAGGCTTTGCCCTGGGACCTCTGTTATTCATAATACATATAAATGATTTAGATTCAGGTTTGAACAGCAGTATTTGCGAATTTGCTGATGATACAAAAATCGGGAGGGTATAGTAATACTTGCTATTACTTCAAGACGATCTAAATAGGGTTTTGAAATGATCAAAAGATTGCCAGATGCAGTTTAATGCTGACAAATGTAAGGTTTTGAGGCTAGGTAATGATTATAGAGTTACAAGATATGGGCTAGATAGTGATGAGATTGCAAAAGGGATCTGGGAGTTATGATTAGTAAGAATTTAGAACCAAAAAAATCAATGCATAAATGTTTGTAATAAGGCAAATAGGACACTGGGATTGAGGGAGTGTTAATTAAGGAAGTGCATTCGCCCAGTTGTACTTGCAGGAGGGGGGGGTTGAGCTCTGCTCTTTTGACCCTGCCTCTCAACTGTTACTAACTACTAATTCCCCCCCCCCCCACACACACAGGAAGCAGCCCATAACAGCTATCTATTTCCTGCTTGGTAACAGGGGGCATCAGGGTGAAAGAAACAGGCCATTTTCTTTCTGCCATCACTGGGGATCAAACACGGACCCTAGGATTAAGAGTCCAGAGCGCTGTCTACTCGGCTATCAGCCCTCCCCCCTCAGTGTGAGGGAATGTTAAGGAAGTGTAAGTGTGAGGGATTGTTAAGGAAGTGTGAGTGAGGGAGTGGTAAGGAAGTGTGAGTGTGAGGGAATGTGTAGGAAGTGTAAGTGTGAGGGAGTGTTAAGGAAGTGTGAGTGTGAGGGAGTGTTAAGGAAGTGTAAGTGTGAGGGAGTGTTAAGAAAGTGTGAGGGAATGTTAAGGAAGTGTAAATGTGAGGGAGTGTTAAGGAAGCATAAGTGTGAGGGAGTGTTAAGGAAGCGTAAGTGTGAGGGAGTGTTAAGGCAGCGTAAGTGTGAGGGAGTGTTAAGGAAGTGTGAGTGTGAGGGAGTGTTAAGGAAGTGTGAGCGTGAGGGAGTGTTTAGGAAGTGTGAGTGTGAGGGAGTGTTAAGGAAGTGTGAGTGTGAGGGAGTGTTAAGGAAGCGTAAGTGTGAGGGAGTGTTAAGGAAGTGTAAGTGTGAGGGAGTGTTAAGGAAGCATAAGTGTGAGGGAGTGTTAAGGAAGCGTAAGTGTGAGGGAGTGTTAAGGCAGCGTAAGTGTGAGGGAGTGTTAAGGAAGTGTAAGTGTGAGGGAGTGTTAAGGAAGTGTGAGCGTGAGGGAGTGTTTAGGAAGTGTGAGTGTGAGGGAGTGTTAAGGAAGTGTGAGTGTGAGGGAGTGTTAAGGAAGCGTAAGTGTGAGGGAGTGTTAAGGAAGTGTGAGTGTGAGGGAGTGTTTAGGAAGTGTGAGTGTGAGGGAGTGTTAAGGAAGTGTGAGTGTGAGGGAGTGTTAAGGAAGTGTGAGTGTGAGGGAGTGTTAAGGAAGTGTGAGTGTGAGGGAGTGTTAAGGAAGTGTGAGTGTGAGGGAGTGTTAAGGAAGTGTGAGTGTGAGGGAGTGTTAAGCAAGTGTGAGTGTGAGGGAGTGGTAAGGAAGTGTAATTGTGAGGGAGTGGTAAGGAAGTGTAAGTGTGAGTGGTAAGGAAGTGTGAGGGAGTGGCAAGGATGTGTGAGTGTGAGGGAGGCGTGATCTACTGTATACCGCAGTGGATCTGCAAGTGGCGCACCCTCCGATTACTCGGCCTCGGGGTGTTGACTGCCTCACACCACCACCACAACCACCATCCCCTCCCATCCATACCCCAGCAACGCCAGACACCTTAACCAACCCTCCCACAGTAAAACACCCTGGGTGACCCCTCCATATTAAGACGACCCCAGCAGAGTGATGCGGTAGCCAGAGTCACCAGCCGTTGGGACACGGGCTTCCTAAACAGCTGATGGAGGTGAGGAAGAGTTGTCAGTGGCCCGCGTCCATCCTCTCCACTACCGTCAGTTTTTACCCACAAATTGCTTTGTTCGAGCTATGAAATTGAAGGTGGGTGGAGGAGACGAGTGTGAGGGAGAGAGGTAGTGGTGGTGTGAGGAGAGGAATGCCAGCCCAGGCGCCAGGACGGACATGGTGTGTGGGGCCCAATTGGGGCAGACCTAAGTCCTGCCCACTTTGCATGGTATAGTTCGAAATATTAGAACGGAAATTACAGGGTATGTGGGAAATACCTGTGTACGGTATGACTGCCCCTTACACTTGCTCTCTCCTCTCTCCATCCACTGATACCAGGGGGGGGGATGGGTAAATACCCCCTTTTTGTGCCGGAGGGGTTAAAAAAAAGTAGGTATTAAAGCTCTGAACTCCTTGAGACCTTTAAAACACTGAACAAATTGGATGATGTTAATCAAGACCACTTATGTCAAATATGATGCATGTATGGGCCAACAACTTCAACCTCAATGTAGGTCAGAAAACAGGAAGATGCTTTTTCACCCACTGGGTAATAAACCCATTAAATCACCTACCAACCAAAACAATGAATGACGAGACATTACTTCACTTTAAAATTCAACTGGAAAATATCCTCAAGAATAATGGGTTGGGGGGGGAGGGGACTTTCGATGATTCACTGTCTTCCTGTCACCTTTAAGGCCACTAGACATAGTATATCGTGGATAAATGACACGTAAAACATCCACTGATAGAACCATGGGAACGAGTAAATATGTGCTGATACCAAAGTTGGCGACTTAACCCCTTACCCACTGGTCCCAGAGTATGAGTGAACACATACTAAACTCGCAATAGGTTTTTCCATGTGCGTGAGGCTGGAGCTAGGCTACTGTTATCCCTGCTGCTTGTTCAACAGGGAGACCCTAGTGTAAAGTAACCTATACACATCGGATAATAAATACAAATTTCTCGTGGTGAGCCTTGATGAGGTAACATGCAACTGAGGTTCTCCAGTGATCTTATTTTTACCCTCCAATATGAAATGTATTTCAAAAATTATTTGATCTAATATGGACAAATAAATTCTTTGTGTACAGTATCTAACTTGAAAATTCTTAAAAAGCATTGACCTGCTTGATGGGGTTCTGGGAGTTTTTTTTATTTCCCAAGCCTGGCCCGGGGCCAGGATTGACTTGTGAGAGCTTGGTCCAACAGGGTGTTGCTTGGAGTGACCCGCAGGTTGTCTGAAAATTGATGATTGTACCTTTATTCGATGATAAAAAGAAATTCCAAATAAAATCGGTAGTCTACCCCCAATTAATCAAGTGTATTTTAGGGGAAAAATCATTTATTCAATTTTTATTTATAAAACAATATGTAGGCTACAGACTATATATATCATATGTTTTTTGATGCAGTAGTCTTCCCTGGTATTGCCATACTATACATGCAATGGGTCCTGTAGTGCAGTGGTCTTATCTTTAACAAATTGGTCTCTGGTTCAGTACCCATGGGAGGACAGACATGGTTCAATTCCTATGATAGAACGGAGATGTGATTCAATTCCCATGGCAGGACAGAGATGTGGTTTAATTCCTGCAGTTGGACAGATGTGGTTTAATTCCTGCAGTTGGACAGATGTGGTTCTAAATAAAAATGACACAATAGCTCCTAAGCACCTAGCAGTAAGTAGGCACCCAAGAGTTAAGTCAGCTTATTGTGTGGTTGCATCCTGGGAAAGGTCAGTAGTTAAACATGTACAAGCCAAATGCAGGCGATGAGTCACAATAACGTGGCTGAAGTATGTTGACCAGACCACACACTAGAAGTTGAAGGGACGACAACGTTTCGGTTCATCCTGGACCATTCTCACAATCGACTTGAGAATGGTCCAGGACGGACCGAAACGTCGTCGTCCCTTCAACTTCTAGTGTGTGGTCTGGTCAACAAGTACAAGCCAATAAAATTTCTAGATATGCATAAAATTATATAACAATATACACATATGCAACCATTTAATAGGATAGGTGCACTGCAAATAAGTCAATAGTTACTTGGATTAATGCAAGTCAATCAATTATAGTACACCCTGTTATGCCCCTGTTACCTAGCAGTAAAATAGATACCTGGGTGTTAGTCAGCTGTCACGGGCTGCTTCCTGGGGGTGGCGGCCTGGTCTAGGACTGGGCCGCGGGGACACTAAAACCCCGAAATCATCTCAAGATAACCCTGTCCACCTTAAATAATACATTGTATTTTGACGCCACAATTCCCAGTGGATAATCATTCACATTATCTATGTCCGAATCAGAAGGTTGGATTAGGTTCAGTTCTGGCAATTTAGTACTGTACATCATTTCCTATCTATTTTGACAACTCAAGAGGACACGCTGGGTTGGTAGCTGCTGTCTACTTTGTCAACAGTGTAGGTGCTAATATTTAGCCAAGGCGTAGAGTAGCAACCAGGCATCCCAACTAAAAATTAGGAGAGCAATGCTTGGCAGTCTCAGTGAGTATTTGTTGACTTAGCCTGGCTTTTGTTCAGTCATGCCCTTGAGATAGCATAATAATGCCTAAGAGAGTAACCAAGGGAAATGGTTAAAGAACATTATGACAACCAAAGGGCGATACTAAATTGGAGACTAAATATGACTACACAACATTACAAATATGACTACAGTATACAGCATATCTTTGAAGGTCTCTGTTTTATATCACCAGCTTTTTTACAATTGAATGACAGCATGATGATTATAAAATAGGATAATAACTATTCCTATACTATATTTTTGAAAAGAAATAACTTGCCTCTAGGTTTGTCTCAGTGATGATTCGGCTTAAAGAATATATAGAGTAATAAGGCATTCAAGATCTTGCATGTGGAAATTCTTTGAAGTCTGAATATTTTGTTCTGCATTACTGTTGACATTTCTCATTAATATTCGCCTCGCTCAGATCCAATGCCAAACCAGCTTTCTTGGCATCTTTTGACAGTTAACAATGAATTACTTTTTGTAATGTAGTAAAAATTTAGGATATTAATATTTAATTGTCATAAGCCTTAGTATAGTACTGTACAGAACAACTGTTCTACTTGGCAAATGTAAAATTTTAGTGAAATTGTTAAGTGAAAACTTTAATGTACTGTATAAGGTCTTGAGAGGGAGATAGCAGTAAAAATTCTTTAAGTTAAAATGAGCTGAACTTAATCTTTAAGATCCCTCTCAAATAAATGTACAGTATACTATAATGTTTTTTTACTTACAGGAGGGGGAAATGGATGAGCACTTGCGTCAGCCATATGAGGGCCAGTTGATCAAATTTACCAATGTTGTCAAGGGCTGGCAGGCACGGTGGTTTATTCTTAATCCTGAAGTTGGAACCCTGGAGTATTACCTGGTAGGTGACTGGAATACTGTGAGTGCTGTAAATACATGTAGCTGTAATATACTTAGTTTAAGTATAATTCATAATAATAATTCATTGTGTTTTGGAGCAGACAGCCATTATATACATACAGTACAAGTTAGGCTTTTCTGTGAGGAGCCCCTTCGGCTTGCTGGAGCTATCGGGCTAATACGCGAATCATCAGACTTTGGCATTAGTCTATGGAGTTCAGCCTACTGGGGACCACAAGCCCCAGAACCTGGTCCCCTCAGAGAGGCACACGAAGCAATGGCCCTGGAAAACCACTCTGTGGTTGGGTTTTTTCCTTATCTGCCATTGACGGGTTTGTGTGCCCTTGTCTCAGGGGTGACAGTCACCTCTTTTGCCTCCATCATGCTGCCTGTTGGGTCAACGACACTTTTGACCCAGAGTCTTGCGAGTCTTGTTCTCCAGTACTATTCTGATGACATTACTGTAAGGGTACAGGCAGTATCCACGTTGCATTCTAATTTCGATTGCTGGAATGCACTAGGTTGGTTTCCCACCCCGGATACCCCGCTTTAGTTATAGGTTATAGGGACCTGGGCCTGGGGGTGTTAAATCACTTCAACTTTGGTTCAATCCATGCTCCCTGGTCCTGCCCCTTTTGTTCATCCTATACCTCCCCCCCCCCATCCCGTGCTTTTGGCTCCTAAACATCTGGGGGTTTTGGCGTCGGAGCAGGGTTTGGTTGTAATGAGACTCGGGGCAGCTTTGCGGGGCTGGGGGGGCTGCTCCGTGTAGGTTGGGGACGGAGGCATTTGGGCCGATTCCTCCTTCCGAGGCTTCTGGGTCTCGCCAGCATGCCACCTTTTTTCAGTCTTTTCCCTGGACTCTGCCTTTTCTTCAGGGGTAGAGGGTATGGAGGACGGCTCTGTCCAGGGTCCTGAATTGACGGGGAAGGGGGGGGGGTTCTGTTGCTGGGGAGAAGTTTGGTCCTTAGGGGAGCCTAAGGTTCAAAAGAAGGAAGCAACTTTGACCCAGCTTGGTTGTTGGTGCCCTTTTTGCAGGGGAATTTTTTTTTTTTTTTTAACCCATCTTCACTGTGAGTATAATTTGGGGTTGACTCCTTCCCGGGTTCAGTTCCGGGCTCCCTTGGGTTCCTCGGCTCTGCCTTTGGAATCTCACCTAAGGAGGTTCGAGCGGCTTTTGCTGCGTACCTCCTTCGTGACCCGGATTCCACCTCCGTGATGTATCTGTCCTTTTTAAGTTTGGTTCTTCCCCGTATTGGATGCATTTGGAGGTTCCGGAGTCTTCCTGGCTGGCAGACTGCCCTTTCATTTTGTTGGAGGCATGGCATGCGTTTTGTCGGACCTCGCGCTCGAGTGGCGAGAACTGTCTATGATAATAATAGGGTTGATATTATTGTAGGTGTATGTCAGCGTTGGCATGACACCCTAATGGTTACCCCTTATGAATGGGGTCATAAGGGAGCTTAAAGTATAATTATTAGAGAAAGTCAGTAATAATTATAATTACTCACAACAAGCTAACTTCTGGGTATCTATTTACTGCATTAGGTGATAGGAAACGCGCCCAACCATTTCTGTGCCGCCTGGAATTCCCAATTGTGAGTTGAGGACAAACCCAACTGTACTACCAGGACCCTAGAGTTGGGATTAGAGTTTCAGGAGAGAAAAATGGTTAGTGCAATTAAGTACTGGTTAGAGAAGACAAACTAACACGATGTGCAGCATATGATAATGTGCTACTGGACACCCAGTCCAATGTTGTATACATACAACATTGGACTTTTCATACACTTTTACCTTTTAAAGTGTTATTACCATATCTATTTATCTTGGCTTATTAAACTGCATAATGTGCAGTGCAGTATAATAATGTATAATAATAGTAATTTAAAGTAAATTACTGTATTATCATTGGTATGTTTTTCCAGAGTGAGAGTGACAAACATGAGAGAGCTCGTGGCAGCATCCAGTTGGCAGGGGCTGTTATTTCTCCAAGTGATGAAGATTCGTATACATTTACTGTATCTCCTGCTGCAGGAGAATCTTATAAGCTACGAGCCACTGACACCAGGGACCGGCAGATGTGGCTTAATCGACTAAGAGTTGTGGCTGAAATGCATACACGAGCGATAGCACATGTATGTGTGTTGGATTGTTTTTATTAATTATGATAGAAACAAGGCATATGTATGAGACTTTTTTCAAGTCAAATGTATAAAAATTTACAGATTAAAGATTTTTTAATTTAATGAAATTTGTATTTGGGTATGGTATTTTTACTATTTCTGGGAGGGTCCCCTCAGTAGCTCTTTGAGCTAAGCACTGGTCCAAATAAGCCTTGGAGACAACCAGGCATCTTGAGACACACCCTTGCCTACTAGGTGCCAGGACCAGAATTTGGCTCTCTGTGAGGTGTGGGGGATGGAGCCTGCAGATCAGAAATTAACCCAAAACTGAGGAAAGATAACCAGAGAGCATAAGTGCAACAAAACAAGCGACTGCTTGAAGAAAATTAGGTACCCAAAGGTAATGAGGCAAAGAATCAATGGTGCGGTATAAACACCCTAACCATGATGTGCCTGAATGCCACCAAACAGTACTAAAGGATCAATGTTAATTAACTTGAAAGTTTTCAAGGAAAGACAACTTGCGTTAATCTTGGACATCAGGAACTTCCATAATGAAGAGAAACTAAAAGTATAATTTGCTTGCTGGGGAATATGGAATGTTTTTCAATAGTTATATTTTTTAATGTATATTACTACATAATATAGTTGCTACATATTTTTAGGGAAGAATTTATGATGAAGTTATTAGTCCTTAAATTTATATTTACAGAATCACCCACCCCTAGCCCCGCGTGAGCACCGCACACCAGGGAGCAGCAATGCTGGCAGCACAAACCAGGCTGCATCACCTCCACCCATGGGATTGGCAGTTTTGGATGCCTTCACACAGGTAGCTGAGGTGCTGGAGGAAGCTCGCAGACAACACTCGGCACTTGTAACAGCCATAGAGGATATGCCTTCTTATGGTGATGTATATTCTATTTTACTGTGATTAAATGTTTAGTTTCCTAAATGTTGAATTTTAATATAATAGGGAAGTTATGGTTGAGTGGCAAGAGCCCACAATACTCTAGGTCTAGAATTTCAGGTACAGAATTGAAAACTGGGTAGGTGGGTCTTTCTTCAAGTTATATTTCGGAATGTGAATGATTTTACACGAGTGGCCTCGACGAGAACAGGAAGCTGGCAGCTTATCAAAGGTCTATTTATGGAGGGTGTAGTTCTGTAGTTAGCTATGTGCTCGTGTCGTGATTGTTCTTTGCTTGGCTCTAGTGATTGTTCTTGTCTGTGGCTACATAGAATGTCCATCACCAGGCATTTCCAGTTGGGATTTCAGGGTCTATTAAACCAAAATGCTTTCCTTATGCTTGGTATGGCTGCCTATATGTGTGATGGCCTGGATAGTTGGTTTCCCTTGTCCCCATTTATACTTTTAGTTTTCTTTACATTCTCAGTTGGGTTGGTCTGGCTTCCCTATACATTTTCATACTTGACCTCAGTTTTTCTGGGGAAGCCCCTACATCTCCCTGAAGCTAACAGACTGATATCCATTATATTAATCTAGAGCATCAATTAATTGGAATCTTAAGCCTACCAGGAACCACGAGCCAGAACCTGGTTCAATCAGAGAGGCAAAGGGAGCAATGGGTTAAACACTCCACTTGTGAGAGTCTAGTCATGTCTGCCATCGACCAGGGGTATCACCCAGAAAGGTAGGAGGACCATTACAAACCCCAACAACAGCACCCCAGGAGGGGTGCTGTTGTTGGCTGGGGCGCACAGTTTTGCGCAACTTGCATAATCGTGGCGGCTGTGACACACACTGGCCTCTGGGGGTTGTGGTGTATTTTTGAGGGTTTCTAATTTTTTGTTATTTCCTGGAGGAAGTCTGCCTAGCTTCTGACTATGTTCGACTAGGTTGTGTTTGGTGGTGGTCCTCTGGGCCCCTTGAGGTTGCACGCACAGCCTCTTGGGGTCAGTTAACTTGGTATTAGACGAGGTTCAACAGGCTTAGCTACACCAGTGCCTGGGCTCCTCCTGTGGGGCCTGGTAATCCCCTTGGGGCTTGGTGTGGCTATATATACTGTATACAGTATATGTCTTCCGAGTCCCCACTCGCTTTATGCGAGTTTGAAGGTTGTTTGTTGCCTTTGTCTCAAGGTGATTATTATCTGTTCTGCCTTTGCCATGCTGTTTGTTGGGTCAGTGACATCTATGACCCAGAGTCATGCAGGACTTGTTACCCGCACGTTCTCCAGCTTACCCATTCATCTTGGGAGGGACTTAGGGGTGGGCAGTGGCTGGGTTGCAGTTTAGGTTTTTGTTGCAACGAAACCGGTTTGTGGTTCGGTCGGATGCCCTGGAGCTACCCCATTTTGGTTTTAGGGACTCGGATTTGGGGGTGTTTGTTGCTTCGATCTTGGTTTTGCCCAATCCCCCGATTCCTTCCCCGGTGGGCATGGTTCGCCCTGGTCCCCCCCCCCCCCCTCCTTGTTCCTGACTCCCAAATGTTTGATGGTTTCGGAGTCGGGGCAGGGCTTATCTTGGAACGAGAGTTGGGTATCTTCAGGGGCTGCTCCATTCAATGCGGGTACGGAGGTGGTTGAACCTGATTGCCTCGCCATGTCTTCTGGGTCTATGCCCTTCATAGGGGTGTTTTCCTTTCCTTGTCTTTTCTTTAGGGGCTGTGGATGTGGGTGTCCCTGGGCCTGAGTCGGGGGTGATCTGGGGTGCTGTGGGAGTTGCTTTGTGGGAGTGGCTCTTGGACCCCATTTGGCCCTGCTTGGGTTTTGGTACCTTCGAGGCAGGGTTTGTTGTTGCAGGGTGAGGGATTTTCGTATCCCCCTTCCCTGTACGAATTTGATTTAAGGGCGTTTCTTCTCGAACCCTGTTCATTTCCTGGTTCTTTTGGATTCCTCGGATTCATCCTTCTGGAGGTTCTCTGCCTCTCGGATTTCCTCTGTAGAGGTTTGGGAGTTGAAAAATTAACTCTCCCAAGTTCATTTTCACACTTTTATTTTTGGTCTGATGCCTAGGGATGCATTTTGTAAGGCGACTCCTTACATTCTCAAAGATTATTTTACCATGCTTTTGCACAGGCTTGTATTCTCTTTGGATGAGGTGGTACAGAACAAGTGGATGAATGGCATAACATAGAGAATATTGATAGGGTATTACACACATCAACATAAGCACCTTATATTCTTGCAGCTGCTTGTGTATCTAGGGCAGGGTCATTAGATCCTGTCTCCGCATTGACTCGGGGTCTTGAAGTGGGTAGAATGTAATTGTGTTAACTGGTTGTTGATTGCTGGTCTTGACTGTTTGATGTTTTTGTGTTGGAGTTTTATCTCCTTGTCAGTTCTGGGTTTGTGCTTTTAGTGGCAATTAATCTCTTAGAGTTTTTCCACAGAGGCTGTAGCTTTATGTCATTTCCTAGCATCTTCTACCTTTTGGTTTCTTGGTGTCCCTCTGAAGGTTTTTGTTTTGGCCAAATGGTGGTCTGACCTGGTTTTCATCTTTTTTTGCAGTTTCCTTAGGTGTTAATGTATGGTGTACTGTGATGTCTCCCTCAGCCTTGCTGTGTTTGTCATGCACTTCAGCACTTAGTGCTGACTGGTATACTCTTGCAATAATTCTTTGTCTTCTCACGAGCCACTTCTTTTGTTGAATTTTTTTTCTGAAATGTTGGCGTCATATGCCAAGATTTCATTGTGAATTAGCTCAGAGGGCTACTGAGTTTACTGTTCCAGAAATCAAGTGTTGAATATTATGAAATTGCCTTTTCTGTTTCACCCTCGGTAGCTCCCCATTCCCCACCCTGTTCATTACTGTCCCTTGAGGTGGAAAGGTTTGAGTAGGGTGGCTCGTGGATCAAGGAACAAGCAATCTTCAGCCCAGAATAGTTTGGGTGTTTATCCTGTGGTAATGATCGTTTGCTTCTCTCCCTTTTGGTACATAATTTTTTCAAGTAGCCATTTGTTTTGTTTTGCTTATACTTTCTGGTGGATTTTTTCTTGGTTTTGGTTGATTTCTGATTCCCAAGCTTCCCTCACCCCATAGAGAGCCAGATTCTGATCCTGGCTTGTTGTAAACAAAGGTGCATCTTCCTTTGGCATGGCTGTACCACTGTTTACCTAGGGGAGATACTGAGAGTCCAACAGAAAATGGCATTTCTTTATTCTCAACTCTTTATTTTGTTTAGGTTATGGGGTGTTTACAGACTTCCATGTGTAGAAATAAGGTTGGTCAAAAGATGAGTTGTAACTCATTGAGATGCTTTAAATGCAGGTTCTGGGATGCGGTGCACAGAACCTAATCTCCTCCTGTTGAAAGCCACAAGTCAAGCCACACTGCTGTGTCTTGACCAGTGTCTTGGCGTGTTGCGGACACAGCACATGTCTGCTCCTCACCATCAACCATCACCTCCAGTCACCAGTGTCAAGTAAGACAATATATATTTGTTGTAACATTTTAATTTAGGATGTAATTACTTTCTGGTATACTTAAGAACTATTTATCATTTGCAATTGAGGAACATATGTACTGTCCAATATATGGGTTTTGTTTGTTTTGTTGTACTTGGTATACTGAATAAATGGAAGAGAGCACTGAATGCCTTTACTCAACCAGTCATTCAGAATTATTTAAGAAATCTTAATATAAAAATGAAGAATGCATATTTTTAATAAGAGTTTTCTCTGAAGACTTGCATTTCTTATGGTGTATAGTGTATTACTTTTCAAATAAAGTTACTAATGTCAAATGATCTCGAGTGGTTGGTGAGTGTGGTGCCTTCTTGCATTGGAAAAATATAGTGTGCATTATTTCATTTGATTAAAAGCTTGCCCATTAATAAAGAATGGTGTTTATATAAACATGAACATTTGAATACATTTTCTACAACAGTACGAGATGTATAATATTTAATACTACAGCAGTGCAAGAAATATATGTACTGAATAATACTAGAGTGATTTGTGTGTGTGAATGCTGCATCAGTTGCTTATTCTGCTTGTTGTGTTCAGTGTATGTTTTGGTCTTGTGTAGTACTCATGAAAATAGAGTAAACATTTATATTTCTCTTCACATATAGTCCTTGCTTTGTGTCTGTCACATTAATTTTTAATTTATGAACTAGATGATCTTGTTCCCTTGCTTAGTCTGAGTCAGTATATTAATGTCAACAAAATTGTATTGTGTAACAATGTGTCATCTTGAAAGGTTTTGGAGCTTTATTTTTGATGCAGCTAGTAGTTATTTGAACATTTTTCAAGGCAGATAAAGGATATATCTTACCAAAATTATATTGGTTTTAAATTTGGGCATATTATTGAGATTCATATTGATTAATTTGTAGTAGTTTGACTGTTGAGAAAAACTATAAAGTTTTTGAGAATAGATAATTTTTTAATGCTGTTTTCCAAGTGGTTTGAGTTTTGCATACCAGCAAGATTTTCCTGAGCCATCCAGGTAAAACATGATAAATGAAGGATGCTTCTGCCAATTCCCATGTAAGTCTTTAATCACACATTAAATTATTTGCACATCTCCAATCATTTGATGTTTTAGATTGAAGTGTTTGATTGTGGAATATATAAACATAAATGGAAGGCACTAAATTCTGATAAACCATGGGTTTGAAAGGCTAGTTATTTTCTGAGAATGTAAATATAATATTGAAGCAGAAGATGACAGGTTTAAGGTTGTGTGGAGTGGGAGTGAGACGACTGGGCATAGTGAAGAATTAGAGATTATGGGAGTTGTACGTAGAATAAAGAAAGAGCTTGAGGGGGAAAATATTAGACGAGGAACATGTGGATGTACAAGCTTAGGGAGTGCATCTGTGATGCTAGGTAAATAATAGTGTACATAAGTAAAGTCAAAGAAAAGAAAGGAAAGGATACTTGCATACATTATGAAATAGGAGGATAGGGCGAGGGTTTACGAAGGTTGAAGGGTGTCAGTATGGTGCAGCTTAGCATGTTATTATTTAACATTATGCTTCTTTGAAATAAATACTTGGCATGGATGTCATTATTAATGAAATTTAATATTCCACTATGTACACACATGGTTTACTTTGATCTGGTATAATAGTGTTATAAATTTCTAGTCTCCAGTGACAGAGCATAATTAGGTTCATATCTCTTTGAAATTACTGTATTGTTAAGTGGAACAATAGTGTGCAGAAATTAGCTTGAAGAGTGCATGAGTCACTTAGTATCAGTGTGTCATAGACGTGTTTACAAATATGACCGGATGAGTAGTGTGAGGCAGCTCAGTAGGAATTGGAAAATTTCAATGTAAAGGAGTGTGAGTGGAAAGTTGTAGGAAGGGTGTGTAGGTGTCAGTTATCTTACTATGCTGTGGGATGTGCAATTATTGAGTGATAGAACAAATGGGACAGTGTAATTTAGGCCTTAAGACAAATTGAGTTCATGGTATAGACATTGGATACTGAAAATAAATAATAACGTTAGATATCCTAAGAGATTTAAGTGTTAAACAAAAATTCAAGCTCATTTATTAATAAAATAAAAGTTTGAAGTTCTGATATAGCATGAATCTGCTTGGACAACATTACAGAACAGAATGAATGGAGTTGTGTCAGGAATTGATAAATAGAATGATTCACATACGTTTTGCTGCTTTTATCATTTGCCTTGTTAAATATTGCAAAATTTATTCTTAATGTGTTTTTGGATAGAAGTTGTTAAGTCATAGAAAATTGTAGTTGTGGAATTTTGTAAAACCAATATGTTATATTCATAATGTTATTATTAGGAAAGATGTTAAAGAGTGTTGATTAAACTTGATATTAATGCCAAAATTAAGCTCCAAAACATATTAATTCTGTACTTTTTTATCTAACTTTTCAATGTGAAAGTTCGTGTATGGTTCTTCTGATTACTATTTTCTCTGTATCCTATACACACTTGCCCTTTATGGTGTTATCTTACTTACCCCCTCTCCACACTCTCGTCTAGTGCTCTCAATTGGCTTGTCATTAATCTTTAACCTTGCCATGTATCATGTATTCATTCCTATTTCATCGGTATCTTTTCTCTCTGTTTTGATATTTCATATTTGGGTGCTTCTTTTAATAACTTATTTCTTGTGTTACTCTCATTCTGATCATGCACAAATTACAGTTTTTGTGGATTATTTCTTTAATATATATTTATATATACTTTTTATTTGTATACATTATTGGTACATTGCCTTTTTGTTTGATGTTTGCTTTCATCTTCCCTATTTAAACCAATGGCTTATTTTATTTTCTGTAGTTCCTGCTGTCCCAGTGTGCATCTTGTCTCTCATCATTTGTTCATCTATTTTCACTAATTTATCTTTCTTTATTTTTATGTATTTGGATTTACACATGCACATGAACACACATTCCAAGGCTGGAAGATATGAGGAAAAAAGGCAGTATGATCACAACAAACAAAATAGTAACTGGAATTAAAAAAATAGATAAGAAGGAATTTTGTAAACCTGCAACATCGAAGAACAAGATGCCATAGATTCAAGCTAAGGAACCAAGATGACAAAAAACATATAAAAGATTGCATAGTGAATTTTGAACACTTTGTGAACATAGTTGTAGAAGGTGGAACAAATTGAGAGAGAAGGCAGTTGCCAAAACCATCAATAGTTTCAATGTGTCATATGACAAAAATTATTGGGAAGATGGAACACCATAAGTGTAGCTCTCATCTTGTAACTATATTTAGGTAATTACTCACAGAATTTCCCCCCCCCCAAAAAAAAAGGGGTTGAAAGTTCCGTCTTGTGAACAGTATAATAGAAAGCACATAGAAAGGAAGCAAAGTAAAACAGACAACTTCAAGGTTCACAGAGGAAGAAAGAGATGAAGCAGCAAAAGACTCCACAAGTTATACACCCAGTAGATAGCTTGAACCCCTTTCTTGGGTTATAGCCGGAGCTGCCTACTTCCCCTGTCAACCATCCACAGTCCTTTGCCTAATGTCCAATAATTTGACTGCTGCTTGAATTGCCAACCTGTTCACTTTGAACTGCATGTACTTAGGCAGCCCTTCCCTCAGCACTCATCTAGTGATATGTCTGCCTTAACAGGACACCTTCCCTGATGGGTTTGTTAATTCATACCATAGAGGCCAGCCTACTGTGTATGGTGCCTCATCCATAGTAGTACTAGGGTAAATGACTCCTCATGGTTGCTCTAAGGTTGAGGTGGTCATAGGTTTATTGTTTTGGGTGCACTAGGGCTCGTGCACTTGTATATACTGCATGCTGCCTGACACCCTTCATAATCTTGTTTGTCCTGAGGACTGAGTTTAGTGTCATTTCTTTCAGTGAGCATCTTTAGTGCCTGCATGTCCTACTTGGTCCTTATCATCTGGCCCTGACAAGTCCCACAAGTCTTTGTTATGGCTCATTATGAATCGACTCGCCAAGGCTGCACTTGCTACTAGTGAGTTGGAAGGATGTCCATTGCCAGGCCTATTGTCTCCCACCCCTGGCTCCGGCTTCCAAAACTTCTTAGGGTTTTGAGTCTGCAGGATTTAGGTGTGGGTGTAGCTCGGCCACTTTCAGGGTTTGCTCCTTTCACATCAACAGTGGAGACAGTTGAGCTGTCCTATCCCGCATGAGATTCAGAGCCTTCTGTTTCACAGGGAGGATGGTGTATTTAGCGCTGATTCTTTAGTTTAGGGTGATGCCTTCCTGTCAGAAGAGGCATCAGGTGCAGAACATGGCTGCAGTGTTCATGTGTGACTTTCAATACTGAGGGCAGCCTGAGGAGAGTCCCTGGGTGTCCTTCAAGCTTGTAGTTGAAGGGCACCCCTTGAACCTTGTAGTTGTCTGTTATGCTTTGCTTCCTTTGTGTGTTTCTTCTGTGAGAGTGATTGTAAGAATGCCTTGCTCCCTGTATGAGGAGGCCAGATTTTGGCCTCTGGTCTCCTGTAGGGAACTAATGACTCCTACGGCTGATACGGCACTATCTCAGTGAAACTAGATACAGGGAGCCACCAAATCCCACTTAGAAAGATGCATTTCATTATATTCAACTCTGGTTTTTTATAAATACTCACTTTTAAAATGGGAAGTTCTTTTGTAGGCAATATACAAATGAGGAATTCCACAGATTTGTTACTGCCCAAGAGATTAAATTAAATCACATTTTTGACTGATTCTGTTTTTGGAAGCACACTCCATTTCACCCACAAAAATTATTCGAACCAAGCATTCTTTCATGGTTAAATTTTAATAAAAATCAACACTGCTAATTAATGTATCATGAACAATTTAAATGTCATGAATGTTCCAGATGCAGTTCTTTATCTATTGGTAATTGATCATTAATTATTGAGCTATGCATCTTCAGTTCCTCCTCCAAGTCAGAGCCTGGGATTACCCAGGATATTGCTCAGATGCCAAGCCCTAGACTTAGACTAGAGACTTTTACTGCACCCCTCACAATTATCTGTGTAAACTACTGGTTAGTTGCCACCATTACACTAATTGTCATCAGCTGGCAGCACCAGCTACCATAACAGATTCTTGGCTGTTGGAAACTCCCCCTCCCCCACCACTTCACACCCAGCTCTGTGGTGGCCAGTTCAGTTTTGATATGAGAATTGTGAAATGCCTAGGTATAAACTGGTTTGGAAATAAGTTATCTGATTTATTTAAAAAATTACAAGGTTTCATAATAGAAATGGGATCATTGGATTGTTTTATGCCTAGGTTAGACATGTATATAAATGAGTTTGGGTGGATATCAATTGGAGCTGCCTTGCATATTCCCATTGGACTTTTGCAGTTTTTAATATATACTTCTGTTATTTTGACTGATTATTGTTTGAGACTTTGTCTCCTCAAGTATTGGGGTCTTTGATAACCCGTACAGAGGCAGCTGAGGTACTCCCCATTGTGAGAGTATGGTGATTCACTCCTGTTGAGTTTTGAGTTTTCACTTGAAGTTGTAAAACATTTTCTTTAAGGAGGATGTTTTGTTACCTCTTTTCATTGTTTTAGTGTGCAGTTCACCTCGGTACAGTCCTCTGTTGGTCCCTTTCCATATTGAAAGCAAGGGAGGCTTACTAAGGCCCTTGTCCTCTGTGTATGGTGTGTCCCACAGTTGTCTGATGTGATTAGTTTATCTAAAATGTACTAGTGTGTAAGCTCAGGAAAGTTACTAAAGTGTTGTCCAAAAAGAGGACCTTGATTTCCCAATTCAGGTAATCTATGTGTCCTCTCTTTTTCAAAACTTGTTCTTCTGATAGCTACATGTTCAGAGGGGGCACTTTTTCATATGGTGCCTCATTGATAAGGACTTCCAAGTGCAAAGGCACCTGGCAGATGTGGGAAAGTTTTCTGCATGCCAAGAACTCTTCTTGGCATGCAGTCCTTCTTTGTTCCTCTCCCTCCTCTGTCAGACAATCAACCACCTATTTTACATGAACATTTACAGGCTCTCCACCGATTTTAACATGTAGAACTTCTGGGATGGATCTTTTACCTGGGATGGTAAAATCTGGGATGGATGAAGTTTTTTGGGAAAAGAGGGTTACATATAAAAACATCCAAAAATATCACTTTGTTATACACTTTACTGAACTAAACACTTACTTTAGCATTGATATTTAATGCTTCTCCACTTTCTAGTCACAAATAGTCACAATAACAAAACTGCAAACCAGGCATGACAGGGAGGATGACATTGACATTGTCACAGGCATGACATTGAAACTTTTAAAATACTGAATAAATTAGAGGATGTTGATCTGGATATTTTCTTCAGAAGGTCAGATGTAACACAAACAAGAAGCAATGGTTTCAAGCTCAACAAGCCACAATGTAGGACTGAGAACAGGAGATTCTTTTCCACCCACAGGGTTATTAACCCATGGAACTGCCTACCCACTGATGCTGTAACTGCCATAACTGTGTTGAGTTTTAAAATATACCTGGAAAAGATCATCAGGGCAAATATGGGGACCTTCAACAAGCTGCCGGCTTGCTGTCCTTGTTGAAGCCACTAGGGTTAGTGGTCCTCAGGTAAATTAGGTATATTCCTAATGATACCTAGAATACTTAGGATGTGTAATGATCCATAAATGTAATCCCAAAAGTTTGCAAAAGAAGAAGAATATGGTGGATGTGGGAGCACAACACACTGCTGAGAACGTGGTAGATCTGAACAATGGCATGGCTTATCTTCACTAATTCACATTATTTCATTATCAGTCTGCATAATTCCAAGATTAACCTACAGACTTTGAGGTTTAGTATTTGAGTGAAATAGCTAATAAATAAGACCTTGAATACCTGAACGATCCTTTCCAAGCAGGATACGCTGATGTTCTCATTCTTTCTTTCCCTCGAGTTAGGTGTGGCTTGTGCGCTGCCATCTAGTGCCATTCAAGGGTAGGTGTCAGGTTGATAAACTAGCAGTTTGTGAAAGTGCATTTTGGCCATTTGATGCCAAATAGGGCTTTGATGGAAGCTTTGAATATTTATAAATGAGCTTTTCTGAGGTCACTCGATGCTGAACTTTCCTGGTACCATTATGATCTGTCAGAGGTGAACAAATCCACAAGGGCCGTGACGAGGATTCGAACCTGCATCCGGGAGCATCCCAGACACTGCCTTAATCGACTGAGCTATGTGCTGCCATCTAAAACCTGCGTCCGGGATGCTCCCGGACGCAGGTTCGAATCCTTGTCACGGCCCCTTGTGGATTTGTTCATTTGATGCATCACGTTAGTGTGATCTCTGTGTCTGTCAGAGATGTTTGATTGGATCCCATTTGCTCCTGTGCTGAGGGTAAGCCAAACAACACTGTCATAATTCTCTCCAGTGGGACCAGCAATGATCTTGCATCTTGGTCAGAATGAAATTTTCATGTAGTATTAACTCAAAGCCTGACACTTTAATTTTCATTAACTACATGTATTTTCTAATAAAAATGTTTGACCTAAGTTACTGAAATATATTGCTTACATTCCTGTTAATACACAACATTTCCTCTCACTTTAATTATGTTTATAACTTTACTTTTTCTCTCTCTCCTTTTCTTTTATGCCATTCTCATATTTTTTTAATTTTATACTGAGCTGTGTATGGACAGTTATATATATGCTTGTGAATCTTTTTTTTTTTACACACCATCATGTTCTTGTTCCTGATTACTGACTTTCATAACATCTAGTATGAATCTGTTTCCTTTCATTTCTTTAAAATACAACTGTACTTGCATGTTCTGCTCCTCAATACTGGGTACCCCTTATGTTTCCATTTGCTATATCCCTTCACTCCCAAATCCTTTATCTTGTTTCTTCTGTCATAATTGTGCCACTGCTCCTGACTTCATGCCTGTGTTGGGCTGTCTTTGGTGTGGTGGTGGTGCTGCTGCTGGTGTGTCCTTCTATGGTGTGTTTATATGTTGGAAGGGTGGGGAGCCTTGGGGGTCGCAGTTCCCCTCGATGCTCTCCCCTCTTGGGACGTTCACCACGTTTCCACCGGCGCACGGCTTCGGATGCATCCTCTGCATTTCTTCAACGACGACGCTCATCTCCTACTCCGTATGTAAACAGCATGATATACACAGCTATTCTTTCCTTTATGGTTGTTCTATAAGTGCTATTTTTGTCCTAGCTATTGCTTTGTTTGCAATTTTTCTAGCCTTGTTATACAACTTCCTAGCACTGGTATGTGTGTGTGTGTCAGGCAAGTATGCGTGTCAGTGATGTGTGATAATAGGCATCTGATGTCTTATGTGACTGGAATACTGTTTTGCTTTGTCACTTTACAGCTATGCTTCAGCACAATACGAATAATAAATTACTCTGGGTATTAATGGGAATCTAATGAATAAATGATAAATGTGAGGGATGGTTATGTATTGTATTCATTTTTGTTTTCTCATCACCACTGGTGAGGAAAAGTGGATAGTGCTTATCCAAATATCTTTCAATATCTTTCCATTTATTTGTATCAGTTTTCATGTCTTCTCCGTAACATGTTAAATGTTAGTCATGAATAGAAGTCAAATGTTATTCTTTCATTGTCACTTTTGAAACATTTGTAAGTGCTATAATGTTTCATCTGTTTATCATCACTAGAGCATATATTGCAAATGAGAAGCAGGTGTTTTATCAGAGGTAAGGACAAGAAATAGATGTCGATAGTTTGCTGACACCTCAGTTGTGTCCTGTGGAAATACAGCTGTATTTCCTTTAATCTGTATTATGGTGACTTGGAAACAATGATTGCATTCCTTGTACAACATTGCAGAGGTTTTAAACAATAAATAGTAAAATAATTGAATCTTGTAAAACTGAAGGTACACATGTTCTTTTATAGAGGTTTAACAAGTTGGGAAAATTATAACGGTATTGTCAGTACAGTACAGTATGTCCATTCGTAGAGTTGACCATGCTGCGACAGAAACATGTGGCAGCATGGTATTTTCAACATCTATGCAAAATACAAGGGGGAAGATAATCGTTTATAGCATGAAGCTAAGTAGTCTCCAAACATTTTTTATTTTATATGATATTTAAGTTCAGAAGTACTGTATTTATATTCAGCAGTTTTAGCTGCAATAAGAAAATAAGTCTGGGGTGTTAAGTGAAAAGCTTTTTTCTATCAGTTGTACAGGTACAATATCACTGAACTGCCATATGTATACACGGGTGACCATCAGGGCTTATTGGAACATCATTATTTGCTAAAAAAAAATCTTTATACATGGCATAAATTTGAAATTATTATTATTTTTGGAATAAAAATGAAAGAGGTCATGATATACTGCAAATGAAACAACGTAGAAATAATTCTCTTTGAATCTGAACAAAGTCGTTCTGAATCTTGTATTTAATTTGTCAGACCAGTTCTGGAACAAATATGCAGCACCAGCATGGAGTCCTCAACTCGTTAAACATAAAACTTAAACTGGAGATAGGTCAGCGGTATGTCATCAAACTAGCCCCAGAGCTGAGAGGTATGAACTATGAGGAAAGACTTCAGACATTAAACCTCATGTCACTGGAAAAGACAAGAAACAGGAAAGATATGATTAACACACATGAAATACTCGGGAATAAACAAGGCAGACTATTTAGCTGGGGGTAATACATGAACAAGAGGACACAGATGGAAATTAAATACCCAAATGGGTCACAAAGACATTAGAAAGAATATTTCAATATCAGAGTAGTTAACAAATGGAAAAGCACTAGGAAGTGATGTGGTGGCAGAAGACTCCATACACAATTTTAAATGTACCTGTAGATACTGTATAACCGAGTCCAGTAGGTTCTGGAACCTATACACCAATCAGTTACGAGTTGAGAATCACTCTTTGCATTTGAAATTGTGAGGGGAAAACCAAATTATTGTTCAAACCAAAACCAAATTTCTGCTTAGTATGTAGCTGTTCCACCACCAACTGCCACTAGAAGGCAGTATAGGTCATAATACAGCATTCGGATTGGTGAGCAGCCCAAGGACACTTGGGGAAGTCGGGATGAAAACATAGGGCATATGTTTAGCATACTCGAGGGATCTGGAGTTAATGTGGACGAATCTTGTTACTATAATTAATTAATATGGAGTAGGCCCTCTCATGTTCAGAGGTGATATGCACCTATTTCAAGAAGAAGGAAGACAGGAGGCAGTGAGGATGCATCATGCACATTGTAAATGGGTATTAACACAACCCCAATCCAAAGATAAATGCCCACACAGCTAGAGCAACCATTTCCTTCCAGGGGGATGAAGGGGAACCATAACCCTTCCTGAAAAATAGCCTAGGGCTGGACGTCCTCTTCTTCCACAATGGAAGCTCCTCCGAATATGATCTCCGAATGTGAAACTCGAGCAACGACCTTACCCAAGATAGGAGAAAATGTCAGTGCCAGTCTGCAAAACTCTAGACACTCCAGAGACTGGAAAAATGGTCATTACTCCTTGCCAGAAAAGAGAGGAAGGAAGATACTGAAGGCAATAGAACAAATACCATGCCTCCAGATGAAACTCCACCGTGGCAGTTCCCTACACCCCCATCCTCTAGCCCTGGAGGGGACAAGTCCATACATTTTGTTGCAGAGGGCTACCACAAACAGTGAGCAATGTAAGAGGCCACAGGGACTCACAATAGCATGACCCATGGTAGGCATAGTTGGATAAAAGTTCCCCCCTTAAGAGGTACTAAGTGAGACAATTAAAGTTGATGACCCCCACATCATTTTCCACAAGGATGATGAAACAAGCCCATTTGGGGCCATGAGCTCTAAGCTACGAAACTAATCAGAAGATCGGAAAAAGTGCAAGTAGGATCTCCAGCTTCAAACAACAATGAACACACCCGGTACACACACAATTGAAAGGAAACCTACACTCCACAGAAGGAATGCTGGATGCTACAGGGCTTGCATCCAAGACCAAACATTGCATCCCACCCTGTAAAAGAACACATGATAGAAACAAACTTCAAGTCTGGTACGGGCACCAACAACAACAATCAGGAGAGCAACAACCCAGACTCCGGCATGTAATGTGCTTTCCACGAAGGTAATGTGACACGAGTATGTTGTATGAAAGTACTGTAGTGTGTACCTAAATATGGTTAGCTCAAATGCGGACCTCCATAACTGACAAATAACAAAAGAGGTTTGGGGAGCTCTAGGCAACCAAGGGCGGACTCCAACCAGCTAAAACATGTGACAGCACCAAGAATATTTAGGTTGTGCAGCCTAAATAATGTCTCGTGTGTACATCACATTTTTGTGATTTCATTGTGCGTTGATGGGAAGCAGAGATGGGAAACATCACTGACACCTGAGTGGGTGGATATCTCATGAAACTTTTATTATGGTACCAGATGGTGCCTTCTGAACTTGAAGTAAGTCTAGTTGAGATACTTTTGAGCTCATAATTTTTCGATTGGTAGTGCATGTATCTCGGGAGTTCAGAGACGCGGGTTCGATCCCATCCTATGGCCTTAATATTTTCTCAGACTATTTGGTCTTTATGATTTGTAAAAATGTATACTAAAATGAGTTCAAGTGGAAGTGCCTAAATATCATTATAAAAAATTCAACATTTTTGCAATACTTGCATTGTATTCAAGTCTATTTCATAATTACTATAATGTTATTTATCTGTACTGTGCTTTGTCACCCAGATCACATTAATGAAATACTGTTGAGTACCTTACTTTCTTAATTCCTTTTCTTTACCAACCACCCATTTGATTATTTTTTCCTTATTGATGACTTTTACTGCTGTACATTTATTTCCACATGTTCACCACTACAATCACTTCAATTGTATTAACTTTCTCTACATTCTATGGCCTCATTTGTGATTATGTTCATCGTTATTCCCTCACCAGATTAAATGCTGCCATGGGCTCCATGTTCATGTACATATTGTAATATCTTCATTGTAGGTAGAAATCATATACTGTACTGAAATGGGGTGCTGGGAATATATGATAAATGAGCTAAGGTTGAAATCAAGTGATGTAGTTAGTTGTCTTGTTATTTGTTGAGGTCTTGGCCTTTTTCTACAGCACAGTTCTCAAATTATTTTACACGTCACTGCTTAAATTAGTTTCTACATCACAGTACCTGTACTAAAAGTATTGTTTTGACAAATACTGGTACTAGTTTAGCAGGTAAGTTGCAAGGTTATCAGACTTCCAAATGGAATTGGTTCACATTGTTAAACTGTTGAGCACATAACTTGACCCAATTTTGCTTGGCTTTTAAATTTCTTATAATTCGTAGTGCAGCATGTACAGTACAGTATACCAAATTAGAACCAATTCTCTCTGAAGTGTTACTTGGTCATTGGTGGAGCTGCCGGACTGTGTAAAGGATGTATCTCTAATATGTTTTTAAATGTGATGTTCGTAAGAAGAATATATTTGTTCTAATTTGTTTGACATTTCAGTATGATTACTTATTAAAAGCACAATAAGGGATTTTTGATGGAGGTGGAGCTGAATAAGGGTACAGTGTATGAATAGATGGGTGGAAACTTTGGAGAGGTGAATACAGTATTTTTAAATACACAGTCTATTAAACAATTTCAGTCATGATGGAGACAGTGGATACATAAATTCCTGAAGCTTTTAAGAATATTATGACGGGCTAAGTTATGGGTTTGAAAGTGTGACAAAATATGTAGTAGGTAGAGTTCATAACTGATAAACAGCTGTGAAGCATCAGTGTTTAATATTAAAATGGGTGTAAGGGTTGGGAAAGAGTAGGATGTGGAATAAGATGAATAGATAGTACGAGGAAGCACTATAAGAGAAATACTCCATAAGAAATAGAGAAAGGAATTGTAAAATGGTTTAGGCATGTGGAGATAAAGTATAACTATAGGTTAATGATGAATGTCTAGCGAGTGTGTGTAACAGGGAGGAGAGAGAAGGGGAGCTAAGGAGAGAAGGTGGAAAAGATGGGTTTCTATATGCCAGGATTTCATACTTTGTGTAGAGATCGATGTGTCTGGAGAAAATTCTTCACATTCCACATTGCTCATTTGTGGGAAATTGTATATTGAATGAATGTAATATTATGTATGGTATTGGGAATAGTAGAATTCCACGGAGCTTAGGAATTAATTACTGTATCATCATAGTTATATTAAAAACAAATAATGTAAGTTAGATATATCCTTTACTGAAGTTTTCCTCCCCTCCCCATCAACACTTCTTACTTGATACTCCTGAAGTGTCCCAAAGAGCTCATTCTTGCTACTCATCTCTTGCATTGGTTACTAAGGTGATTTTACCAGTGCATGACCCAAATCAGGTCACAACCACAGAGGGTCTCAATATGTAACTAATTATTTTATCAGCCTGTGAAATCACTGCTTAATGATCCCAATATTAAAGATCTGAGAAGCAAAGAAATTGATCCAAATGAGTTAATGATATTCCCCTTTGTCATGAAATTTTAATTAGTGATAAATTCTTGTAGTATAGGTACTGCCGTAGAAATTTGTGGGACAAAGTAAACAAATCCCAGTAATTATGTTATTATTCAGCTGCAGCTTTTTAGTTATGCAACATTGATAAAAGGAAGGAAATGCTTATAGGGAGCTTGTTTTTATTGCTTTTTATCTTTATTTTGTTTTTATTCTCTACATCTATCTGCAGTGCAGTTTTATCACTGCTTTTGTATTCATTATTATTGAAAATAAATCAAGTCGTAACAAGTATCATTAAAGCATTGGGTGTAGATGAAATGCTCTTTTCTGAGTTGATCACATAGTCATTTCTTTAGGCTATATCCCACTCCTTGTGGAACATTACAAACTCTATCTTGTACCAGCATGACCCAGGTCCAACATTTCTTGAGAATGAGCAGATGGTAGTGGTGCAGGCATCTTCTCCAAGTCAAGGGATGCCCAAGGTACACAAGAGAACCAATGCCAGGTAAGACCCTGCAAAACCTCCCTGAATCAGACACCCCCCAAGAAGCCTTCAACCCTCCTGAAAACCCTGTAAACCACAGTTATGATTCGGGGCTTGCAATGATAGGACTGAATAAAAAAAAAAGCAAGAGCAGCTTTGCTAAAATCTCCTGACCATAGGTTGTCCATATCATGGATTACCATTCCATTTAGGGCCACAGAGTCTGAAACACAGGTCCTGTACCAAAAACCAAAATGCCAGAACTCATTCTTCAACCAGCAGCTTGATATACCTTTCTTCAAGGTCCTGAAGAGTGGGAATAGAAAAGAAGAGGCTTCAGTTAATCTAGGCACTGGTATAGAGACAGAAAGACAATTGCATATCTCGGTCAGAAAAAAGAATAAAATAAAATGTCTAAGCCATTTATTGTCAAAGTGAGAGTGATGCAGCACTGCAGAAGAGGAAAGTACAGTAGTTAGGCTAAAGGTAAAATATGTTGATGAGGCTGTGAGTGTTGTACAGAAACATGAGACACAGGGTTTCTAAGGCACTTGAAGCATTGCCATGGTGTGAATGTTTTGCAAATACAAGGGAAGAAGCAGTCGGTTGATGAAGATGAGGAGTATCTTTCCAAATTTGAGGATATTGGTGAGGACAAATCTCTCTATCCCAAGCAAAATATATAATGCTGAAGAGATGATCTTGAATTGGCATAATTTTTACATGTACAATCACATTGGTGAAAATTATGGTGTTTCTTGGTGATACAAGGCCAACAGAAAGAGACTGGCTGTGCTGTAACAATTCAGCTGAAGTTCATTCCTGCAAGTTGCTTTTACAATAATTGGACAAAATATAAATCCAACTGCATTTAAAAAATCAAGATTTTCTATGAGCAGTAAGGCTCATAACCTAGTGTATAGATGTTCCAAAACATTTGTTTAAACTGGTTTGACTCTCATTTTGTTCCCGAGGTTAATGACTACTCTAAAAGTATTAGCTTTCTTGTAGTGATCTTTTTTCTTGATAACAGCTCTTCACATCATCATTTGGATGAGCTAGTCAAGGACAGTATTTTTACTAGGTACTTGTCCAGAGAAGCTGACTTCTTTATTTAAGGAATTATTTAAAACTAGAAATATCATTTCAGAAATAACTGCCAGATGAGGGCAATACTAAAAAGTTCATGAAAACCTTCACTTCCAAGTCATATTCTGCATAGGGAGTGAGGGTAAGACAGTTATCATTGAAATAGCTGCGACAAATTCTGGCACAACAGCTTTGAAACAGACTTTTGATAAGACTGAAGAGCGAGCTCTATAAAAGCTAGTGTACCTCCTTTATGTAACCCTGGAACCTCGGCATTTGCCCAACTACTCTGTTGCAGCCTCAGTTGCAACGTGGTACACCTTTGCCCTCGGTTAATGCTGTCATACTCGACTGGACATTTTTCCTAGATCATATGTTGAGCACCTGAACTCTTGGCGATTTCCAGTGCGATATTATTTCATGTACTGTACAGTACAACATTATTTTATTGTGTACTGTGTAGGCCTACTTATACAATACGTTATTTTATTATTTTCTATTTTATGGTACAGTATTTAGCGAATATGTATTGTGATACAAATTTTTTGTCAAAAAGTACATTTGAAAGGGTAAGAAAATACATCCGCGTATTCAAACAAGTCGACTTGAATGATCATAGCAATGTTCAACCCCTGCTGTTCAACCCAGCTGAACTGAGCTGGTTGAACAGCAGGATTGTGTGTGTTCAGTACAGTACTGTGTTTGGTTTCAAGTATTACCTGAAGGAAGGGTTTTTCGGTCATTCTTGGTTGGATTATAACTTCTCCAGTCATTTTCTACTGTTATGGCCTCATGAGGGCATTTAGAAAATATCCCTGATGTGTCAGGAGATGGGAAGTCACTCTGGTCCTGGGTGGATTTTGCAGTGGTTTGTGTGGAGTGGGATATGTATTGTCTGAAGGACTGAACAAGAATACTATGCTTGAAAAATATTGTGAATGGATTAAAAATAGCAAAATTTTAAAATAGTGCCCCATAAAATACCCAGTAAGGAAACAATGTTTTTCTGGGGGAATCCCCCAAGTAGCTCCCTGGAGGTATCTTGCTGAAACTTCTCCATGTTAAAAGTTACATCAGTCATGGAAGTTCTCTTTGGCCTACCAGGGACTAGATCCAGACCTGGGGGACCCTTTCTCCTCACAGAAGCGCAGGTAGTGATTGAGTCGACGAATCTGGAGGAAGGGAGGGAACCAGCTCCTTGGGTTCCCTCCATCCAGATTTGTTGGTTTGCTGAAGGGTTGTTCATTGGATCCAGAACTGGCTGGTGAAGGGAACCAGCTGCTGGCTGGGGCTTAGCCACCTGGTGGTGGTGATCAATACTAATGAGTTTTGGCCTATTTTGAGTGAATCTTTTATTGTGTGAATCGCTTGCAGAGTTGTTTGGCGTTTTCAAGGCTTTGTTTTCTGCAAACCTTCCTGTTGCCTGTAAAGCTTCACTGACTTTTTTAAATGCTTTTCCCAGTGGGTTGGCAAATTATCACTTGCTTCCTATGTCTCTGGTCCCCAGTAGGCCAAGCAGAACTGTGACCGACGCAACTTTCAGTGTTGAGCAATCTCATCAAGATAACTCAGGGAGGCATTTCATTACATCCAATGCAGTTTTTTATATAACTGCAGTGTGCTTACAGATAAATATATCAGTCCAACTGCTCATTTAGTGTTTTATAAATTGGTTGGTATTGGTAGGTTCATTGCAAATGTGTGCTCTGTTAGTATAACTGAATGTCAATATTGGTCATACTCTTGATATTCATTCTGAAGTTCATAGAAAACATTCAAGGTATTTCAACTTTACAACACACTGCAGAGTAGTTAACTATGTACAGTTAAGCATGTATTGCTATTAGGTATAGTAACTTTTAAAAAGATATCAGATTTCTTTCTTGTTGAGAAGCTTTTCCTTTAAGTGCTTAACAGGATTTTTATTCAATATCATGGGTTTTCTTTAGACAAAAAGACAAAATTTCTTTTCTATGTATATACTGTATACACTGCTTTCACATATACAAAATTTGTTCTTGCAGTACACGTCTTGGATCACCGTCTTTGCGCTCCACGTCTCCTTCTCTGCGTGCACGAACAGCTCCTCACTCGCCCACTCCTGGCACAACTCAGGGTGTCAGTGGGACTCTTACATCCAGTCTCACTGGTCAACCATCAATGCCTCTTCCTTGCTCTCTGCCTGCGGATATTCAAGGAACTGGCAATTCTCGCTCCTCCTCTGTTACATCGGTTACTCCAATATCAACTCCTACTCCACCTCCAATACAATCAAGAGCAGGTAATACATTATTACTGTTTCCCACTTTTATTAGGTGGGGAGGTGTCAATGCTGGCCTTGTCACTTAGATACCACCTCCAAGATGCATCAAATCCCCACAGAGAAGGGCAGATACAGTGAGCTATGGAAAATCCACCTTTGCATAGAATTGTACTGAAAACATTTCCAGGGTGCACAAACCAAAGCCATTGGAAATTTTGAAACAGAATATGGACCTGCCAGGAACCAATGTCACAGGAAAAGTTAGAAGCAAATGAAGCACCTTGAAAGACAACCTTCCCCTCTGCCCCAAATCACATTAAAGATTTGCAAACCTTTTTCTAAACCAGAATGCTCAAGACTCCATTTCTATCCATTTCTAAAGTAATTTTCTGGTTTCTGAGTAATAACTTGAACAAATCATGCTGAGCCAGGGAGGCCATAGGTTGGGACTGGTTAAAATCATTGATGGGAGGCGAGTCAGGAAATGCACCTTAGGGGTAATGTAGGCAGCATCCAGATCAAACTGGTAAGGAGGATAATTAAGGATGCCAATCTGAAGTAACAACTTTTCAGGTTTTGGCATCAATATCCAGCCTTGTGCAACCTTAAACCCCATGGAACACTACTGCCTTAAGAGGAGAATGGCTAGGGGACAGAGCCCAATCCTGCTCTGGAATCTGAAGAAATGGAGGGTGGGGGAGTAGAAGTGCCTGCCACCAAAGCACTTTACCCCCTACCCCAAATAGTCCCACAAACACAGGAGAGACTGCATTCTGAAACCACTGTCTCTACTACCAGGTAATCCTGAAAGTATGAAGATCTAGTGCTAATATCTTAACAGTAAGTGAAGCCCAAAGCTGAGTTTGTTTAAGAGGCTTTGTCAGAGGCAGAGGCAGGGATATAGCACAAGCAGATGTTGGACCGACAGACCGAACACCTGCCCCAGTAACAGAAACAACAGAAGAAGATCTGGCTTTAGCGTAAGTCTAAACATCATCAAGGACTAAAAGAAAAAAAAGAGGCTTTCCTTACGCAGTTCAAAATAGTGTATTGTACCTACAAATCTAAACACTAAAACCGCTCTCTGGCAAAGAGTAAGGGGGTACTATTGCAGCAGGCCTACATCCTCTGTCCAATGAAAAGTAATGTTGGACATGGTTTTGTATTAACCCCTGCACTGTGCCCCCTTTTATAGCTGACATTCCCCAGTATGCAAGAAAAAATATTTTTTTTTAATACTGTATTGTTAAAATGCATACCCTGATCACAGGGAATTTTTTTTTTTTAAATGACTGACTTTTGCCATGGTGAAACCTGGAAATCTCAGTGTCGTCAAGATTCTCTAGCATTCCTGGAGCAGTCGCCCTGGTGTGGTCGCTCTAGGCCAGGCATGGAGCGGGAGTTGCCGCTAAGGTATTTTTACGTATTTCAATGTTTCTGGTGTGTTTTTCTCTGGTCTTCTGAGGGCAGCCCTTTGTGGCTCTCTTAAGCTTCTATCACTGATAGTGTACTAAACTACTAAGTGCCATCAGTCACCGATTTCTTTTAGGTGTACTGGGGACCACGAGCCAGAACCTAGCTTCCTCAAAGAGGCGCAGGAAGTGGTGACACTATGATAAAATTACTATGAATTTATTCATGTCTGTCACTACCAGGAAAGCACCCAGAAAGTCATTGAACCAAAACAGATCACTGCTGGTTATATTTTGAGGACTGCAGCCTCAAAACCTGCCTAAAAATGCTCCCCGATTAACGTAAACATAGGATTGAAAAGTCACTAAATGAGCACGAGCTCATTCGCCCCACCTTCTCGTTTGAGGGGAGGATGGAGGTAGCCTGGGTTCTTCCAGCTGATAGACCCTCAGTTCTAGATGATGAAAACATCTCTGATGGCCTAGGGGAGACAGGTATCAGGGAGCCACCAGGGCTTGCCCAGAAATTGGCATTTCATTACATTCAACACTGGTTACAATGAATTCACTCAGGCAGAGCCGGTAGCACAAAGGTAGCAAGGCAAAATCACAAGATAATCAGTTATTTACTTATTTTGTCATTATTAAGTGATGATGTGGGTACAAGCTGCATGGCGGTACTGTGAACTGCTGAAGCATGTGCTACGCTTGGTTGCCCTCTCAGTACCAAGGACCTTTCACCAAGGACGGGTGGCCACGATTTTTTATCCAAGATGGTGTCTGTTTAGTAGAGGGCTGGGGAAACAATTGTGAGCCCCGTGTATGCTCGGGACTTTTAAATCTTATGTGGTACTTTGAATAATCTCTCGTTGACATGTGCAGTGAGCTCAGAAATGGTGCAGTTGTCCCTGATTGACTCGTGCATTTGAAGGGGTAATTTTAGGTTCCCATGCTTCCGTCATCTGTATGAGCACATCAGATTTTGGTTATGGTGCTCAGTAGGCTTGTGCATGTGCTGAGGCCTGATAGTTTAGTGAATGTCTTTGTGGTACTTGAGCCAACATACTGGGAGAGAGCTACTGAGGCTGCCCAGAAAGAAGCATTTCATTATATTCAACACTTGATTTTTATTCTAAGGTGGCTGATTTATCCTTATTTTTATAGGAATATTTATTCTTATTATTTTATTCTATATTACTTGATATACAGTAATTGTAAATAAAAAATATTGGAAATAATATCTAAATTAAATTTCAGTTGTAGCATTGTTGTTAACTACCTTATAGTTTTCATAAAAATGTATTTTAATTACGGTATATCATTTATGAGAGTCAAATGTTAGCATAAACAGAACAATTTGGTAGATACTGTACGCAGCAAATGAAACTTAAATCTAGCTAGTTAAAAGCAAGGATTATATCACTCAGGGTGCAGTAACATCATTATCCACACACACCTCACAAGTGCGAAAAACCAGGTTCGAACCCTGGGCAAGGTGCAGTGATTGGGAACCGTTCCTTCACTGTTCGCTTTTGGACCTCCAGCAGTATTGGGGACTTAGCTGTAAATCAGTTGACAAATCATTTTCTAGGTAGAGCATGGTGCTGAATAACCTAGATCTGGCAAACAAAATATGTAGTCTTAATTAATACATTTCCATTTATAGTTCACAGTTTTTCTTCATGTTTTTAATGTCTTGATTTTATTTATCAATTTTCAGGAACAAGTGAAAATGAATCTGAGATTAGTGATGAAGAGCGGCCAGATGGCGATGGTGAGCTTGGTGAAGTTGGAGACGGTCAACGGTCGGTAATAATGCATATTATATCCCAGCTGCGGCTAGGGATGGACCTCACTCGTGTTACATTACCCACATTTATTTTGGAGCGGCGCTCTCTTCTAGAAATGTTTGCAGATTTTCTTGGACACCCTGATTACTTTGTCAGGTAAGCACTTAGTAACTAGAGCATCAGGATATATGAGTATTTTATGAATAATAGTGATGTATTTATGTAAGACTTTCTTTAGGAAATAAATATGGACATGCAGGTTTGCACATCAGTTGGTCTTTTCATCTTTCAAGCCATCCTTGTTTGGTGTTTGTTCATTCATCCCAACTTGTGTATAATATTACTAGGGGGGTACCTAGTGGTGCCTGGGATAGTCTCTCTCCCCCACACTCCCCATACCAGGTGAAAGAAAATGTGCCCAATCGTTTTTGTCCTGATTAGGAATCGAACCTGGGATCCCCAATTGTGAATTGAGAATGAAGCCAGTTGTGCTACATTTTCAGTGTAACTCATTGAACATCCATCATTGCAGAATTGGTGAAGCTAACAGCCCAGAAGAGCGTATACAGCAAGTTGTGAAGTGGTATTTAACTAGTATTCATGTTGGCCGAAATGGATCTGTGGCCAAGAAGCCATACAACCCCATTATTGGAGAAGTATTCCACTGTAGCTGGCGTATTCCCCGCATCTCGGATTCTGCATCGGTATGTGTTGCTCACTTTCATTCCAAGTGTTGTAATTTTGTATTCTTGGTGTTAGTGGACTCTCAAGTTTCTGATGAGAATAGAAATAGGTATAATGGGGAGGTGATGGGTGACACTTCTGACAGGTGAGAAACACATGTCATGTCAATTTTAGATTTTCCTAAAACTGATAATGAAGGATTAAGACAGAACATGATGTATTGAGTAGGCAACCTTAAACACAAAATAAAAAATTTTGGGGGGCTTTATTTAACTTTAGGGATTTATGTGGCATATAGGTATTATGTTGAAAAGTTAGAATAAATTGTCACCCCCTACCCACATTCAATAAATAAAAGAATACTAGTTAACTTCGAGTATAAGTTGACTTTAATTTCTTGCATTAAATTTTTAATTGGACTTGGTATTTTTGGAGCATAACTAGTTAACTTCAGGTATAAGTTGACTTTAATTTCTTGCATTAAATTTTTAATTGGACTTGGTATCTTTGGAGCAGGAATCCAGTGTATGGTATTTCTAGTTCTTTATACTCTTATCTGGCAAACAGGAAAGCACCGAAACATCCGATTCTAAATCAGCAGAGGGTAAAAAGAACTCCTCCTACATCACTATCAAATTCTCTGCTGAACAAGTCTCCCACCATCCTCCAGGTGAGGTGTCACTGTTACATCACTGGATTATCATTCATGTAGAGAATTATTTAGTGTTTTTAACAAGTAGAAAGTTTTTTAGTGCCTCATTTTTATATACATAAATATAAATTAGATTTATCATGAGAAATCTTCTCAAACTGGTTTTGAAAATGTGTATTTTCTGTTTGTGAGTGGATTAAGTAGGGAAAGTTGCTAAAGGCAAAACAGTATTTATAATGTTTATATCAGTGTAGAAATAATGGGTTTATATAGAAAAGCAAAGACCACTACTGATAGCCAACTGGGCCGTGTCATTCAGGTCCAATTTACATTTGCTTCAATAACACTAATTGACAATGTATTCCCCTAATTCATTACTGTATTTACAAATCAGTGATAACTTATGCAGTTCTTACATTTAAATTTGCCTAATTTAAATGATACTGTATTTTATATGATCTTGATGTGATAGCTTCAACACCTTGTTTCTGTCCCTGTTGTTTGTCGTTCATCCATTTGTGTTGTTTAGTCATATCATCACAAGTTCACTCTTTACTCATATCTCTCCTTATTCTGTCATTCAGAAAGAACATAACTTCAGGTTCTTAATCTATCTCCAGTAGAATTATTCCTAGTGTTGACGATGATCTTTGACATTTTTCATTACTGTATTTCTTTTCAAGAGAATTTTTTGTCCATTCTGCAAAATTGGGAATGAAACCATTCATTATAATGCAAGTGAAGTCTAATTAGTGCAAAATTGTAGAATACCGTAAGTACAGTGTATTCCTATTGTTTACACATAGATATAAATCCAAGTATTATTTTGGTTTTATTGCATACTGTATATTATTACATATACAGTATGTATATGGGGGAGCCGATCGGCCGAGCGGATAGCACGCTGGACTTGTGATCCTGTGGTCCTGGGTTCGTTCCCAGGTGCCGGCGAGAAACAATGGGCAGAGTTTCTTTCACCCTATGCTCCTGTTACCTAGCAGTAAAATAGGTACTTGGATGTTAGTCAGCTGTCACGGGCTGCTTCCTGGGGGTGGAGACCTGGTCGAGGACCGGGCTGCAGGGACACTAAAAAAGCCCCGAAATCATCTCAAGATAACTCAAGATTACACACTAGGCTGTCAGAATACTTAGTGCTTGCCACTTACAACAGATTACATGGGCTTACCTTCCAGCTTTTATTAACACTGTCACCAGTGTTAACACTTAACATCCCAACCTGTTGTTGCATACCCGATTGTAAACCTTCCAGGCACCTCAGTGTCCTGCTCAGTGACACCTGAAATGTTGATACTGTACTCATTTTAACGTTTTCTCAATTTTGGGGTTTTAACTATAAATTTGGTGTCAAATTGTTTGCAAATTAATTTTCTATCTCCAGCCTGTTGCCAGCCTGTTGACGATTTTGAGGAGCAGTGTCTCCCCGTTAGGGTATAGAGGCAAAACAAAATGTGTTTTTCACAATTGATTTTGCATGACAGTACTGTATTAAATAAACAAATGTTTATGATAGTTTCAACATCTCATATTTTTCAAATACTCCTCATTTATTTTTCAATGCAAATAAAAATAAAGAATATGAAAATTTGCACACATGATCAGTCTGTGTTACTGTAATGAGCAAATAAACATAGCTTTCAAACTTTTCCGGCAAGTAATTTGCAAATCATTTTGTAAATACAGTACTGTACTCACGAGTAGAGGAATTATCGCCTTTAGTGATAAGTAGCTGGGCGAGGTGATCTCTTAGTAGTTCCCTGATAAACTAGGTCCACACTGTGCTCCCCCACCCCCCACCCCCCAAAAATAAAGGAAAAAGTGAAAAAGTTGATTTTCAAGAATTTCTTGAATTTTACTCATTGGAACATTTACTGTCAAAGGACAGATGACTTGTTTTAGCATCATTGCAATGATCTCTCTTACTTCCCTCACATTTAGTGGGATTCCATGTAGGCCTATCTAATAGCTCTGAGTTAGACCCGTTTGATTCTTAGGACAGCAACATCTGAAACTTTCACCTCCATGGGAGGGGCCCTATCTGTGAGAGAGCCCCATTGGCTCCCTGGAGCTATCAGACTTATATTAGCTATATTAGTCTGGGGCTTCTGTCATATGGAGTTTGTATGCCTACCGGGAACAATAAGCCAGAACCTGGTTTCCTCAGAGAGGGGAAGGAAGCAGTGGCCTATGAAAACTCCACTCTTTGAGAGTACTCTTTATTCATGTCTGCCATCAACTGGGGTAGGGCACTCAGAAAGGTAGGCGCCCTAAAAAAGACCCCTCCTGGTAGAAAAATTGCAACCTGAGACCAAACAGAGACTAGGAATTCGCACAAGGAAAACAAGATAATGAGCAAAACATCACCACACCGCACGCCGCTCATTTGCGGTGAGACTCGGGCGGCTCCGGGAAGCTGCCCCATTTGATGCGGGGACGGAGGCTGTTGAGCCTGATTGTCCAACCGAGGCTTCTGGGTCCTCCCAGTGGACCCCCTTACTTGAGGCTTTTTCCCTGGACTCCACCTTTTCTTCGAGGGTGGTGGGCGTGGATGTGGGTTCTGCCCCAGAGCCTCTAGAGAGAGGTCTCAAGGCTTAGGGGGGAGCCCGCTTGATGCGCTTGGGCTCCGCTTTGCTCCTGCTTGGGCCTTTGTGCTTCTGAGCAGGGGTTTTGCTGCAGCGAAGGGGGCCCTTCCCTTCGGCATTAGTTTTACCATATTTATCTGCATGTTATACATTTTTGGATGCTCTCCGGTCTGCAGTTGCATTGTTGGCTGCCATTTTGCTATCCTGCTTGCACGCCTGGCCGACAAGGGTGGTGCTCAGTGTTGTGTTTAGTTTTGGAGACTAGGTGTTTGAATCCACTTGGGTGCATTTTTCGTGTATTTTCGCACTCTGGGACTTCCCACTGTCTCTGTCGCTCCCTCTTGTCTGCCTTTTTCTGGGGAGTTATGTCTGGGTGGCCTGGAATGAGGAGGTATGTGGTTTCATGGTGTTTTCCCGTTTTGCCAGCAGCCTGCGTCATTCATTCTCTTCGCTGGAGTGGTGCTTTGGCCCTTCAAGCCATTTCTCCCCCTTTTTTTTTGGGGGGGGGGGGGGGGCGCTTCTTTGCATGTTCTGGCTTTCTGCCATTTTCTGTGGAGAACCCCTCTGGCTCCCTGGAGCTATACTGGACTGATGAGTATATGTTAGACCGGGGGAACAGTCAATCTATGGAGTTCCAGGCCTACCGGGGACCACGAGCCAGAACATGGCCCCCTCAGAGAGGCACAAGGAGCAATGGCCTATAGACATCCCCATGTATTTGGAAGCAGTCTATGTCTGCCATCTACCGGGTCAGACATCCAGAAAGGTAGGAATCCTAAAACAAATTACAGCTAGTTGAACATTACAAACCAAAAGCTGAACGAGCAAGAGAACTCCTCAGTCAGAAAATGAGTAAACAAGCATGATATCACCACAATCATATATATTTGACACCTACTTTACCTATGTCACCTACTTTAAATCATATATATTCTATGTGCGCCGTTCAAGGCACTTGTACCAAAATCATTTATGTATATGTGTACTCAATTGTACTCACCTAATTGTGCTTGTGGGGTTTGAGCTCTGGCTCTTTGGTCCCGCCTCTCAACCGTCAAACTGTGTGTGTCTGTCTGTCTGTCTATATATATATAAATATTTATTATTTTATTTTACTTTATTTTATTGTTGAAGATGACCAAAAAGGTAAGATTAATAATTCTAACACAAATTTTCTCTGTCTTAAGTTTCTCTTCATTGTCGAGGGTAATTGAAATATCAATTCTCCAAAATAAATTGTTATTCTTGGTCTGATGCCTGAACGCATTTCGTAATTCTTATTACATTTTCAAAGACTTAGTTTACACATAAAAATTCATCATATTTATACTCGCTTTGGGTGAGGTGATATGGCACAAAAGTTTTGGGTGAGGTGACAAACACAAGACAGAACATGAAACAATAGGCATGAAAACATAAGAATGGAAGTAACTGCAGAAGGCCTATTGGCCCATACCTCCTCTTGCTGCTTCTATATTGGTTCGGGGGTCTTGAAGTGGGTAGAATAGTTAAACATTGCAAACTGACTTTTACCCACACGTCTAACCTATTCCTGTGTTTTACTTTATTCCCATTCTTCAACCCTTTCTAATACTTCAGACCTATTCCTGTACTTCTAACCTTATTCCTATTCTTCAACTTTCTCCCCTATCTCTCTCCAACCTGTGATCTCACACTCTTACATTATAAAGTGACATTCTCTACCATTCTGTTTTTTTTTTTCATTAAATACCTTGATAATGGTCCAGGATGAATTGAAATGTCTTCAGTTCTTTTATTTTCAGAGTGATGGAATGGCAATCTGTATTGATATATTCTGTGTTAGATAATTCTAAATATGTATTTTTCAGTGTCAGCTTTCTACTTTGAATGTCCAGAGAAGCAGCTTAGTATCAATGCCCACATCTGGACCAAGTCAAAATTTATGGGCATGTCTGTTGGTGTTAATCTGGTTGGCGACATAACGCTTATAATAGGGAGCGTTCAGGAGAGTTACAGTTTGGCCATGCCATCTGCGTATGCTCGCAGCATTCTTACAGAACCCTGGGTAGAGCTAGGGGGTCGTGTCAACATTTCTTCACCAGAAACTGGCTGTCAGGCTGTTATTGTCTTCCATACAAAGGTAAAAATAAATATAATGAATAATTCATTCAACTTTTTTGTTACTGATTTTGTTACTGATGAATACTCTAGAACACTATTGAAAGTAAACAAAGGAAAAGATCTGAAAGTGGTACCTACAAATTTGTATAATATCATTCCAGGTGCAAACTGAATTTTCATGATATCCAGGTTTTCAATTTTTTTATTTTATTTTATAATTATAGTATTTAACACCAAATTTTTCCATGTTTTTCATGTAAAACTCAAAATGAAAATGAAGCATAGAAATTTGCTTTAACCACTGCACTGCGCCAAACGACAAATGCTGTTCGCTGATTACTACGTCAGCCAACAAAAACATTTTTTATTTTTTTGTACACGGTCGAAACACACTCGCGGTAGGTAGGTTGGGTATGAAATGGACTCTTGGGACCTCCAATGAGAAGCAGCCATCTTGGAAAAAATTCCCAGAATGTCCGAGGGCTGCTGGCTGGGTTAATACGGAGTGAGCAACTATGGGTGGTGCACAAGCCTCTGGCTCCCAAACACCTGTCCAACGCGGTGTTGAAAGATCGTTCTCTGTTGGTGAAATTCAGACCTTATTGCTTGAAGAACATAAGAGTCATGATATTGAAGAAGCTTGGCACAATAAGGACCTAACACAAAGGTTGGATGCAAGTGATACAGCACCTATTAGGACGATACAGTGAGCGTATCCAGTTGTAGCTCTGAGCGCCACCATTGCCCACATATGCCATCTCCAATTTATATAGACGATACATAGATGAATCGTTTTCTGGGTTCAGTGATAATGCATCTGATACAAGTAGCATAGATGAAGAAGCCGCAGTGTTAGCGGCTTCCATGGGGGTGTTTTCCATAGATATATTCAAGAATAGCTGAATTTCTTCCAGAATGCCTGAATCTCTTCCAGACTGACTGACACACTTCGAGAATGACTGAATCTCTTCCAATGTGGGACCTTACAAAACGATCTTTCAAGACTACCTTACAAATTGATCTTTTCTATAATCTTTTCAAGACTACCTTATGCTTTACAAGCTTGGCTACATACCACCTACAAGTACTAAAGCCAAGGGTGTACATGAGTGTGTTATTTGCAAGCACACAGAACGAAAAAACAGGAAGCAAAAATCTATCTGTACCTGGTGCAATGAGAGCGAAGTCGCGCTGTGTACCATGGGCTACTTCGTTGATTATTACTAACTTCTGAAGTACTGAGTGTGTAATACAGTGTGTTACTGTGTAAATAGTGTGTGAAATTGTATATATTATAATTTTGGTGAATTTTTAACAAGTAAAATTGCGACAATAAACATTTATTGTGGACACATTACCGATACATGTATCACAGTTCCATGGAACATTATGAACGTTCTATTGTATACATATTGTAAAGGAGACAAATATGCATCATATACGATAAAAAAAACAAATAAAACCACATTGGAGATACATAGAACAAATGAAAATATATTTGTGGCAACTCGCGGGGCTTGAAGGGCCCGCACAACCGTGTCTGGAGCTTCACGCACGGGCGACCAACTGTGATGACATCACAGCGCACCTTGTCCACCTCCCAACAGCCAAAGTAAGTGGAATTTGTTATTTATTTTTACATAGACATGTTCAGGGAAGGGAATTTATCATTTTACAAATAAAAAATAATTTTTGTGGAACACTTGATTTCATGCGCACAGGGGGGAATGTCACAATAAACTCAGCGCATCACAGTGGTTAAATATGCTCAATAGCTTTCCAAAAGCAACACTGTTCTAATGTTGTATTTATGTTCAACAATCTTTTAAAACGTGATTAGAGCTATATTAACCTTTGGCTGCAAAACTTTTTTTTTTTTTCAGCTTTTTTTCTGGGGGTAACTTCTTGTAGCCCCTTGAAGCTACTATTCTGATTTAGTGCCAAACTTCTAGGTGCCATCAGTTGTGGAGTACTTATTGGCCTACTGGGGACCAGGAACCAGAACCTGCTCCCCCTCAGAGAGGCAAAGGAAGCAGTGGCACTCTGAATTTTTAATTTTATATAAATTTATTCATATTTGCCATCACCTAGAGAGGCACCCATAAAGTCCACAAAACAAAACAGACCACTGCTTGACTAAAAACCCATACTGCAGCCTCAAAACAGCCCCCAAAATTTTTTTCCTAGCAATGTAAACAAATGATTGAAATTTTTTGAAACTAGCACAAGCTAGTTTGCCCCTCCTTCGCCCCATTTGGGAGGAGGTAGGAGGCAAACTGGGTCAGCAAGCTGCTCCACTGCCAGCTCTTATGCTGATGTAAACAGTGCCTGGTCACCCTCTCTCTTTATTCTGGCTCCAGCCTCAGTCTTAAGCTAAGTGGTGCTTCCTTTGAGGTGGTTCTTGTGTGCGTTTGTGCAGCATGAGCCAAGAGTTTTGTGTGCTTTTCCAACCAGGCTCGCCCAGAAATTGCCATTTCATTACACTCAACACTGGTTGTCAAGGACCTAGTTCATAATATTCTACCCAGAGGTTCCATCCACATATACAATATGTAGTCTATGGTTAAATTTATCTGAATTTAATTAAAGGCCACCATCTTTAATGGCCTCAATGAGAACAGGAAGCCAGCTGTCTCTCAAATATCCTCCCATTATTTCTTGAGAAATGTTTCCAGTTGTATTTTGAATTGGAGTATGGTACTAACCAAAACAAACAAAAATATTGAAGCTTCATTTATGAACTGGAGTGGCATTGGATAATTTTTTTCATTAATAAACTTTGTGGCTATTCCTTTTCTTTCTCTTATAATTAAATATTCTGGATGGTTATGACTGAAGATATGTACAGAACCAGCAAAACAAGCACTTGGCCACTGGTGGCATTTGGAATGTAATTACCTAAGTGTAGTTACAGGATGAGCTATGCTCGTGGTGTCCCGTCTTCCCAGTGTTCTTTGTCGTATGTTTCCTCTGAAACTACTGACGGTTTTAGCCTCCACCCCCATCTCACTAAACTTGTTCCAACCATCTACCATTCTGCAAAAGAAAACTCTATTTTTTCGGCACCTTTGTTTCCTTAGCTTGAATCTGAGTCCTCTTGTTTGTGAAGTTGATGCTTTTAGGAATTCTTCTGTCAATTTGGTCCATTCCTGTTAGTATTTTGTAAGTAGTGATCATATCACCTCTTTTTCTTCTATCTTCCAGTTTTGGTTCTATATTCTAGTTCTATCGCCTCAAGTCTCTCCCTCATAACTCTTGTTTTTCAGTTCAGCCATTGTCTAGCATTCCATTGCACTTTTCCAGTTTATTTATGTGCTTCTTGAGATTTGGCACCATACAACTGCTGCATATTCCAATTTTGGTCTCACAAAAATCATGAACAGTTTCTTTAATATTTCACCATCCATGTCATTAAATGCAAGTCTGAAGTTGGAAAACAACACACATGCTCCTCTCACAATGTTCTTTGTGTTCCTCTGGTGACAGCTTACTATCCAAAACCACCCCTAGGTCTTGTTCTTAATTAGAGTTCTGTAATTCCTTTCCACATCATTTTTAAGTTGTGTGTGGTCTATTTTCTCCAAATTCCACATTCCATAACATGGCATTTATTCACAATGAATTCCATTTGCCACTTGATGCTCCAAATCTAGATCAATTTGAAGGGCATTATAATCATCTGCATTTCCTATCTTCCCCAGTATCTTAGCATCATCTATAAACATGTTCATATAATTATGTATTCCTTTTGGTAGATCATTTAGTATATGATGAGCATTACTGGTGCAAGAACTGAACTCTGCGGTACTCCGCTAGTAACGGTCCTCCAGTCAGATACATTCTCTCTGATTACTGCCCTCATCAGTCTGTCAGTTTGAATTTTTTTTACCCATGACAGAAGTCTCCCTGTCACCCCCTCCAGCATGTTCCAGTTTCCAGAATAACCTCTTGTGTGTGGGACTATCAAAAGTCTTTTTTTAGGTCCAGATAGACAGTCAACCCAACCACCTCTTTCCTGTAGTATCTCTGTGGCTTTGTCGTAAAAACTAAGTAGATTTGTTACACAGGATCTTCCTGTTTAAAAACCATACTGTCTGTACATTATTATGCCATTACAGTACTCTCAAGGTGTTCAACCCATTTGGCTTTAAATTTTTTTTCTAGTGTTTTGACTTATCACGCTTGTTAATGCCGTATTTAATGTTTTCTCTGCAATAAACTTTATTTCTTTAGTTTTTTTCATATATATATATATATATATATATATATATATATATATATATATATATATATATATATATATATATATATATATATATATATATATATATATATATATATATATATATATATATATATATATATATATATATATATATATATATATATATATATATATATATATATATATATATATATATATATATATATATATATATATATATATATATATATATATATATATATATATATATATATATATATATATATATATATATATATATATATATATATATATATATATATATATATATATATATATATATATATATATATATATATATATATATATATATATATATATATATATATATATATATATATATATATATATATATATATATATATATATATATATATATATATATATATATATATATATATATATATATATATATATATATATATATATATATATATATATATGTGTATATGCATATATAAGGTCATGAGAGAGTATTAAAGTGGACAAAAGTTGAATATGTCAGAGAAAGTGTTAGTTGATACAGTTCTCAAAGAAGGAAAGAAAACAAAAACTTTATTCCAGTACATCACCTTGAACACAAGAGTGGAGTGGAGTCCTACATTTATATCACCTTGATCAAAGTTACACACGAGGTAACTACCCTTCAGAATAATTATTGTAACAGAATTTGCTATGCAGTATTTTTTAGTTTAGTGCAGCAAAAAGGTACTGGCACTTAACCTTTTAAGTTTCATCATGTCATTAAATGAACAATTTAGATGTTCAAAACTTTATTGTATCAGATATTTTGCAATATTATTTTTCCTGCTTGTAAATTTGAATTTGTTGTTATTTCAGCCGTTCTATGGAGGGAAGCTGCATAGAGTTACAGCAGAAGTGAAAAATGCTGTTGGAACAACACTTACTAGAGTACAAGGAGAGTGGGATTCTGTATTAGAGTTTGCCTATGCTGATGGAACTGAAGAGGTATGTTTCAACACAAACAAAACAGTAATTATAATATCAGTAATAATAATTACAATTATAAGGTTGTGAGGGTGAGTTCTCTCAACCGGTTCTCATGGTTCAGGCCTCTCAATTCTGGTACTAATCTAGTTGCAAACCTTTGAACTTTCTCAGGTTTCTGTTTATGCTTCACAAGGTGTGGGTTTTATGCTGAAGCTGCATATTTAGGCAATGGTCTCACATAGGTAGTGTGTATGGACTAGAAAGCCTCCTTTAGATTCTTAAATGATGTTCTTATGTTTGCTAACTTCCCAGGTCTTTTCCTTTTATTGTTTCACGTAATCGTCTTCCCCTTATGGAGTAGATAAATACAGGTCTTGTATCTCCCTTACCTTTTCATTACACTTTACTTATTTGGATTGAATTCCAGCAGCCATTTAGATACCCATATACAGTACAGTATTCCTGAAGTTTGTCAAGATCTTTTTGCAGCCCCTTACAGTCTTCTTCAATTCTTACTTTGCACCATCTGCAAATATCAACATGTACAAACTCACTCCCTCTGCAAGGTCATTTACATAAATTCAAGAGAGAAATGGTCCTAGGACAGAGCCCTGTGGAACATTGTTTTCTGCTCCTCTCCAGCCTGACATATCCTCTGTATGTGACCCTTTGTTTCCTGTTGTAAGTTCTCTTGTACCCAGTCCAGTATCTTTCCTGCTCTCCCTGCTTGTCTCTCCATCTTGTGTATTAATCTTTTGGGAGGAACTGCATTAAAAGCTTTTTGGCAGTCTAGAAAGATGCATTCTACCCATCTTTCCTTTTCTTGTCTTATTTTGGTGACTGTCATTGAACTCAATCAAGATTGTTAAGCATAATTTTCCCTCTCTAAAGCCGTGTTGTGTGTGTGTTATCATACAGATTGTTAAATTCAGTGGATGCTGTAATTACAGGATGAGAGCTACGCGTGGTGTCCCGTTTTCCCGGCACACTTTGTCATATAACGCTTTGAAACTATGTACAGTTTTGTCCTCCAGCACCACCTCACTTAACATATTCCAACCGTCTACCACTCTGTTTGCAAAAGAAAACTTTCAAATATTTGTTCGGCACCTTTGTTTCTTAATGTTTCTTTCTCTGTGACCTCTTGTTCTTGAAGTTGCTGGTTTCAGGAATTCCTCTTTGTCAATTTGGTCCTGTTATTATTTTGTGTGGTGATCATATCACCTCTTTTTCTTCTAGTTTCAGCATATTTAATGTTTCTAGCCTCTCCTCGTAACTCTTATTTTTCAGTTCCGGAAGTCATTTTGTAGCATGCCTTTGCATTTTTTCCAATTTATCGATGTGCTTCTTGGGATATAGATATCTCCCTATACAACTGCTGCATACCTGTATTCCAATTTTGGTCTCACAAAAGTCATGCACAGTTTCTTTAGTATTTCACCATCCATGTAATTAAAAGCAAGTTTGAAGTTGTATGTACTCGACTCGCCTAATTGTGCGTGTGGGGGTTGAGTGTTGGCTCTTTGGTCCCGCCTCTCAACAATTGATCAACTGGTAATAATTATAATTACCTAAGTGTAGTTACAGGATGAGAGCTACGCTCGTGGTGTCCCGTCTTCCCAGCACTAACAGATGTAACACTAACAGATGGTGTACAGATTCCTGAGCCTATTGAGCTCTGTCATATCTATATTCAAAACTGTGTATGGAGTCTGCCTCCACCACATCACTGCCTAATGCATTCCATTTGTTAACTATCCTGACACTGAGAAGAGCGAAGAACACTGAGAACTGAGAAGTTCTGCAGCCTCTTTTAGTATCCATGGTGAGATTCTGTTAGGCCCAACAACTTTTGTCACATTCAGCTCCAACAGATTCCTTTTGACCTCATGGCTGGTGAGCTCAAATTCCTCCAAGGTTGCTTGGTTTACCGCCTCCTCTCTCAGTACAGGGACTTCTCCTTACTCGATTGTGAAGACCTCCTGGAATCTTTGAGTTCTTCACACACCTCTTTGTCATTCTTTGTGTATCTGTTCTCCCATTTTTTCAGTTTCATCACTTGTTCCTTCACTGCAGTTTACCTCCTGATGTGGCTGTGGAGCAGTTTTGGTTGGGTCTTGACTTTACTTGTGATGTCATTTTCATACTGTGTGTCTGCTTCTCTACTCACACTGAGGTACTCATTCCTGGCCCTCTAGTATCTCCCTCTGCTCTCTTGAGTTCTGTTATTTCTGTAGATCCCCTATGCTCTTGTACTTAAATACTTCCTTCCATGCCCGATTAAACCATGGATTCCTCTTTTGCTTTTTATTGTTTCCTGTTAGACTTGAATAAACTTGTTTGCTGCCTCCTGATACTTTTGGTTGATGTAGTCCATCATGTCATGTGCAGACTTTACTCGTGCAGACGATAAGTGAGTGCAGACAATAAATTACAATAACGTGGCTGAAGATACCATGACCAAACCACACATCAGAAGATGGAGAAACAACGAGATTTTGGTTTGTCCTGGACCATTATCAAGTCATGTGTGATAATCGAGTTGATAATAGCCCAGGACGGACCAAAACATTGTCATTATCCATCTTGTAATGTGTACAGTAGTTTGGTTGTCATTACTTGATAAGGGTTACATTTTTAATTCCATATAAAGTTTAAGAAAAACAAAAAAATAAAGATGCATATTAGAATTTTTTGATCTCACACACACACATACATAGATGTACAGATGTACATACATACAGTATGTATGTACAGTATATACAAACATATATAAATGCACGCTTTTATTTTTGTATTTTTCACAGATTATAAATGTGAATGACATACCAATGGTATGTGTGAAGCGTTTGCGGCCAATAACCCAGCAGGCTCCTAATGAGTCACGACGCTTGTGGCTTGATGTGAGTGTGGCATTGGCTCGTGGAGATGTAGAGACTGCAACAAGTCACAAGAGAGCTCTGGAGGAACAGCAACGAAAAGATGAACGTGAACGTGCATCTCGAAATGCAGAATTTCCTACTCAACTCTTCAGCTCTCCTTTTGCAGACCACTGGGTTTATAACCATCTCCCTGCTTATGCATTTACTTCTTGTTCTAGTACAACTCAAATTCAGTAGGGAAATATTCTGTAGTTATAATTTATACTCTTACTCTGTAAACACACACACATTATATATATCTATACACACACAATGCACAGTTAGCTTGACAGCTGAGTGGACATCGCTCAGGATTCGTAGTCCTGAGGTTCCAGGTTCGATCCCCAGTGGAGGCGGAAACAAATGGGCAGAGTTTCTTTTACCCTGATACACCTGTTCATCTAGCAGTAAATAGGTACCTGGGAGTTACAGCTGCTACAGGCTGCTTCCTGGGGATGTGTAACAAAAAGGAGGCCTGGTCGAGGACCAGGCCGTGAGGACGCTAAGCCCCGAAATCATCAAGATAATCGCAAGATAAGATAGCCATAAGAAAATTAAAAAAAAAAGTTTTTTTGTGTTTAACTATCAGGCAAAATACAGTACTGTATAAGAATACAGTGTAGAGATAGGCAAGATGACAGTGTCTTTATCTGATTTTGGATCAGATCATGGAGTTTTGATCTCCAGCAAGCTCACATATGAGGTCAATAATTAAATTGTAAAAAAAGGAACCATTGGACATGTTTACACTATATACACTGCAGCGATCTATAATATTTAAGAATACTTCATTCCATTGGAATTTTATTATCGTTAGAAAACATAGCCATTTCATTAGCCATAGAAAGCCTCAGTGAGTATAGTAGCAGGCTTAACAGACAAACTTTTCTGGACATTTTACAATGTATTTGTGTTGGTTGAGAAAAGTGCAAGACATTTTCCTGTTTGTCCTATGTAAAGAATTTTGTGACTTCAGTCCATATTATAAAAACATCCATTTTCAGTCTGTGATTTTAAATTAAATAACTTAAGTAAAAGCACTTCTCAGATTTTGTGTTTTGTTCTTAGCAAAATTTACATTATGTAGGAAAGTAATCTTGTAATGAAGTATTCTACTTACCTCAAATATGGTTTGTAATTCTACATAATAATAGTGTGGTCTAGGATGCACAGAGATAAATAATAATTTCAGACTTTAGTGCAAAGAATTGCCATCATATGTGAAATTGTGTCTTCAACACTCAGTCTCATTTACCAACAGCAGTATTATATATATTGCTTATATATACCATTCATGTTGGTGATCAGCAATTACTTATAATGCATATTATCTCCCAGTTATGACTGATCACGAACCTCCATTGTGTTACTTTTCTGACACAATTTAGAACATAGTTGGACACCCCTTATTTCTATGACAGAATTCATGAATTAACAGCCCAGAAGAGCATAAACAAAGTAATGAAGTGGTACTGGAAGAGTATACGTTATGCTAAAGGGGGAGGGGGGGCTTGTGGCCAGGAATCCCCATACATTAGAAGTAATCCACTGTAACTGGCATTCCTTGGAACCCAAATTCCATCTTTGAAACTGCTGATTGTAAGCCAGCTAAAGAGAGAGAACTTTTATCACATAACTTATGATCTAAACAGGTCTCACACCATTCTCCAATGCCAACATATAACTTTGAATGTTCAAAGATAGTTCTATCAAAACTCTCAGGATGGACAATTCAACATTTTTGGGGGCATAAAGACCAGGTTGTTAAGAAAACCTGGATGGAGCTGGAGTTTAAGGCTGTTGCCTTCTGTACAAAGTCATTTTGTTATGGAAACTGCACAGAGCAATATCAGATGAAAAATGCAGACACCCCCCAGAGTACAGTTCAGGGAGTTATTCTGTTTGATAGTTTGCCTATTATAATACATGTTATTTGCCTATTTTAAAGCCCTGCATGGTTTTACAAATGGTAAATTTCTTTTCGGGCCGAGCAGTTAATTATCATTGATATACCAGTGGTATGTATACATTATTGTGGCCAAAAGCTCATATCAAAGCTCTCCAAATGTACTCACTAGAAAGGAGACGGGAGAGATACCAAATAACACAATATTTTATATTTTTATATAATATTTTCCAACACATGGAAAATACTGGAGGGACAGGTCCCAAATCTGCACAGTAAGATAACGTACTGGAGTGAACGGCATGGAAGAAAATGCAGAATAGAACCAGTGAAGAGCAGGTGCGCCATGGGCACAATCAGAGAACACTGTATGAATATCAGAGGTCCACGGTTGTTCAACGTCCTACCAGTGAGCATCAGAAATATTGCAGGAACAACCGTGGACATCTTCAAGAGGAAACTAGATTGTTTTTTTCAAGGAGTACCAGACCAACCGGGCTGTGATGGGTATGTGGGCCTGAGGGCCACTCCAAGCAACAGCCTGGTGGACCAAACTCTTACAAGTCAAGTCTGGCCTTGGGCCGGGCTTGGGGAGTAGAAGAACTCCCAGAACCCCATCAACCAGGTAAAGTGATGAGAAGAGTGGAATTAACTGAAAGAACTGTAAAGAGAACAACCGGTGATAAATGATCCCTGGAATAATAGATGGATATATAGAAGTTTGACCTAAGAAGCCAAGAACTGACCATCAGGTCACTCAAAATGATTTAATAGCTTGCAATACCTATTTACTGCTAGGTAAACAGCAATGGATTTGTAAAACTTAAAAAAATTTATTCACACCTACATGCACACTAACCTTTTTTTTATATATAATCTACAGTACTGTAGTTTATTGTACTTGTACCAAAGATTGTTAGTACTTCATTTTTCATCAGTGAAACTGATGTTTTAGTAATAACATGCTAAATCTGCCAAATTAAAAAGTATCTGATAATTTGAATTTCATTGTTTGATGAGCTACTGAAGCTGAAATGGCTATCTGTACTTCATTTATCATTTGGTTGCATACAGATTATGCTACAGTAAGTTATCAAGCTAGTTTTGATCATAGCAGCAAACCTTGCTGCTCAAGTGTTTCACCCGATATGTATATTTAGATCTAGAATTTTAATATTAATCCCATACTTATAGGTTCATTACACAGTAAAGTACTTCAGAATAGTAGCTTATCTGATTTATCATTACATTGGTAAAACAATTTATGAAACTTTGCTTTGGCTTATTTCCACTATGGACTACTTAAAGGTTCATGTTGAAAAAAAAGAGTAAACTTTAGAGGTGATAAGCTATATAATTTATGGTTATTGCCATTATAGAATTTGCATATTTCAGCCGCTAATCAAAATAAATAATATCTGCGCATGTCATATATAGGTATTAATAATTTTGTATAATATTTACTTAATATTTACTTTTAAGATTATTCTTATAAAATAATTTTCATGCTGAACTAAATTCAATGATTATAACAAAACTCCAAATTTGCTTGATTATAACCGTTATTTTTGGAAATTGCAAATATTTTTGTTGTTCTGACATTAATATTAGAATTATATTTAGATGTGTAATGCTTCATAATTAATAATTGACCATTTTCTTCATGAGCTAAACTGTATTTACATGAGCAGTGGTGTGCCGTCCTAAGGAGTAATGTTTGTAATAAAAAATGCTTTAAAATTGTGTATCAAGTCTGCTCATGAGGTATATATAATAAAAAACAAATCCTTAGCATGACAATTTATTATGGTTGATTTATATTCCTTAAAAATTTCAAGATACAGGTAGGAAGAATTTAATGCTTGAAAAAAATGGCATCTTAAAACATGCATTACAAGGAAAGTTTACAGATTTGTTCAAGACCTGTATGGTTTTACAAATGGTGAATTTGTTTACAGGCTGAGCAGTTAAGCAGCAGTTCATCCAAATGCTGGCAAAATAAAACACTTCTTTCCTATATGCCAAGCTCTCTCATAAATTTTGTTGGCTTATTTAGATATGTATATCATGTATTTGTGGTCTATAATGCATTCACATACTTTGTCTTAAAAATTTGTAACACCAGTATGCCAGTAGTGATGCATACGTGTCTCCAGTTCCAACGAGTCTAGTGTAGGCCGTTCTTGCATCTCTGCAGTCAAATCAGGCTGCACTAAAGGGTAGTGTGGGGGTCTAGGCCGATTATCTTGATAATATTTTAAGTTTTGTAAACTTCCAAATCGATGAAAATTACTAGTATTCTTGGAACTTGTGCTTGCAAATCTCTGTAGAGTACTGAATTTGGTGGTAGTTGCACTTAGTTTGCTTTGAATGAAGCGAAAGGTGCCTCTTCCTAAACGAGATTTGCGCACATTATTTCGCTGAAAGTAACCACTTGGTTCTATCTCGACAGCTGCAGCCAAAACCAAGTCAGGTGCAGAAGCTGTAGGCATGGTGCCAGATTGAGAATTAGAACGTTTTAAGGTGTCTAACTCACGCATGAATAGCAGTTTTGCATTACGTGCCAGGAGATACTCCCAGCTACGGAATTGTTCCTCATTTACCTGTAAAGATAGTACAGAACCAAGTAATGGTAAACCTAAAGAAATGCTGAAAGTTTCTCTTATGATTAATATTTTAAGGAAGGAGGGGAGGGTATTTGCTAAAAATACAAAAGCTGATATACTGAAATTTACTTAATTGTCCTCCTCTAGTGGTTGTGGTGGGGACAGGAAAGCAGACTTGCAAAAGGTCCCCTAAATTCACCTATTATGTTGTTCCAGGTATACAGTAGTTTGAATTATATTACTAACCAAGCTATCTAGGTGTATTTCTCAGTATATTTACACCTGCGACTGTTCAGGGTTAAAGTACAGAATACCTTTAAGTTAGAAGCAAATGTAGACAGCAAAGTCTGTCCATGTGACAATTGGAAGTTTATCAAGTTTCAGATACTGTACTACTTTGACATTTTATTATTTGAGGAATTAAACATATCCTATTCATATTCACTCTTAAATTAAAAAGTTTATTTCTATGAACATTATTACCACTAGGACTATTCAAGTTTAAATATTGTTGTTGTCCATCAGGTAGCAACATGAGGACTGGTGAAATACCAATGTTCTGGTCTGAGAGTCACCAGATGAAGGAATTACAGTATAGGAATGAGACTGTCCCTCATTTAGTTCATCGACCGGGGAGCTGGTCGGCCGAGCGGACAGCACGCTGGACTTGTGATCCTGTGTTCGATCCCAGGCACCGGCGAGAAACAATGAGCAAAGTTTCTTTCACCCTATGTCCCTGTTACCTAGCAGTAAAATAGGTACCTGGGTGTTAGTCAGCTGTCACGGGCTGCTTCCTGGGGGTGGAGGCCTGGTCGAGGACCGGGCCGCGGGGACATTAAAAGCCCCGAAATCATCTCAAGATAATCTATTATTTAGTGTTTGTTATTTAGCTGCCATATCATGGAGCCAGGGTCAATGCTGAGTACAGTGGTAGTGCTTACAAATTATGAATAATGACAAACATAAATAACCAATCCCACACACACAAATATAGAAGGTATGACTTCTCAGCCCATGTTGACAAGGGTCCAAATCAGACCGAAATATTGTCATGTTCATTTTCATGAGTGGGTTGGGTTACTCATTTTCAGTCACATCGTGACATTTTATGTACATTAACACACACTCAGTTCCTTAAACATTTGAATTAGGTTTCTCATCTGTGTTCAAACATGAATATTTTTATATTAATAACAATTACAGACATTTAGATCTATATCTGTATTTGAGTTACATAACAGGTTAGCCTTAAATCAGTGCAATATCTAATACAGTATGTTAAGTATATCTTACCTGTTCAGCATCATTGTCTACTGTAGCATCATCAGATTTTGAATGATTTTGTTGACTTGTATGATGCTGTCCACCACTGACACCACTCAGGCCACTGTCACTTCCTTCAGAATCGCTCTCGGTGTCATCAAAGCCAGCAGGAGGGGCCAGCACGCCTGTATGAGGGTCACTTTGTCCCATAATGAAAGGATCCACCGGACAAGTCTCAGAGGGTGATGCTGCTGGGTCTGGCCGAGGGTAGTGGTAATATGTGACTGCTCGCCTTGTGTTGCCATTTGTATAAATTACTTTTGATTCGGCTTCAGGGTTTTTTCCAATATCTTTTTTTCTTCTGTTAGGATGGGCATAAAGATCTTCTACACTTTTCCATAATTTGTCTTTATATTTACAAGGCATGTGTGATTCATTTATTATAGAACTCTCGTGTTTATGAATATCTACACCATGTTCACTATGATCACTTTGACTTTGACCACTAGGAGATGATCTGTCCATTTCTCTAACTCTTTGGGTCATATCAGATCCTTGTTTACTTTTGATATGAGACCCTTTTTGCATTAAATTATTTTTATTATTTAATATATGGTAGGAATTAGCTTTAAAATCAGTACACTTATTTGACTTTTTTCTCTTGTCATTCATATGCTGGTAGTTGTACTGGTCATCATCTACAATAGCCAACGCTCTGTCAAATTTCACTCTTCGGCTATTCCCCATCAACTCTTGCCCTGTGACCTGCAGGTCTCTCTCAGAGAGCCTTCTTTCTATCCTTGCACTACCCTCGTGAATATTTGCTGAATTTGTATTGGTTGACTTTACTTTCATCTGTAATGCACTGAGGACTGGCGACTGGTTTGGAGATTTGTGTTGTGAAGGTGTGAGACGCACTACAATAACACTTAAAGCATCACGGGTACCATAAGCTTGTGCTAGGTCCAGGAGACGCTTAGCAGCTGATCCTGCCTCCTCTACTTCTCTACAAACATTAGCAGCTTCTTTTGGTCCTAATACTTCCCATAAACTGAAATTTAGCAAATTAAAGTAAATTTTTAAGTGAAAATAGTTTGTATGTTACAATATTTCTTTAATCTAGCCAAAATCAAATTATATCAACAACATTAAGTCACAAGCAGATCACAAGAGGATACTTAATGATGTTTGTTACAGAGTTATTTCAATGTTTTGATGATAACCTTATTACATGTAGCAACTTTCAATTTTAAAAAATTAAACAAATATTGTTGGCATCAATGCTTACACTTCAGCATCATGCATATATCAAGTACTGTATGTACAGTACTGCAATATACTCTAATCTATAAAAAGGCCTCTAAAAGTTTTTAGCTCCTGCAATATCATTGCTCGACAACAAATCACTAGAGCTCCGAGCCTTCCCAGATGCTCTTAAAATGCCTTATCCCAATCTATAAGAGTGAAGATCTCTTTGAAATCAACAATTTTAGATCAATATCAATCCTGCCCCCATAAAAGAATTTAAGAGATTTTAATTTATGAATAGCTCTGTTCCTTTCTAGATTAGCACACACTCATTGGGTACTCAATTTAATACATGCAGCCTTGATAAAAATAAACATTAATAAGAACATTGGTGCTTTTATGGGGCCTGAAGCCATCTTGGTTTGAACTAAATAGTTCAAACCAATATGGCTTCAGGCCCCATGAAAGCACCAACCGATGTTCTTATAAATATGCTTAATTTAATACATGCAACCTTGACAAAAATGAGTACCTATAGGTTTGTTTGTTGACCTGCACAAGGCTTTTGACACTTAACCACAATAACCTTCTTCTCAAACTCCAACACTATGGAGTCAGAGGTCACTCACTTCAGTACAGTGCTTGCAATCTTACCTCAGTGACAGGCAGCAGTATGCTTCAGCAAACAATGCGACTTCTCTCACTGCCATTTAACACTTGGCATTCTGCAGTGTAGTATACTTGGTCCATTCCTCTTTCTCATATATATTAATGATAATTTAAATACCACTTAATATTTGAGGCCAATTTTGTTTGCTGATGATACAACCTTCATTTTCTCACATGCTAACCTACTTATTTTAAACATACTAAATAAAATCCATTTGTGGTTGACTTAACAAACTTGCTCTTAACCCAGACATGACATTTTACATATTGATTGGTAACAAGTTCAACAATCAAATTAATCTAGGAATTAACAATACCCAAATTACAAGCGGAGAACAAGGGAAGTTGCTTCGTGTTCACATTGCCAAACTAAATTGCCATTACCACACAATATATAACTAAAAAAAAGTTTCTAAAAGAGTAGGCATTCTCTCCAAAGTCAGGTACAGTGACACCTCGCGCGAGAATATCCCTCTTTACGAAAGTTTCGGGTTACAAGCCCAAATTCTTTGTAAAATCCAAGTCGGGTTATGAATTTTGCCTCGGGTAACGTAATTTGTTGATACGCATATTGCCGACCTAGCACATGGTGGCACGGCGACCACGTCTCAGTTTACCAGTGCCTCCCACCTAGTGACAATCGTGCTTGAATTCTTTGTAAAGAATTTCAGCGTTTTTCTGATATTTGGGTATTTGAACATGAAAGTTATTATTATATATTTTACAATGGGTCCCAAGAAAGCCAGTGATAAGGTTCAATCCAAGAAAACACATGTGAGGATGACCATAGAGGAAAAACAAGAGATCATTTGGAAACATGAAAATGGTACATGGGTTGTTGAACTAGCTAGGCAGTACAAGAAATCTGTGTCAACAATATGCACTGTAATTGACAAGAAAAAGGACATTATGAGTGCTAAAGTGACAAAAGGCACATCAACAATCATGAAACAAACCTTTTTAACGACACTGTGATGCCTCACTATAGACAAGTGTTACAACGTAGGGAAAAACAAGCCTCTATGGATAGATTTTTAGTGAGAAAAACCAAGCAGTGAGCCACACGCAGGTCCTAGAGGTATGCAGGCAAAACGTACCAGAGAGAATAACCTAGAGAAGTCATCACTGCCTGATGTTACTGTATAAGAGTTACGAACTGTCTCTAGAAACGGATTAAATTCATACGCTCAGGAACCACTGTACTATGTTTCTTGCTCTTCCCAAATTACTGTATTATTCACTCTTTCCTATATCTCGCCTATGGTATCTGTACCTGGGGATCTACCATTCTCTGTTACCTCCAACCCCAAATTACTCAACAAAAATTAGCAATTAGAACAATTTCAGTCCCAGACACCACTCTGCTCCCTTTCTGAAATCTTTGAACGTGTTAAATATCAAGCCTCTGCACATACAGTGGTACCTCGGAATGCGAGTGAACCTGTATGCGGGTTTTTCGGAATACGAGCAGGATTTCCTCGGAAAATATGTCTCTTGAACGCGAGGGTTACCTCGGGACGCGAGTTTGTTGATACACGTACAGGGCGACCTAGCGCGTGGTGGTTCGGCGATCGTCACCCCTCTGCCCCTCCGCCCCTCAGTTTACCATTGTCTCGTGCCCAGTGACTACCCCACATCAATTCTTCTCCCGGATTTTCTGTGTTTTGTTGGATTTTTGGTGATTTGACTATACAGTACAATTTGTTATTATATATCTCACCATGGGTCCCAAGAAAGCCAGTGGCAAGGATAAAGGCCAGAAAGCCCATGTGAGGATGACAATAGAGGAGAAACAAGAGATCATTCGGAAGCATGAGAACGATACACGTGTTGTTGAACTTTGTAGGCAGTACAACAAAGCCACATCAACAATATGCACTATATTTAAGAAGAAAAATGAGATTATGAGTGCTAAAGTGGCAAAAAGAGTAAGAACAATAACGAAACAAAGACCACAAATACTTGAAGAAGTGGAAAAGTTGTTATTAATTTATATACACGACAAGGAGTTAAGGGGTGATAGTGTTTCGGAGGCTATTATTTGTGAGAAAGCCAGGGTATTGCACGAAGACCTTCTAAAGAATACCCCTGCAACGAGTGATGCAGATACGAAAGAGTTTAAGGCAAGCAGGGGCTGGTTTGAAAAATTTAGAAGGAGAAGTGGTATCCATAGTGTTACAAGGCATGGGGAGGCAGCCAGCTCAGACAAACCAGCCGCTGGACGATTTATTGAGGAATTTAAAGAGTTTGCAGAGGCTGAGGGATACCTACCGCAACAAGTGTTTAATTGTGACGAAACAGGACTGTTTTGGAAAAGAATGTCTAAGAGGACATACATTACCAAGGAGGAAAAATCCTTGCCCGGACACAAGCCTATGAAAGATAGGTTTACGCTTGTGCTGTGTTCAAATGCGAGTGGCGATTTGAAAATTAAACCCTTGCTAGTGTATCATTCTGAAAATCCAAGGGTTTTCAAACAGTATAAAGTGCAGAAACCCTATTTGTGTGTGATGTGGAAGGCTAATAAAAAAGCATGGGTGACTAGGCTTATTTTTTCGGAGTGGGTGAATGAAGTGCTGTGCCCTGCCATAGAAAAATATCTGCAGGAGAAACATTTGCCACTCAAAGTCGTGCTTCTCCTCGACAATGCTCCTGCTCAACCTCCAGGCTTGGAAGATGATTTGTTGCCCAGATACAATAAATTCCTCACAGTTAAATTCCTTCCTCCTAACACCACTCCTCTAATTCAGCCTATGGACCAGAAAATCATAGCGAATTTTAAGAAACTTTATGAAAGGGCACTTTTCCAGAAATGTTTTGAAGTGACTGAAGCCACAAACCTCACCCTCAAAGAGTTCTGGAAACACCATTTTAACATTTGTAGTGCTTTAAAACTCGTTGACAAAGCCTGGCAAGAAGTGACTAAAAGAACCCTGATCTCTGGCTGGAGAAAATTGTGGCCTGAATGTGTGAGAGAACTAGACTTTGAGGGGTTTGAGCCTCTAAATGATGCGCCTATTGTTGAGGAAATTGTTACTCTAGGCCAGCAAATGGGCTTGGAATTGGATGGTGATGATGTGGAGGAGTTGGTGGAAGAACACAACGAAGAACTGACCACTGAAGAACTCCAAGCCCTTCAACAGGAACAGCAAGACAACGCAGCGGATGATTCTACAGAGGAGGAGGAGGCAGTAGCAAATGTCCCTTCTGCAGTAATTAAGGTGTGTCAGATGTGGGAAGAGATTCAAATAATTGTTGAAAAGACTCACCCAGAGAAAGCTGTAGTAGGCCTTTGCCTTAATCTTTTCAATGACAATGTGATGCCTTACTACAGAGACAGCTTGCAAAGAAGGGAAAAGCAAGCTTCCATGGACAGATTTGTGGTGAGGAAATCGAGCAGTGAGCCTCAACCAGGATCTAGTGGCACTCAGATAAAACGTCCCAGGGAGAGCACACCAGAAAGGTCCTCACTGCCTGATGTGATAATGGAAGGGGACTCCCCTTCCAAACAGTAACTCCTCTCCTCCCCCCCTCCTCACCATCTTCCATACGCCTACAGCATTCAACAGCAAGATAAGTAATAACTTGAACATAGTTTTGTAGGTTTATTTAGATGAATTAGGTATAAAAATTTAGTTTGATGTGGGGTTTTTGGGGTAGTCAGGAACGGATTAATTCATTTCCCATTATTTCTTATGGGGAAATTAGCTTCGGAATATGAGGCATCTCCAGGAACAAATTAAACTCTTAAACTGAGGTATGCCTGTACTTTCAAGCATTTTCTATATCTATAAAACTATAAAACTATCTATAAAATCTATGTAATGGCGAGAGATGTGCGAGACATACCTCGAACTAGCAATAACAACAGCCGTGTGATGTGGTCCAAGATGAAGCTCTGTTGTATGGGGATCGGGAAGAGTGGCAGCATCTGCCAGAACACACTTCATTCCCTCAATACACTCTTTTGCTGAACTCTGTTGAAATAACACAAACAAAATGAATCCTTGAATTAACATGCTTTTAACATACTAGTTTTTCAATATATTGCAGTTTGTCTATAATGATTAATGTGCATTCAATACAATAACATACAGGAGGTGTTCTTGTTGAAGTGGTAGTGAGAACTACAGGCTGGCCATGGGTGGTGGTGACAGTGGCAGAAACAGAACCATAACAACACAATCGTAAGACAGGCCATTGTCCAGGTTGGGTAGCATCAGCCTCCAGATGAGCAGCGCACACAGCACTTGGGAGCGTGACACCCTGGGACCGCAGCTGCCTATTAGTCCCATGATTTAAAAATTGTTAAAATGTCATTAAAAAAAATCTTGCTTCTTAAACCCATTTTACATTATATTAATTCTGATAATTTGCAATTTAAATGGCACTGTGGATAACGAGCACATTACTTTGTAAGTCAGGTTAACTGGGTCTGGCTAGTAAAGGAATGTGTAACCACATGGATATAGTAGCAACCAAGAGATAGTGGCAGTCAGGTAATTTCAAGCAATATACTGTACTTATTATTGAGAAATCAATAAGAGCCATGATGGTGATTCAAACCTATGCTCTAGGTACTCCCAAGCAGACACCTTAGACCACTACACCATAAGATGGTCAAAAGCAATGCAACCTGGGATTCAACCAAATCTTCTAGGGATCCTGAGACTCCAACTGAAGTCATATCACGTTTTTACGCATTTGCTTTTACCATGTTATGGTGTAGTGGTCTAAGCCATGTGCTTGGGAGTACCCAGAACAAAGGTTCAAATCATTCTCATGGCTCTTACCAATTTTCTCATTGATACATCACATTAATGTGATCTCTTTGTGTATATCTATTACTTATATGAAGAGAATAATTCACAATGACATGGCTTAAAAAACAACTTAGCCCATATACTGTTTATGAAATCATCTTACAGCTTTGTCTTCCAAAATAATTCTTCCTGCCTCTACTCTCAATAGACACCGTCTTGTTGAATCACCTCATACACAATATGCATAACATGAATCTTACTCCTAACTTTGATGCCTTTCTCAGAACAGCAGAGTACATAGTTAAATGCTCTAATTATCTTGCCAAGCAAAATCTGACTTGGCTATCTGTCCCTCTGTTCTCTCCTGCTTTTTCTGTCCTATCTCTTTGTTACTTATATGGTTCTATTTTATTTATTTTCCTGTATTTATCCTCCTTCCCTTTTCTGCTTACTTGGTTTACTTTTTCTTATTCTTCTCATGAGCTGCCTTTAACTCTTAATTCATGACATTCATCATCTACTTCACCACCCTTCCTCTCCCCTCATCTCTTGCTCTCTACTGGTCACTTCCTATTTCTTCCCTCGGTTTTGATTTGGATGAACCGAAACTTCGTCACTTTCATTTTCATGTGTGTGGGTTGGATTATTTGCTTGTACTATTCACATTAACTGGTACAATTAATGATTGTGCAGTGGAGCTCCAGTTATTATGAAATACTCTACTGCTTTATATTAGTGAAGAAAATGTTTAAAGACAAAATGAAAATTTTCGATTTGTAGTTACTGTATGGACAAAAATGTTTAAGTATACACTATGGTCTTTCTGGCATAGCCCTCTGTAGCTCTCAAGTGCATATGCTCTTACCACAGTGACATTCCAAACACTACTAGGCCTCTGGGCTTGTATTGTCTTGCTAAATACCAAAACACAAATCTGAAGTTTTCTTATAAAGGCAGGGTAAGCATGGCAATCTTGAGAACTCCCCAAAGCTGAACAAAACCATTCAGAAAGTACAATTGAAGCAAAAACTACATATTTTTATTAAACAGTAGCTCCTCATACTGTGCAAGGGTCCCGGTAGTACAGTCGGGTTTGTTCTCACCGCACAATCGAGAATTTCAGGTTCACATCCCGGCGGGACAAATGGTTGGGGACATTTCTTTTCACCTAATGCCTCTGTTCACCTAGCAGCAAGTAGGTACTCAGGAGTTAGTCAGCTTGTTGTGGGGTTACATCCTGGGCGACCCTGCATCCAGTAATTCGACCCTGATGGAAGGGGACCTCAATAAAAAACCTAACATGTATGAATACACTCTGGCTTCCTGTCCCCCAACAGTGAATTATTATATATTTTTATACTCGCCATTCTTTCCTGTGGGTGGCCAGAGCTACCATCTGATGGTGAACTTGTGTACTTGCACATGGTTTATTGACATTTTGTCAACTACCACTTTACTTTTTTTCATGTTTTGTCTCTCTAATCAAGATACTGTATATTTTTTACTTTGCCTGTACTTTCTAGGTGGGTTTTACTAGGTTTTGTGTTAATCTTAGATCCTTCATGCTCCTCTTACCTCTGTGAGCACACCAGATTCTGGTCCTGGTGTCTGGTAGATCTGCACAAATCCAAATGTCTGTGGTATGAGTCAATGCACCAGGAAGCTATTAAAGCTACCCAGAAAAGTGTATTAAACATCCAAATCTCTCTGAACGCTCTTTAGGCATAGTAAAGCTGAACTTTAGGTATACAGTAATATGTACGATTCAGATTTGTTGTGTAAAGCTGAAAAAAACCAGCGTTGAATGTAATGAAACGCCATTTTCTGGGTGAGACCCGGAGGCTCCCCGGAGCTTTACCGGCTGATATGCTAATGTCAGACTTTGGCATCAGTCATGTGTATGGAGTTCTAGGGCCTACCGGGGACCACGAGCCAGAACCTGGCCCCCTCAGAGAGGCAAGGGGAGCAATGGCCTATAGAAACCCCCGTGTGGTTGGAAGCATTCTATGTCTGCCATCGACCGGGTCAAGCATCCAGAAAGGTAAGCATTCCAAAACAAACCCCTATTCTGGTGAAAATTGCTACCTAAGCCGAACTAGTGAATAGAACTCTTCAACAGAAAACACGGAAACTAGTATGACGTCATACGTCACCGCGCCGCTGTCTGCGCAGCTCCCCCCTCCCCGGGAGGGGGAAGGGGGAGCCCCAGACCTCCCACGCCGGCTATCCACCCATCAGTTCTGAGGCTGGATGTCAAAACACGCGAAAAACGCCGACCGGAGGGAGGGAGGGTTGCCGGGGAGCCTCCGGGTCTCACCCAGAAAATGGCGTTTCATTACATTCAACGCTGGTTTTCTGGGGGGAGCCCCGTCGGCTCCCCGGAGCTAACTACCCACAGAGGAAGGTCAAAGGGACAAAACCGGGAGGCGGACACCACGCACCCCCCAAGGAGGCGAGACAACCGGCAGCAAACGCCAACCCAAGGCGCCACAGCCCCGAAAATCCCGGGAACAACACGAGAACCACGAGCAGCAAGGCCCCTGCACGAACACCAAAAATCCATGCCCGAAAGACTGCAAGGCCACGTCGCCCAGACGGCAGCGAGAGCAGCGAAGCCACGAACGCCACAGGCATGAGGGAAGAACACAGGCAGCTTAGCCGCAAGAACACGGCTGACCACCCGGGACACCATCACCCGCGAACCGGGAAGAACAGAACCGGATCAACGCAAAACGCGCTCCGGACCCAAACGCCGTGGCACGCAAACAACAGCAGAGGGCCGCCACTGAACACAAAAACGACACACCCCCAGCCCGACCAACAAAGCACCAACAAACCCTGGACCCCTCCAGAATGCAGCAGCCCCACCCCGCGCCAGAAAAGATGGAGACTGCTGCCATCAAACAACCAAAACGCTAAAACCGAAGGAGCAAGAAAACACAGCGAACCGACCCCCAGAGGCAAAGGCCCAAAGGAAAGAGCCGACGAAAAAACACACCGGAACCGAAGGGGCACTACCAACCGAGGAGAAGACAGAGCACGCTGACCAGAGACCAGGATGGTGCAAGCGGCGCACGAACAGGCCGGAGGTGAAATGACGCACAAGACAGCTGACTAACGGTGCAGAAGCAACACCAAGACCGAAAGCAAGCTGAAGCGGCTCCGCCTGCGCCGCACGAAAAGAGGCGACAGTATGTGGCAAGACGACGGCCCCCAACCCCCACTAGAAAACCAAGCCGAGAGTAAACCAAGCCAACAAGAAGGACCCACCGAAGAAGGGACAGGAAAAGGAAGGACCGCCAAAATACCCCATACTGCCGCCAAGAAAGCACGCAGGTGGGACACCTACCACGAAGCCACCCGACCACCAACCGGAGGCGAGACCACGAGGCAGAACATAAGCAGCCCCGACAAGGCCCCCCCGAGCCCAGGAAAAAGGCGGAGCCGCGAGAAGATCTCGGGCGCGACCACCGAAACCCAGGCGGCACAAGGAGATGGAACGTCTGCCGAACAGAAAAACTCTGAAGCATGCAAGCCCGCCAGGAGTTCAGAAACGACGGGTCCGACGCGAGACATCGCAAGAACCCCCCCAAAAAAAATAAAACAACAACAACCGGCAGGGCAAGCTAGGAAAACCAAAGAAGGCGGAAGGGTCGCCGCCAGAACAGGACCCGAACCAAGGGGCACGAACAACTGCAACAGACCGAGACAAAGAAGCACATCACAGGACACAGGCTGACCAACGCCTAAGAACACACGCAGAACATTCCTGCTGCAGAAGAGGCAGGAAGAAAGAGCAGAAGTCACGCAGAACCCCATCGAACGGGGAAACATGACAAAAACACCGTCCCAAAAAGCGGGGGAGGAAACATCCACCCACAGGGCGGAACCAACCGACTCAAAGGCCAAGGAACCGAGCCCGGGGAGGGGCCGACGTCCAACAGCACGTACGGCGAGTGGGGAGGAAAGACCCCACTCCGCGTAACCACAAGCCCCGCCTAGAGGGGGATGAAACCCCCCACGGGGTCTAACGGGGCCAAGGCCCCCCCAAGTCAGCCCCTCCCCAGCCCCGGGAACCTACACGACAGGCCCCGGGGCCGAGCCGTTCCCCCAAAGCCCCGGCCGTACCAGAAAACCGAGGCAGCCGTGAAAACACTAAGGAAGGGAGCCCACTGGCAGACTCATACAACACGGCTGGAGGAACAGGCCCAAATGCCCCCGTCACTACCCCGGAAGGGGAATTCCCCGAGACTGCCCGAGTCTCAACACCACCAAACACCCCGCCCTGAACCTACAGACGGTAAGGAACCGGATGCAGGCAGGAAGGGTGAACCAGGGGAAAAACGAAATACAACGGGGCAGCCCCGGGGCTCCCGGGGAGGAAACCACGAGAACGTTGCCACCACCAAGGCTCAAGTGCAACGCCCCTGCTGCCCGCACCCGCTTTGTTAGCACAACTGGGTAACCGAGCCACAACGAGCAACCAAACTCGCAGGACACCGGGTCGAAGGTGTCACCGACCCCACAGGCAGCAGACGGAGGCAAAACAGAGAGTCACCCAGAGACAAAAGGTGAGAGCAACCCTCAAACTCGCTGGAAGCGAGGGGGGGGCTCTGGGGTCACATCCATCGGACCCGCGCGCCCCCAGGGGTTTCCCAGGGTCCCGAGCGTTTACTTTAAGAGGACTCGCGCTCAGGTAATCCCAGGCAGGGTACTGCTAACCGGCACCCAAGCTACCAAACAACTTTCTAAGAGCTGAACCCCCGGGACGTGTACACTCACGGGGACCTAGCAGGGGGTACCACCAGAAATACTCAGAACACAAGGGACACAAGGGGCAAGAACGAAGGCAGACCCCCCCACCAGGTATATAAACAAAAGAAAAAGAAAACCCCGCAAGAGGACAGCGTACCCAAGCGGAACAGAGCCGGCCGCTATGATTGGTAAAGACAAGCTGCACAGTACCCCGCGCCCCACCAGTGCAAACACTGCCCCTTACTCTAAGGCGAACAAGGGAGACAGAACACCCGAGCACACAAAGAGCGGCCGAAAACCAAGCGGTAAACGGCCAAGCAGGGGCAGGACCCAAGGAACTTGTGGAAGGTGGCCCCAAGCCCCAAGGGCAGTACTTACAGGGCACCTAGGGAAGGGAACCCTAGGCGCATGCAGCCCGAGTACTGAAGAATCACACCCGGCTCACGCACCACCTAGAAAACAGACACCACACTCTAGGTACAGTGCTGAAACAACCACTGGAGCCGGAGCACATAACCATTGCCTATAGCATCAGCCGAAGAACTGATGGGTGGATAGCCGGCGTGGGAGGTCTGGGGCTCCTCCTTCCCCCTCCCGGGGAGGGGGGAGCTGCGCAGACAGCGGCGCGGTGACGTATGACGTCATACTAGTTTCCGTGTTTTCTGTTGAAGAGTTCTATTCACTAGTTCGGCTTAGGTAGCAATTTTCACCAGAATAGGGGTTTGTTTTGGAATGCTTACCTTTCTGGATGCTTGACCCGGTCGATGGCAGACATAGAATGCTTCCAACCACACGGGGGTTTCTATAGGCCATTGCTCCCCTTGCCTCTCTGAGGGGGCCAGGTTCTGGCTCGTGGTCCCCGGTAGGCCCTAGAACTCCATACACATGACTGATGCCAAAGTCTGACATTAGCATATCAGCCGGTAAAGCTCCGGGGAGCCGACGGGGCTCCCCCCAGAAATAAACAATGCGATAATCACCTGAGAGCCGTCAGAAGAGAATACTTGAGAGCATAGGTGTGTGTGGGAGAGCAAGCACATTCTTCTTGTAAAAGTGTTGGAAGCAATGCCAGCAAACTGCCAACACTCCCCACTTCCTTGCCACCATCAGCCACAGCAGCTATACCTACACTGCCTAAGCCACCCACATCTGGCACCCGCAACTGTCCAATCGTTAGCCTGTCATAATAGAAAAAGATCATTTTTGTAATAATTTCCCTTTGTAGTAAGTCATCAATTTTGTTTTATCAGCATAAAGAATGGTCAAACACTTTTTTCCAGTCAAAAGCTACATGAAGATTTGGACGGTAAACCTATCCTCTTTGAATTTGAACTGGTAATTCAAATACAAATTCAACATGCATTTGTTGAATTTAACAAATGCATATTGTTAAATAGCAATATTTAATAGCTTACTGATGTACACTGGATATAGTGATCATATCACAGGAAGACAGGGCTTTCCATTACACATTTGTTTTAATCTCTTCACCTCTCCATCCACGCACACACATACCTGGTTGATACCTGGTTGGTTGACAGTAATGTTGTCATGATGATATCCGTCTTACTCATACAACTCCACCAACTCTTACACTTGCTCAATTACCAATATAGAAAGTTTTTACAGTACCTAACAGCTCTCCTTTTATGCCACAACGTTTTCAGAACCTCTCTGAAGACATACCTGATCTATACTTTCTCTACCCTTCATATTTAAAAAATTCCATCTTGGAAACACTTGATATTTGTAATATTTAACTAATAAATATCATTGATAACACTCAAAGTTGCATGAACACAAAATCTTTTACATAAATGATAATAATGATGAACTTTAGGTTTCCTGCTTATTAATAGCAAAATTAATTACTGGTAGTACAAAGTACTACATGAATAAATACAAATCTTCCTAACCTATCTCATTCTGTTTTAAAACAATTCTGCTGTGTCCATTGGGCAGAAATATTCAGTCAGGCTTGACAGCATACTTCACTGCTGCTATAGGAATCAAGCTGTTATTGCAGGGTTTTAAAAGGTTCTAGAAAGTACTGGAGTCTAGGCCAGAATGACAGTAGCTCATTAGTAAAATTCAAAGCCCTATAGTTATCTAGTTATGTAGCCTCTGTAGTTAGCTCTGTGAGTCCCTTGGTATTGACTGAACCCCAAAGAAAACATTAAAGACAGCCAAGACCCCATGGCTCGGTGACCACAAAGGAAGTATTCTTGGTTAGCTACCAGCTGGCCTGCCTACAGGTCTGTGTTCCTGTCTGTTCTGCAGCCTGTTCTCTGAATTCAGTGTTGGTGGTGTATGGTAGGTCTGTGTTCCTGTCTGTTCTGCAGCCTGTTCTCTGAATTCAGTGTTGGTGGTGTATGGTAGGAGCTTAGGTCAGCAAGCTTATACCACCTCAAAAATAGATTCATATTCCTCTGGTAATTGTTTAGGTGTTTGTTTGGTCAGGATTTGTTCATCCAAGATGCCTTCCTTCTTACACAGGGTTGAAGGTTCAGTTTATGCAGCTTGTGAGTGAGGGAGTGGGCAGGCCGATATCCTAAGTAATCTGGATAGCCATCTAGTGGTGATCTGGTGCATCATGGTCAAGGTGTTTACACCATAGCAACAACCGTTTGCCTAATTATCTTCAGGTACACAATTTTCTTCAAGTAGTTACTGCACTTGCTTTTTTATGCTTATGTTTTATATTGATATTGTTTCTTGGTTTCGGGTTGATTCCCGAACCCAAAGTTTCTCTTGTTTCATAGAGAGGGGGAGAGAGCCAGATTCTGGTTTTGCTCCTGATAAGCAAAGATGAGGTCTCAGAAGTCCTAAGGCTTGGCTGGACCAGCATTTAGCTCTAAGAGCTACTGAGGGCATTTTGTTGCATTCTGCACTAGATATTTAACTTATCTCTCTTTGGTAAAGCAACTTTCAATTACCTCAGTATTGCTACTGCTAATAATGCCAGCAATTTTTATCTGTACCACCTTTTTTTCAAAATCAAAGTGTGTGGCACTAAAAAAATATTTCAAATATATAGGTGCATCTTGTTTGCATTTAAGAGTTAGAAATTAGTTAGAAATTTAAAAGTTATTGAAAAAATTCAGAATTCTTAAATTTGAATTAAGATACTGTACATGTAAGGCATATGAAGATTGCACCATACATACCAGGAAAGGTTTAGATCAACAGAGCTAACAACACTGCAAACCATCTCATTGTCCTCTTCATTGAAACTTTTAACTCTAAACAACTTGGAAGATATTGATCCACACAACTTCTTCAAAAGGTTAGGTGTAACAAACAAGGAGCAACGGTTTCATGCTCAACAAGCCACAATGTGGGACAGAAAACAGGAGATGCTTTTTCACCCAAAGGGTTATAAACCCTTGGAAACCCCTACCCGCTGAAGCTGTAAATACTAAAACACTGCCAAGTTTTAAAATCAGCACGAAAAAATTCATCAGGACAAATGGGAAGAATTTTGACAAACCGCCGGCTTCCTGTCCCCATTGAGGCCACTAGATAAATAGTGGCCGTCAGGTAAATTCAAGGAAATATAAAGGAGACAATCAGAATATGAAATTCAGGAACAATTTTAATTAGAAATTGTAAAATTAACATCACTTTAGTATCTGACTTACTTTGAATCTCTGCCTATGGCTTCTGCAAAACCAAGTGACCAGGGTAAATTGGAAGAAGTCTCATTGGCGAGGCCATTGCTTCTCTGGCCAGCATCGCTGCGCCGAGTTAACTGGGAATTTGCTTGTGGTCTTGTTAAGGGTAGAGAGCGGCCTGACCGACTGGTCACATCCACAACACTTACTGCTCTTCTAGATCTGTAATCATAATTTATTGTCATACATAAAATCTGAATTACTGGGATGATACTTTAGTCATCATATCTCCAGTTTTTTTGTTTTTTTTGGAGGAAAGACACAGAAGGGAAATGATCATGACATAAATGATCCTGAGAGGAATTGACAAGGTGGATAAAGGCAGCATATTTAAAATGAAAGGAGGTAGGACAAGAGGAGACTGGTGTAAGCTGGATATACCACTGAGCTATAGATTTATACGGAAATTCTAATACTCTGCACGAGTGGTCAGCAAGTGGAAAGCATCGAAGAAAAAAGTTGTCGATACAACTTCCATCCACAGCATTAAGAAAAAACATAATGGGAATTTGAATGTTGAAAGGTGTAATTAGCTCACCAGATATAAATACCTAGGATATGGATATATATGGATAGGATATAAAGGGCTAGACCCTGCTCCTCCATAGTCACTGATTGATAACCACAGACAATTTATGAAAAAAAATTCATAAATTTTTTAAATTTTCATAAATTTTCAAGGCCAGCAACCTTGTTAGCAGTGTTTCTGCACATTCCTCCATTCAACAATCTCCAAATACTTTCCTCTCACCCTGGTCAAGTAGCCAACATTTTTCCTTAAACTAATTATTTTACTCTAAGTTCATATGATACAGTACTACAATCTAAGTTAAGCACTATTGTTTTATCAGCTTTGGCAGGTTATGCTTCAGAGGGTTGTTGCTTGTCACAGTCAGTTTGACCGAGGCTCAAAATTTTTGTTTACGAGAAACTGAATATTAAGCTTTTTACTTTCAGGAATATAGTCAAGACTCAATAAGAATAGTCATCTCTTGGGTAATTTAATGATAAAGAATGTATAGATGTACTGGTTATATACTGTATCGTTATTCCCAGTAATTAATTCAAACTATCAAGGCATGTTTGAGTGGGATCTGCTAATTAGCACATCCTTTATTTTGTTCAAGGTGGTCATCTGCTGAGAGACAAGTTGCCAGACTTAACACGGAGGCGTCTTCTGTTGAGCAGTCCCACTGGTGCTCACTGCTTCGGTACTTCCACACTTTACACACTGCTTAGATATGGGTGGTCTAGCTGGCATCACATTTACCTGAACTAGCTTTAGGCCCACCATATCTAATGAACTCTAAAGGAACAGGAAGTTGGTAGCTTGTGAAAGGTCCCTCCATTATTCCTGACGACTTTTTCCAATTGTATTTTAAACTGAAGCACTGTCTTAGTATCTACAGCTTTGGCAGGTAGGCAATTTCATGGAGGTATTATCTTAAGTGCAGCTTGTTGAGCTTGAAGCTGGTGTCCCTAGAGTCAGTTATGGTGGACCTTTTAAGAATATCAGAGAAGACTTGTAGTTCTAGAGATTTATTGTAGAGTAATGGCACTGGCATTAAAACACTTCTGCCTTTTTTTATAAATTAAGACAGACGTTTTAGAGTGGTTACCCACTTTAGTTTTGAATGGATTAAAGAGGTAACATCTGAAGAGATGGTTGGGGATAGATAAGTAGAATTAAGATAATTACTTGTGAGATTGTATGTGATGCTGAAATTTTTTACCGTTTCAAGAAATGTGAGCAAAACATTTAAGACATCATTTGTTGTCCAATAAGCATTAGTGTGGTGGTTTGATGGCATATTACACTTTTAGATAATAGCATCCCTCAATATTCAGGAGTTTCAATTGATTAGTGGAAAGAAATAAATTACTGGTAACAAGAGTTTCTGCTCTCACAGCCTGGCCATGCTTCCTGTTAACGAACTGAAAAGCCCGGATAATGATAATCATGTCTTTGAGTATGATAACAACAAGGCATGATTTTCTCATGTTTCAGGTGCTTCAACTATCCTGGTTATTAACAAGCACAATTAGCTCATCATTGATGACAAACTGGCATGAGCCTCAAGAAATATCAATATGTGGCTTATGATTTGCAATGACATTCTACCAACTAGCATTCAGAAACAGTCAAATTTCTTTTGGTTTTAGCTTTAGGCAAAAGAATGGAAAGAATCTTTACTTACTTGCATTTGGTGAACTGATGGTGGTCAAGGGAGAGTGCAGTGTTTCCAGAAATATCCAAAGCTACTAAACCAGGGGACACTAACTCCTCCAGTTCAATGCGGCCCAATTGACAATGAGAAGCATCAACCACCTGTGTTGGCAGTCCACCAGATGTAGTAATATAAACACTTCAATCTTAAAATGATCCACAATAATTGCAATGATTAGAAGTTACAAATATAGCAATGTTATTTTTTATCACTAGAGCAAATGCTGATTCCTTATCAAACATTAAAAACAATGTTTGCAAAAAGAATTAATGTACAAATACAGTATACGGAAGAGAATACTTGCAAAGCTCCTTGGTATGCACTGTCTCAGGCAAGTCACAAAATAACAGTTATGTTGCACAATGATTATTAGCAGGTGTATAGTTGGTTGTTTATATGATAAATCTTGGGCTAATTCTTAATACAATTGTTGTAGAAGTGGATTTTTATAATTACTTTTAAGTTAACACTAAAAGAAATATTATACATTACAGTACAGGTATTTGGGTTTTATTTCTTGTGATGAACATTAATAAATGAGAATTATTACTATAGAGTAAAACAGAGTACCAGTTCCAGGCCCACACCCAACAATCGTGACAATGGTGAAAGGGGCTGCTCCAAATGAATCAGAACTGCCAAAACCACACCTTGCCTAGAGTAAAAAAGATGTAAAAAATGTTCACGCTCTCGCACAACTGCTCGAGCAAACGTTGAGTTACCCAGGGCTGATCAACAACAAATGGTGGTGCTGCAGCCAGTTCAATGCCATCTGAGGAGGAAAATGTGACCAAGAATTCCACTTGAGGCCCAGCCAAGTCCAAACCCAAGATGGAACTAACTGGGACTTCCACCAGTTCACCAGAAACCGAAACCTGGTGAGCTGGGAAGAACAAGATCCCTGACTAGCAGATGGGCAGCCCTACTGGGAGCCCACACCAGCCAGTCTTCAAGATCGGCCAAAACATGAACCCCCAACAACCAAAGAGGCGCCACTACGACTCAAGCTAAGTATGTAAACACGATTGGAGCCAGATTGAATCTAAAGTGGAGAACCTGAACCTGAAAACAGTAAGCTTGCCACCCCACCACAAAATCTAACCAATACCTGATTGGTTAGAACCTCGGGTGTATAGACATGCCAATACACTTCCTGGAGGTCCACAGAGATTTTCTGTGTCTACCTCCAATATGAGAAACCTGGGGTTATTTGGAACATGGAGGGCAAGGGATAAACCGGTTCAGCCTAGAAAGGTCAAGGATGAATCAGAAGTCCTTCAAGTCCCGTGTTGGAACTGGGAAGAGGTGGACAAACCCACCGAAGTGATGCAGTCGTTTTGACCACACTTGAAGCCATTCACACCAAGATAACCCGATGCAGGAGAGAGGAAGAACCCCGGCCTGTAAACCTGAATCCCCAGAGAGGGGGAGAGGAACTGACCAACTCCACCACATGAAACAACCTGAAAAGCCCAGAAATCATGGGACCAAGAGCTGGCACATGAAAATACTATAATGGAGCTAGCAAAAAACTAGCAAAAAAAGGCTCCCACAGGATGAATCCTATGATGGCCAGCACTTAGCTTAGAAGCTCTAGAATTTTCTGCAAGCTGATGCACCAAAAGGCTACTGCATTGCTCTAGGCTATACATCAGCACAGGAACTGATCTTATAACTGACGCTGCATCGAACTCTGGGCCTCTTATTGGTGGTATTTCGTGCAAATGGGTTCTAGCCATTTTTTTTTTATTTTTTTTATTGGGAGAGTTATTTGGTAGTTTAGTGACTCGAGTCTTGCGAAATGCGTAGTTGCCTGTAAAGCTTCGCTGTCTTTCTGGGTGTTTTTTCTTTCTTTCTCGATGAAGTGGAAGAATATCATTTGCTCCCAACACCTCGTGTGAGGGAGGCCAGATTTGGGCACTGGCTCCCAGTAGACCAAATGAACTCGTGCAACTGATGTGACTGATAGAGTGGATCAATCTCAGCGAGACAGCTACAGGGAGCATCTGGGGCTTCCTCAGAAAGGGAGTATGGATCAATCTGATTTATCCACATCTCTGTCCTTCTGAGTCAAATATGTTGCTCTTCTTTATCTTCTTAATATCCCCCAGGGTTTGACTCAACTGAGCAGAAATGCCACATCTATAAAACCCTTCTAAATTGTGGAATATCTTATCAAATACAGTACAATAAAATGTTGTACAGTACTACCTTCAACAAATTTTACAGAGAAAGAATTACCTACATAATATTACATAGTGAATTAAAACAAAATATTTGCCACTCTACTTAGCTGTGTCTACTCACAGTTTCAATCCTAAATTATCTGCTTAATTATGCTGTTAGATTACTAACCTTTTATTATTCTAGTTACTTACTGTTAATAAGAATTATTACATATCAAACCAATGTTCACCACAAATTTTATACTTGAACCTACATAGATTCATCAGTTAATACCAAGTTTCCCTTAAATTTCTCCTACTACAGTACCATAATAGGCAGTGGGAAATGGTTGTGGCTAGGCTATGTATTGTATCCTGACAGAATGAGACCATACATCACCTTCAGTGCTGAAAGATGTGCAAGGCGAGGGAGACACTGCAGGGGATTAGAGTGGACTTTAAGAACCCTGAGACGTCGCAGACGAGACACACCAGCAGGCACCACTGTCAGCTGGTTTCCAGATAGTACCAGCTCTTCCAGCAGCTCCCAAGACCACACTAACCTGAAACAACTCCAATTTGTAAACAACAAGCATTCTAATGCTCCAGACAGGAGTTCTTTTTCCATCACTTACACAGGATACAATTTTTAGAACTACTTTACTAGCATAATATTAACAAATAAATTAAAAAATATGCAAGTACAGTAAGAAGAATCGATTTTCTCTGGATAAATCGTTTAAACTCTTGGAATCTCCTGAAGATGAAACACTATCAGCACTGCCCCATTTCTCAAGGGAAATTCACCACTGTTCACCAAACAGTAACTTGGGATGTGAATGTAGAGTATTTTGATTGTCAAATTATACTCTAGAGAAAACATATTGCATAACTTAATGCAGTGGTGCCTCGGTTGATGAATTTAATTCGTTCCAGCACCGAGCTCGCCATGTGAAATGCTCGTCTTGCGAAACAACAACACAGTCGTCGGAGGCGTCTGAGAACCAGCGGGAACGCTAGGAAACACCACGTGGTTTTCACGTTAACCGTGTGAAAGCTCGTCATTAGAGACAAATTTTCTGCGAGTGGCTCGCTCGTTACCTGAAATGCTCGTAGATGGGGGCTGCTCATCACCAGAGGTTCCTCTGTATCTGTACCTGGCCCAATACCTGATCTAAGGCCTAAATTAGAAGATACATTCAACTACTGTATATCACAACGAAGGCCCACGGGATAGGTATGGGGTGCATAATAAAGAAAAATTGAATTGTAGTATATGGCAAAAAACATTCACAAAGCTCACTGAATAGTTTATGTATAATATTTTGCTGATATAAAGGTAGAGGTTATCATGAGGAAATCTGAGAGATTTGTGAAGATAATACCCAATCAACTAAGCTAGCCAAGCAGGCAGTGCTGGCTTGAGGGCTGCAACAACAGAAGCTTAACCTAATAATAGTTGACCAATACTGTAATATTTGGTTATAAGAAAAATATATCTGGACTATAAGAATAATACACAAATCTGGCTACATTGTGATATCACTTAGATAAATATGCCAAGATTACCTGTGGATTCCTGGTGGGTAATTTGGAGTTTTCTACCCCCCCCCCCTAGCCTGTCTTGTGCCAGTTTTTCCATGCAATTACCTGGTCTGTGGTGCTTGGTTTTTAAATTCACATCAAATGATTGCTTTCAGTATAAATAAGTAAGCCTAACAATTACTTCTCTTGCATGAATGCTTAGCCAATACAGTATGTTAAATTATTCAACAAATGAGCTTTTAAATGTCATTAATTATAAGACAGCAATTACAAATTCCCAAGATAAACATTCAGATACTGTACTTCTTTAATGAAAGAAATTTCCTAGTAGATTCAAATATAACTTTTACTTCAGTAGTTTGAAACTCTAATGGTTATAATTTCAAACAGCAATTTGAGGTGTCCTGAAATTCTCATCTAGTTCTTAAATGTTTGGCTAATGAGCTATACATTTGTATACTGTAAAGTACAGAATCAGCCAACACAATTTAAGAGCAGACTTAAAAAATACAATATTGTACTAAAGAACTGCACATCACATTAAATGACAACAAATGAACTTATTAGTAAGGCCAGCAAAATGTACCTATCCTGGAGGTTACTGATCCTGTTGTAGGGTGCATGAAGGATACGGAGTGCTCGGCAGTGCTGTAGTGAAGCAAGATCCTTGAGCCTGTTGGCTGCAGCATATAGCTCTTGAAGAGAAAGTGTCACTTTTGGGCTCCCGGCATCTTCTCCGCATGTGGGCGACTTTCCTCGGTTACTTCGGCCTTCAATGGCACCAGGCAGCACACTCAATAGGTTGGAACTCACATTCAACACCCTCAACCTGAGAAGATTAGGAAACAGGCAGCCAGCCATAGTATTACAAAAACTCTGCGATCTACTTTTATAGCGAGACACACCTAAGGTAAAAAAAAATAATTAGCAATTAAGGCCTTGAAAATGTATGGAGAATTTTTTTACCAACATCAGGTAACTATGTGCATTAGTAAATCATTAGAATATGGCATCTCACCTGTTAAGCCATGAGAAGAGGTTAGATGGCAAAGCTGTCAGTTTGTTGTGGTGGAGGAACAGAACCTCAAGCGAACACAAACGAGGTTCCTCGTGTAAATTGTGGGAGAAATTATAGTTCTGGGAATGATGAGATGATCTGTGAGGGCCTTTTGTGGGATTATAAGCACAGCTGGATTCCTTGTGATGGTCGATGGTGGCTCTCTGTGGCATGGGAAAGGAAGTAAGACTATTGTGGTGCACAGAGAGTGTGTGGAGGCGGCGAAGATGGCCTGAAGTGAGGAAGGCAGGAAGGGATGTCACCTGGTTGTGACTCACGTCTACCAGTATTACTTCAGTACTTGACACCAGCCAGGGTGGTACAGCATTTAGTTCATTCCTGCATGAAGAAATTAAACAGGTTATATTATATTCTACAAATATATCAGCTGGTGAGTTATGAATTAATTGGAATATGAATAGAATGAATATTATTTTACATTTATTGTTACCCTGAAATTTATGTAAACTTAATATAAAATATTTTAATATATTTTTTAATAGTAATTTTAAGCTTAAATAAACATTTCAATATCAGTACTAAATACTGTAATGTAATTTATTCAGTGTACATTTAAATATAAAAGACAATCAATAACAGGAATAGAAGATTGGCAAAACAGCACCAAACATGAATTGGCCATTGGTTGAAGATGAGGAGAATGGCAGATATTTCCTTAGTATTCATTAAATTAACTACTGTAATTCGTTGTTTCTTCTAAATTGGAGAAATAGAGGTAATGTACAATATTTTATAGTACAGTCTTTAGGAGGCTGATCCACAATTTGAAACCCTTTCTCTGTATGACATTTCTACTTTGGTCGAGTTGAACATACCCTGGGGACATGAAAACGATATCGGCATTTGTTTCCAGTGAATTGTTTGAGAGTTCTTCAAAAGTGTTCGAGGTCATGACTGGTGTAGATATAAGCTACACATGAAAATGCATCTCTAGTAGATTTATATACACTATTTAGCATTTAACACCATAAATAGTTGTATTTAATATATCTGATACAAGTAGAGTCAGTCCACACAGGATATTGGTGGCGCCAGGCTGTCAGCTATTAGCACTTCAAATGTCACACCTTTCGCATGTTAATATTCACAGATTGAGCAGAGGTCAGGTCGTATCAGGTGAACTCGCTCTCTACTAAACTGATACTGTACATGCAGATGGATGGCTGTGTTCTTTCCATCAAGCAAACCACTGTCTAGATGTGGTATTAAGATAGCCAGAGGCTATCTCCTGGTAGGTAGAGTTTAGCTCATGGTTACCCCCCTCAAATATCCAAGGAACTGTACATTTGACAGAGAGAGAGATGAGCCTTACTACACTAGAGGGGTTCCAGCACCTCGGGTCACGTCTACCCCAGGCCTGGACAGTGGGGACTGCCAGCCATATCCCCCCCCCTCCTTCCTCTCCTTTATGATGTCCATCTTATACTGTACTCAAGAGACTTTGGCAAGTTGAATTGTAAGGTGGATGTATTTGACATTTCCCAAAGTTATATGGTATGTGATTTTCAGGGGTAGTCAGCCATAGCTGCTCTCGGTTTCTTGTGTGCTGACTAATTCTGAATTAATGTTGATATTTGATAATCCAAGGAAAATGGTTGAATTATGATAATGTACCTATATGAATGAATATATAATAATGAATTAATAATGGCTTAACTTACTTTTAAATTGTCTTTAATTCTGATTCCTAGATCTTGAATTCAGGTCTTTAATATAGCGAAAGCTAGAATGGAGAGCACTCTGAAGTTTACTGGCTATATATTATGACTTAAAGATTCTTGACTATGATTTACATGTTTTGCAATTGCTACTTGATAGCATCAGATAATATTGTGGTACAGACAAGTTCCATTCCTTGTCTTATAATTAACTTGTGTATTGACTGGATGGTGGCAGCCCTTCTTCCTTCTTATCTTTTTCCTCCTCCTTCCTTTCTAATATTCTACTTCTTCTATCTCTTCTACCCTTTATATCTACCTCTTACCTATTTTATCTACTCTCTAACCCATTTTTTCTCATTGTAAACTTTCTTCCTTTTCTCCATTTTTCCAATACGTTACAAGAATACAGTATAGTATTAAAGGATTTAACAAATGGTTCTATGTGGTATCTAGGGTTAGAGTTAATTATAATTCTGATAAATTATATATGTTGAGTACCTATAAGTCTTAGGTATATTTTGTGTTGCAACAGACATCTAAACCCTACAACTACTCTTTAAGGAAGAGTACAAGGCCCACAAGCAGATGTGGTTGCCCTCAGTAAGGACCAGATTAAACCAGTTTGACGAGTCAACATTTGGCAGACATGCAATCAGCACGAGGTTTGCAGATGTCCAATCAGAGATTAGCACACCACACTGCTGACTCCTCACTGATCCTCATAAGAGAGCCAAAGTCCAGCATGAGAGAAGTACTGTACACTACTAAGAGACAACTTTGCTTCTGTTGACCTTATTCCTAAACCAGCATCATTTTGTAGTTTAATTTAAAAAATTACTTACCATTCTGTATTGTATTATATACTGTATTGTGGACTCTCACTGTGTATGTATCTGGTTAGTAACTATGGGAATACAGGTAGACCCCATGCATATAAAGACCTGACCTGACATTTGTTAGTGTCACAGAACCCCAGACACAGACACTACAATCGAGATATGGTAAAATTAATAAATTATAGTGCACAGTAAGGGACATAGCACATTTTAAATTATACCTACAGTTTTAGATATTTTTGAGCTAAGAATTTTATTGTGATGTTTAAGATGTTTAGGTTAATATTTGACAAGGCTGTGTCACCAGCAAATCAAATTTTTGTGAAGTGTAGGGTGTTAGTTAAGAGGTCATTGACATGTATAGGAGAAAGAAGTGGATCAAGAATGATGTGCCGAGTTAAGATTGGATGAATAGTATAGTACAGTACTGAAGGTAGCGACCGAAAACTGCACTGTAATGTAGCCAGTTTTAAAAGGCCTTTCAAAAGGTCATTAAACAGTCCTTTTTGGCGCATATATTTGTCAAGAGCTGCTTGGGGTAGATAAATATAAATGAGACAATAGGCCATTAGTCATTTGCATGGGTTTGTGATGATGAGTTACTAATGTGCAAGATTTGTTTATATTAATATGAAGAACATATTAAACATTGTGGTAATGAGCAAAAAAAAAAAATTGCAGGCTTCAAATTTATCTATACAAACTTCACAAATGTCAACAGGATTAGCAAATGTTCTACAATAAAGAGAAATGCAAGATTATTATAGTATCATCAGCCACATAACTATGTACACATCACAACTACAATATTCTTGACTAACTGTAGCAATGCATTTAACAAATGAGAGCCTCCAGAATAATAGTCCATCAGTTACTGAATGTTAGCTCAACAAGAAAAAAACAAGAAACTGTAGTTAAAAAAAAAGGAAAACTCAAGGAGTAATCAAACAAGCATGTGTCATACTGGATTACTGTATCCAAGCATGGAGACCTCACCTTCAGAAGGACATAGCTGCTCTGGAGAAAGTGCAACACTGGGCAACAAAAATCATTCCAGAGCTAAGTCAACCTGTGTATCAGGCATAGTTGAAGGCCACAGGGCTAACAACACTGCAAACCAGGCATAACAGGGCAGACTTGAGAATGGTCCAGGACGGACCGAAACGTCGTCGTCCCTTCAATTTCTAGTGTGTGGTCTGGTCAACATAACAGGGCAGATCTCATTGAAACTTAAAATACTGAACAATTTGGAAGATGTTGATCCAGACAACTTCTTCAAAAGGTCATATGTAACACCAACAAGAAGCAATGGTTTCAAGCTCAACAAGCCACAATGTAGGACAGAACAGAAGATGCTTTTTCACCTACACGGCAATAAACCCATGGAACTGCATACACGTCAGAGCCGTAAATGCCAAAACAGTAAAATTTTATAATCCATTGGAAAAGATAAAGGCAAATGAGGGGAAACCTTCGCAATCTAGTTTCCTGTCCTCATCAAGGCCACTAGCATTAGTGACCCCTTGGGTAATTCAGGTAAATTCAAAAGAAAAGAAAGTTGTCATCCAACTATACCAATCCCTTGTGTTCACACACACACTGTACAGTATTACTGCATCCAACAATGGACAACTTGTCTACAAAAAGATGATTATCAAATTAGGAACATTTTGTAATGTTCAGCATCAGGCAACGAAAATAATTCCAATACAAAGGCTCTTGTATCAGAAAGGCTGAGAGTTTCAGGAATAACAACTCTGCAAACAACACATGACAGGGCTGATCTTATTTAGATTTAAAATACTGAACAAGAAAACAATTCCAGAAATAAGTAAACTCTCATATCATAAAATGGCTGAGAGCTTTATGCAACTCTGTAAACAAGACAAAACAAGGATAATTTGATTTACTTAAAATACTGATCATGTAACAAATTTTATTCCAAGCCACTTATTACCTTGCCAGGTTGAGTCGGGTTAGTCGTCGTGGATGGTAGCGCACCTCCAGCTTGGTAAGGCCTGAAATATACCAGAGCAGATCAACATCTTGTGTAATAAATATAAGATGAAGCCCCATTTCATGCACACCACTTTTTTTTTACTCTAGGCTCTAAGAAGATATAGAAGTAAAGGTTTCTGGCACTTGTTTGCAGGCTAAGAACTTTTTCACCAACAGCTCATCTGAAGATTTACCTCCTTTATGACCAAACCATACCTCAGAAGATGGAGAAGCGATGACGTTTCGGTTCATCTTGGACCAATATCAAGTCATGTTATATGACCTGATAATGGTCCAGGACGGACCAAAACGTTGTAGCTTTTCCATCTTCCGACTTGTGGTTTGTCATAATTTCTTCAGTCACGTTATTGCGACTCATCGTCTGCATTTACCTCCTTGTTTTTTTTCTGAAACGTAATCCACCAATTGCTTTATAGGCAGGTCCCTAATTACTGTTGGGTGAGGTGAACGAACAGTGAGGGAATGGTGCCTAGTTATTCTACCCTGCCCGGGACTTGAAAATAATCGGACAAAAAAATCTGCATTTGAATATTAGTAATAATTCTCACTTGTGGAGTGAATGGATGAGTGCACTATCCACAACATTTCAGGGCAGTGCTTTGAGCAGCTCTTAACATTTACAGAAGTAGTGTATTCTATTGGATTGCTGATAATGTTACGTTTAATTATTGTTAATTAAACAATAATTGCTGTAATTAAGAAATTTCAACAGACTTTCATGATATAATGTGTAAGAATTTGTGTATGTGTGTGTGCAAAGGAGAGCATTGATAGCAATTTTTTTAACTAATGCTGAAGAAAGAATAAGATATTGTTGGTTAAAATTCTGTACAGGAAGAATATGCCTTTAGCTCATGTGGTGTAATGTGTATGGGGTGGAATAGTGAGTACTGGTCCACCAGTTATCGAAAGTTGCTCAGCAAATACACCTTTGACTTTAAAGAAATTTAAATGTTTACTCAGCTTTATAAACCTCTGGTTCACTTCCATGTGGACCGTTGTATCCAAGCAGTGAATTTATGACCATATTCTACAGTACAGACACCAAAACCTGAACTGCATAACCTAAATGGGACCTAATAAGGGCAAGATAAAGCTGAAAAAATAATATTAGACATCTTACTGCTAATGCTTCTAGAAATAAATCCCAGTATCCTATTTATCCTATTATGTATGCCTGTATTGTACTGTAATGTACTGTATGTAGTGATTTTTTTAGCTTAAAATACTTACTAATCATGAGTCCTCTAGATCTTTCTCACATATGGGTCCTTTTTTTCTTTAATAGGTTTCTAAAATTATATTCCAAAAATTCCATCTCGATAAAAGCCAAAACGTGTATGAATACACTCTGGCTTCCTGTCCCGCGACACAATGAATTATTATTATTATTATGGATAAAGAGGGTGAGAGGAGAGAAAGAAGGGGAAAGCAAAATACTCACGGTTGTTGTTGGCAGTGAGGGAGATGAGAGCGGCAGCGTGTAGGGTGATGGTGGTGATGGCGTTGTTGGAGCAGGTGAGGGAGGAGAGCGCCGCCAGGCATGACACGTCTAGGCTACTGATGCCGTTGTCACTCACATCAAGCTCTGTCACATTCTGTTGACACCAGAACCACCTCATTATCCTGCTCACTCAAAACTCGACACTTTGCTGCCCACTCACACTCAACACACTGCTGACCATTCTCACTAATTTTGAGGGTGAGTGACTGCCCACTCACCCCCAACTCCAGTGGAATCAACAGAAACTGAGAATGGACAGAAAAGAGTCAGCTTCAAGGTAATGTACTTGAACATAGATGGAATTACAAGCAAGGCAAGCAAACTTAGGGAAAGAACACAAGAAGTGAGCCCGGATATAATTGGACTCGCGGAAACAAAATTCAGGAATCATAATGAATGCGATGTTTCCCCCAGGACTACACTGTAATAAGGAAAGAGAAGGAAGGAAGGGGAGGAGGCACAGTGGCCCTACTGATGAGAAAGGAATGGAGTTTCGATGAGATGGTTATTCCGGGCTATGAAGGGTTCAGAGACTTCATTACAATTTACACTATAATTGAGAGACAAGCAGCTGCTGCCTGTAGAAATTGATCCCATCTGCTCATCATGAGGGACTTTAATCACGGAAGGATAGACTGGGAAAACAAGGAACCACATGGAGGTGAAGAAACATGGAGAGTGAAACTGTTGGAGGTGACGACAAGAAACTTCTTAAGTCAGCGTGTCAGGGGACCCACTAGAATGAGAGGCAATGATGAACCAGTGAGACTACCAAGTCTTCACTCTGAACGAGTGACAAATGAAATCTGACTCGAAGCCCCCCATGGGAATGAGTGATCACAGTGTACTGATGTTTGAGTACCTGGTCGAAGTAGGGTCAATGCACTCAGGGAAGGGACTAAAAACAAAAGGCCGGCATTCTGGAAGGGAAACTATGAGGAGATAAGAAAATTCTTAACTGATAAAGCTTGGGAAACAGAGCTCAGAGGAAAGACAGCTCAAGATATGATGGACTACATCACCCAGAAGTGTAAGGAGGCAGCAGACAAGTTCGTCACATTCCAAAAGGGAAAAAAAAACAAATGCAGACAAGAAACTCATGATTAAATCATGAGATGTAAGCTAGTAAAGCAACTAAGTACAAGGGCGTGGAGAAACTACAGAAATAACAGGACACTAGAGAGCATAGAAAGATACCAGTGCACCAGGAAGGAATATGTCAGGGTAAGAAGAGAGGTAGAGACACAATATAAAATGACATAACAAGGCAAAGACTTGACCCAAATTGCTGCACAGCCACACCAGGAATAAAACAACAGTGAAGGAACAGGTAATGAAGCTGAGGATAGAGGCAGAGTCACTACAAACGACAAGGAAGTGTGCAAGGAACTCAATAAAAAATCCAGGAGGTCTTTACAGCAGAGCAAGGAGAAGTCCCAGAGACAAGAGAAAATATCTAACCAGACACCACTAGGAGTTTGTGATTACCAGTGGGGAGTTGAGGAAGCATCTGCTAGATTTGGATGTGAGAAAGGCTATAGGCTCAGATGGAATCTCACCATGGATAATAAAGGAAGGAGCAGAAGCTCTGTGCCTGCCACTCATCATTGTGTACAACAAATTACTGTACTGGTAACAGGTGAACTGCCAAAAATTTGGAAGATGGCTAATGTAGTCCCGATATTCAAGAAGGGTGATGGACAGGAGGTACTGAACTACAGGTCAGTGTCCCTAACTTGCATACCATGAAAGATGGAGAACATTGTGCGAAAAAAGCTAGTGGAACATCTGGAGCGAAAGAACTTTGTAACACAACATCAGCATGGGTTTAGGGATGGCAAATCATGCCTCACTGGATTGAATTCTAAGACCAGGCAACTAAAATCAGGCAAGATAGAGAGGGCTGTGCAGACTGCATTTTTTTGGATTGCCAGAAAGCCTTTGATACAGTACCACATAAGAGATTAGTGTACAAGCTGGAGATGCAGGCCAAAGTCAAAGGGAAGGTAGTAGTAGTAGTAGGCATCCATCAGTCCTGCTTGCATCTCCAGCTTGTGCACTAATCAATTATGTGGTACTGTATGAAAGGCTTTCTGACACTCCAAAAATATGCAGCGAAGGTACTCCACTGGATAAGGGAGTACCTAAGCAACACAAGACAGCAAGTCACTGTGAGGGTTGAGGTCTCTGGGTGGCGAGGCGTCACCAGTAGAGTCCCACAGGATCAGTCCTTGAAACTATACTGTTTCTGATATATGTAAATGATCTCCCAGAGGGAATAGACTCGTTCCTCTCAATGTTTGCTTATGATGCAAAAATTATGAGGAGGATTATGACAGAGGAAGATAGTATGAGGCTACAAGATGACCTAGACAAACTGAAGGAATGGTCCAACAAATAGCTACTAAAGTTCAACCCAAGTAAATGTAAGGTAATGAAACTAGGCGGAGGAAATAGGAGGCCAGACACTGGATACCGAATGGGAGATTCGGAATCCACACACACTCAACACACTGCTGCCCCCCCCCCCCCCCCACACACACACACTCACATACAGTAGTTCGATCCCTAGATGATCGTCGCCCTTCAATCAACAACAACATACTCTCCGGCCCTATATAATTATCGCCCAGCTCATTCAAGAGACAACAGCATCGCTCCTGTGCCAGGTAAGTCTACTACGGGCTCTCCATAGCCCGTGCTACTTGGAACTTCTTCCCAGAAGCTGAATCTATAACAACAACAACAACATCATCATCATTCAAGAACCTGAGCGCAGTTTTACCCTCAACGTCTCCGACACTATTGAAATGAAGTTGAAGAACTGTGCAAGGCCTCGGTCTGTGCAGATGTTCTGGGTCTCGACCCCTTGATGTAGCAGTCAACACTGCTGTACCAGAGATAAGTGCTGACCAGAGTGGAGGAACGCGTGTAGTCCCAAACCACCCGCTTGCCATCTTTCCGAATTCTTTCCAAGGCATCGTGATGCCTCCATCTGAGGAATTCTGGCCGCGTTGGGTGTGTACAGCTGTGGTTCACGTTGTTCCAGACGATCGGCCGTGTCGAGGCTTCCTTTGGTGGAAGCTGGAGATGCAGGCAGGACTGATGGATGCCTACTACTACCTTCCCTTTTGACTCCTGCCCTTTGACTCCTGCCTGTATCTCCAGCTTGTGCACTAATCTCTTATGTGATACTGTATCAAAGGCTTCCTCGTTTACGTCCCGTGGCGCAGTGGTAACACTCGCCCCGCGCTTCGCGAGCGATTTGGCCTGGGTTCGTATCCTGGCCGGGGAGGTGTGACTTAGTTGGCCAATCCTTAACTGTACGCCTCTGTTCACCCAGTAGTGAATGTCTACCTGGTGGTTCGTATTCAAGGGATAATTAAGATTAAGGACCTGCCCGCAATGTTATGCGTGTTAGTGGATTTACAACAATTTAAGAACTCTTGAATATAAACAAAAGTCTTGCGTTTTTAGTCTAAACAAAAAGTCTTGCTTCTGCACGAACAAAAGCATCAGGTATCCTGAAACATGCCCCTGAAAGTCTCGCCCTGCCCAGGAATCAACCCCCCGTGAAGTACGTACTGTGACTAGCCATAAAATGAGACTTAAATATTAAGACTGACCTTGAGATGTGAGCCGTCAAAGACAAGTCCCCGGGGACCCGCACTCCTGAAGTTGCTTCTGCTCCTGTGTGATGGGCCGAGGGCCAGGCGGAGGGCCCCCAGTCCCTCACACAGTCTCTTGCCCTGCGTCTTGTCACTCCCTTCCCTGTTCACCATCCCTGATGGTGTTAGCGACGCGAGGGGCACCAAGATATGGCCCAGCAAAGGCGGCCTTATACCAGTTTATCCTCCCTCACTATGCCCGTCACAGCCTGGCACTTGACACACGCCTGACACACGTCTTGACACCAGACACGCGTCCCCACCACACGCCGCCACCCATCTCTTACATCGCTACACACACACACACTCCACCTTTAATTTCCTCAATAACAGCTTTTTATACTTTACTGCTCTAAAACACGCACGTCGGTGAGACCAGCCGTGTCGAGACTCCACCTGTCCACCCGCATCACACACACACACACACACACACACACACACACACACACACACCACTGGTGACGTCTCGCCATTCTAAGACCAGTGTGAGTCCCACAGGGTTCAGTTCTTTGGACCTATACTATTCCTAATATATGTAAATTCCCCAGAGGGAATAAACTCGTTCCTCTCAATGTTTGCCGATGATGCAAAAATTATGAGGAGGATTAAGTCAAAGGGAGATAGTATGAGGCTACAAGATGACCTAAACAAAATAAATGAATGGTCCAACAAATGGCTAATACAGTTCAACCCGAGTAAATGTAAGGTAATGAAACTAGACGGAGGAAATAGGAGGCCAGACACTGGATACCGAATGGGAGATGAAGTCCTCCATGAAACGGACAGAGAGAAAGATCTAGGAGTTGATATCACACCAAACCTGTCTCCTGAAGCCCACATAAAAGAATAACATCGGCGACGTATGCCAGGCTGGCTAACATCAGAACTGCCTTCAGGAATCTTCAGGATTCTTGTGTAAGGAATCATTCAGAACTTTGTATATCACATATGCAAGACCAATCCTGGAGTATGCGAGCCCCAACCTGGAGACCGTACCTTGTCAAGCACAAGACGAAGCTGGAAAAAGTTCAAAGGTATGGCACTAGACTAATCCCAGAACTATGAGGCATGAGTTACGAGGAAAGGCTGCATGAAATGCACCTAACGTCGCTGGAAGATAGAGCTCGGGGAGACATGATCACTACCTACAAAATTCTAAGAGGAATCGACAGGGTAGATAAAGATAAATTGTTTAACGCGAGTGGAACACGAACAAGGGGACACAGGTGGAAACTGAGTACGCAAATGAGCCACAGGGACGTTAGAAAGAACTTTTTCAATGTCAGAGTAGTTAACAGATGGAATGCATTAGGCAGTGATGTGGTGGAGGCTGACTCCATACACAGTTTCAAATATAGATATGATAGAGCCCAGTAGGCTCAGGAACCTGTGCACCAGTTGATTGACAGTTGAGAGGCGGGACCAA